GCCTACAGGCTCGGGCGACACTCCTACAAAGAGGCGTACATCAGACCGTATTACCCTCGAGAGAACGGGTAACCCGGATACCCGGGACGGGTGGGTAATGAGTTGGACCCGGGTACCCGTCTCAATACCCGTTATGATCATGTGACTTACAGCTTAAACAATGTAACATGTTATCATTTCATGAATAAAGGTTATAAATATTGTTTTTGAAGATTTTGACATAATTTACAGTCACCTGTTTTGAATATAATACATGGTTAAGATATTGACAAACTCGAAATTGTAGCAACCGAGCTGAAGAATATATTGCCATTTCTTACAAATTTGATGTCAGGAATTAACATAACGGGTATCTGGGTAGGGTAGGGTAAGGGTGGGATGGGCGTACCCGGGTAGAAAATTTGGACCCGTCAGCGCCCTAGCATACAAGCATATACATGTATATGTACACAATTTTCTGTTTTTAGGGCCTAACTTATAACTTACAAACCATATGAAGAATTTGTTGGAATTATCTATGTAAGTGGGTTACTGGAACTGTTACTGGCGGTGGGTAGCCTAGTGGTTAAAGCGTTCGAACGCCACGCCGAAGACCCGGGTTCGATTCCTCACATGGGTACAATGTGTGAAGCACATTTCTGGTGTCCCCCGTCCTGATATTGCTGGAATATTGCTAAAAGCAGTGTAGAAAGTCACTCACTCACTCCCAGATTATTAACGAAATACTTGTTTTTAACAGCCGTTCTGACGTCAACGTGTCAATGTCAAGTCAATTACCTGAAACACACACGTGCAAATGCCGGAGAAGTGTGCACGTGAGTGTGCTTCTGATATATATGTTTAACAAAATATATTTGCTTATGTGTTGTTTTCTCATATGTATTCGTCATAGGTTACACACATATGCATTATCCATTTCTACAAAGAAAGCCTTGTTTAATTGCTTTTAAATAATCGAGGGAGGGCTTTGGTACAATGCATTAAACCTATGATTAATACCTTGAACAACGATCTACATTGTTGGGATACGATGGCATCCAGCCCCCGAAAGTCGCATCTTACGCACACTGAACATTGCCGGGCTTATTCGTACCTGGAACCATTGATCAGGGCTTTAAGTTTGGACAGATAAGCATTTCATACAAAGATGAATACAGTCTTTGAACGGCATTTAGAAGTGGTACACGTAAAGGCAATAAGTTATGGACATCAGCTTCTATATTTTGTACAGATAGCCGTATACTCCGAAACGTCGTGTGCCTCAAAATAAAGAAGTTGACATCCACGAATTATCTCTTTTAAGGATGAATAAACATTACTGTTTGTGACTGATGGTCGATCTTAACGATCATTTTACTGCTCCAGTAATGGGAAACGTGGTGCTTACTGCAGGTTTGCTAATAATGGCTATACTTGTATCATTTGAGCTGAATCAAATCGATAGTCAAGTGAGATAACCTTCGAATTGGGGAGGAAGTGTTGAGGTAATTAAAAGTGACACTGGAATTAATTCAAAGTGTGCCCCGAACTAAATTACACAATTTCACCAAAATTACTTATGGTTGTAACCCGTGAATATCCGGATTAGAATTGGTCTTAGCAACCAACCCATGGGTGTTGTAAGAGGCGACCAACGGGATCGGGTGGTCTCGCAAGCTGACTTGGTAGTGACCCGTGAAGATCTGGATCAGAATTTATCTTCAGCAACTCCTGCGTGCCGTAAGAGGCGACTAACCGGATCAGGTGGTCAGGCTCGCTGGTTAATAAATATTATCGTATCCTAATTACGTAGATCGATCCTCATGTTGTTGATCACCGTATTGTCTGGTCCAGACACGATTATTTACAGACTGCCGTCATGTAATAGGAATATTGTTCTACACCGAATGCCTGTGTTTACCGGAAGGGTTTTAGCATATACTACTGTTCTGCAGAGCTCACAAGATGCTGCTGGATTGTCTGATGACAGCAAAAGACGATGCCTGTGATCTTTCCACTCCAAGGAACACCGTTGTCACGGACAGAAAAACAGCTCCAGCCCCTTGCACGTTCAGTAAGACTGTTACTTCTAAAGATCCCATCCACCGTATATCAAACTTGATACATAATAAGAAGAATATTGAAAGGAGTGATTTGTGTTTAATTAAGACGGCTGTTTTTCTGAGTTTCGGCAGGTACAACACAGTATAATGTCTAATGTGTCACATCCTAGGATGATTATGCGTCTCTTCGTTGTGCCAGGATTTTCTAACCGTGGGTTGAAGTCCTAGATTGGCACAGAAGGAGCGGCGGGGTAGCCTAGTGGTTAAAGCGTCCGCTCGTCACGCTGAAGACCGGGATTTGATTCTCCACATGGGTACAATGTGAATCCCATTTCTGGTGTCCCCTGCGGTGATGTTGCTGGAATATTGCGAAAAGCGGCGTAAAACTGTTCTCACTCACTCACTCACTCACTCTCACAAAAGGCTGTGTGTGTCATATCAATGTTGCAGGTTTTGCCCAAGTGGTAAACTTTTACGATAGTATCACGTTGTGCGCTCTTCCAAAAATAGGGGCCGTGGGGAGCCTAGTGGCACGCCGAAAACCCGGGTTCGATAACCCACATGGGTACAATGTGTGATGCCCATTTCTAGTGTCCCCCGCCGTTGTGTTGCTGGAATATTGCTAAAAGCGGCATAAAACTAAACTCACGCACTCACTCTTCCAAAAATAAGCTGTCACATCGTGTTGGTAATACATGTACTATGAATATCGGTTCAAAGCGGTGTTATACCAAACTCACTCACTCACCAGGGCCATCACAGAGCACAATCTCTCTCAGAATCCCGATACTGTTTTCCCTTGTTTCAGGCACAACCTGCACTTCTTGCTTGATCCCCTTCGGCGAGGCTGCATATACAGTTCCGTCGACTTATTGTGGGTGAGTATATTTTAATTTACTTCCATATGTCTCTCACTGTGACGTACCCGTGAAGGTCCGGGTTAGAATATTGATCTACAGTAACCCATGCTTGTCGTAAGAGGCGACTAACGGGATCAGGTGGTCTGGCGCGATGTTCATGATGTTGATCACTGGGTTTTCTGGAGTCATCACTAGGGCTGGGACGGGTAACCCGGATGGCCGGGGTGGCATTCAGGGCCTCAACGGAAAACCCTTTTAAAATGGTAGGTGGGGTTGGGTGTTAATGAGTTGGACCCGGTTACCCGTCTCAATACTCGGACCCGTTATGATCATGTGACTAATAGATTAAGCAATGTAATATGTTATACTTTCACGATTAAAAGGTTGTATTGGCTATGAAGATTTAGGCATAATTTACAGTGACTTCTTTTTAATATAATACATGGTTAAGATATTGAAAATCTCGGAATTGTAACCTCCGTGTTGAAGAATATGTTGCCATTTCTTGCAAATTTGATGTCAGGAATTAACATGAAGGGTGTCCGAGTAGGGTAGGATAATAGGGGGTGGGGTTCCCGGGTAGAACATTTGGACCCGACCCAGTTCTAGTCATCACTATGTGATAGTGATTGATAACCACACGCCCATGATATATTTGTCCAGTCGACTCTGCTTTTAGTAGAGATTTCTTATGGACGCTGAAAGGGTTTCTGTCGCCTTATATCAAACATTTGATAAATTCTGCTTTTTAAATTAAATATCCTTTTCAATTTATACTTTCGCTTTTCCGCAAGCTCAGTTTTGTCATACAGCTAAACTCTTAACTCAAAGTTTGTGAAGTCAGATGTAGCGAATCTGATAATCTTAGTTATCAAGAAAGAAAAGCTTAGAATCGATGTTAGACCAAAGGCACCAAGAGTGTTCTTTCGTGGTAATTTAGAGAAACGAATCTAGCTAACAGAGTTCGAGACAGTGAATGTTCGCCCTGTTTATTCGTTTGCAGGTCGCTGAAAACACTAATGGATTGTCTCGATGGAAAGGCAATCTTCACCGACACGGGCTGTGATGACGCCAAGACTATAAGTCAGCACGTAAACAGCCTTTCTTCAGATGTGTCGAGCTGTACATGTAAGGAATTTAGCATAGGATATTAAGGCTGTTGATGCATCGAACTATCGATGGATTGCACTTGTTGGGTCTCCGATAGCAATTTATCGATGGTAGAAACGAAAACTATCGATGCACCGATAGTATGTGTGACTATCAATAGTTTAGTAATTGTCTTCCGTTGATAAATGCGCAGCGCAAAAGACAGGATGTTTTGGTGCAGAGTTGCAGCTTCATTGAGTTTGTGATTTAACTGTTTACTTGATCTGGGTTTCGAGTGTCTTGTCAGATATTAAAAGAGACTGAAACTACTTCAACGTGTTTATATTCCATATGAACTATACATTCATTTGGAAAATGAATTCAAATGAGAGAAAGGAGAACAAAAATATTGCAATATTATTGCAATAGTTGGTCACAATAGACTGACGCAATAGTATGTTGCAATAGACTACCGCTATCGTAATAGTTGGTCACAATAGACTGTGGCAATAAAATGTTGCAATAGACTACCGCTATCGCAATAGTTGGTCACAATAGACTGTGGCAATAACATGTTGCAATAGACTACTATCGCAATAGTAGTTTCCCTCTCAATAGTCACCCCTATAGGATATACTTCTATACAGAAGCTGTTAAGCTCGTGTAAATGATACAGCATATGTAAATGATTCTTATGTAAATCAGAGTTTTTTGGTAAACTATAAACACACTGAACAGGAACGAATTATAAAAAGACAAACAACTTCTTGCTGGTGTAGATGCTGACATTTTTATCAAGCAAGTGATGCTTGATCACTTGCTTGGTAACGGGGTTAGGATTTATACCGAAACGTCGCATCAATTGTTATAAAGAAGATTTCTAGCTATAAGTACAGCACAACCAGAAATTATTGAGAATTTAAAAATTGTAAAAATAAAAATGCACTCATTACTCACGTATTATATGTGAATATTAGCAGAACATAACTCCAGATTCAAAGACAGATGAACAGTTAGTATTTTGTCAAGTCACCATGGGCAGCAATGTAGGCAGCAATGCAGGCTTCAATGCGGCGGGGTATACTACTGATCAAAGAAGTTAGAAAGTCGTGGTCCATGCTGTCCCAATATCGGACCACCTCTTCTTTCATTTCAGCAATATTTGTCAGATTTTTCTTATTGACACTTTCCTTCATAAGTCCCCAAACATTTTCTATTGGATTAGGTCAGGGCTATAGCTTGGCCAATCTAATAATGTCGTATTTTGGGTCCGAAACCAGGCCTGTGAATGCATTGAACGATGTTTTGGGTCGTTTTCTTGCTGGAAAATCTCAAAATTTCCATAGAACACGTGAGCAGATGGAAGTAAATGTCCCTCGAGAATATCTGTGTACCGCTCACTGTTCATATTCCCTTCAAATACACAGAGGGGCGTTGCCCCTAACACAGATATGCCACCCGACACGTTAATTTTCGGACTGCACTTGGGGCGCTGATACAAAGGTTTTTCAGTTTGTTTGGTCCAGAATTTCAGTGTATTAGGAAACATCCACAGAGAACTTCCATCTGAGAAAATCATATTATCCCAGTTAAAATGTGTATGCTGTAAGCACCAGTTCAACCTTCACTCCTTTTGTTCAGGTTTCATGAATGGTGATGGAATTCCTCGACTTTTTTGCCAACCCATTGCATGCAGCTCAGTTCTAATTGTCTCCTTACAGACAGCCACAGTTCCTCTATCAATCATATCCAGCCTTAAGTTTTCTAAACTCCTTCGTTTGTTTTTAGAAACAAGAATACCAAGCCGCCTCCTATCACCGACAGTCAATTTTCTGGGCCTACCTGCGCCTCCCTGGTGCTCAATGCCATATCCATTTACAATATTTTTCAAAACACGATAAATAGTGGACAAAGGGATGCCTGTTCTACTTGAAATCACTTTAGTTGATCTGATGTCCTTGTTATAATACTCTAAAATCAACTTCCTCTTCTCTAAATCATCCATACTGAGGACCACTGAAAATGTCGTCTGCTAGCAAGTAAACAAATGGGGATCACTCGTCACAAACTAATGAAAAATGATAAACGGAGTTGTCTCTCTTGAATGAAACCAAGCACTTGATAGCTGGTCAAGGTTGTTTATACTAGAAATCCAAATCCAACATTCCTAAAATTCTCAATAATTTCTGGTCATACTATATATTCGTTCTTGTTCATCGTACCAGCTTCTAAACGCCATTTAAAGAAGTACTAACATACTGATGAAGTATCTAACACACAGTACTGCCATAACAATGTAGTCTATCCCTCGTGTTTTACAGGTTAGAATTGATCTTCAGTAACCCATGTTTGTCGTAAGAGGCGACTAACGGAATCGGGTGGTCAGGCTCGCTGACTTGGTTGACACATGTCATCGTATCCCAGTTGAATAGATCGATTATCATGTTGTTGATCACTGGATTGTCTGGTTAAGACTTGATTTTTACTGACCCCTGCTATATAGCTGGAATATTGCTGAGTGCGGCGTAAAACTGAACTCACTCACTATAAACTATCTATTGTACGACTGTATGATGTAACGGTAGTGCTGGAGATGCTACTATTCTGACGCTTCCTTTGTTTGTGCTGCTGATGTGTAACTATTGCTGTAACGACTTTGATTCCACAGTTTCTGCAACCTGTACATGCCAGGTCGATTACATGAAATCTCCCGGAACAACACCCGCCGACAAATGCACGTGAGTTACAAGTTTTTCACTTGTTACAGAAGTCTATCGGTTGTCGTTTGAATAATTAGAAAAACTTTTCCTAGCAGCACGTTTCTGATTAGTCTGAGACATAAGTGGTATGAGATGAGTACTTAACGGGATCGGTAACTCTGCCAAGCATGAATAGAACGTAAAAACGTTGTACTCCTTATGATAAAGGAGCTGACATCCGTAAGGTTCCCAAATATGTATTACTTCTAAATTCAATGCGAAGACCAAACGGGACGGTGGTGTAGCCTAGTGGTTAAGCGTTCGCTCGTCACGCCGAAGACCTGGGTTCGATTCTCCACATGGGTACAATGTATGAAGCCCATTGCTGGTGTCCCCTACCGTGATATTGATGGAATATTGCTAAAGGCGGCGTAGAACCAAACTCAATCACTCACAGGAAGACCAAACGTTGTATCCATGTAAACCTCTCATGTATACAGCCTCATCTTTCATTTCAGAGCTCTTACCACGAAGATGCATTGTCTTGACAAAACTGCAGACACCGCTTGTGACGGTACCACACGCAGAGATGAAATCGCTTCTCTAGTTGATACAGCCATCGTTGATACGGGTCCTATACCCTTATCTGGATCATGTAGAACAGGTGAATCCACTTTGTGCTGTTTCAGGCGGTGTCTTATACTAATTTAAGTCAAATTCGAGGTCTAACATATGTCGTATTCGGGATTACAATCTCAGTAAAGTACAGATTCGAATCTCGGATGTGACTCAAGTACTAGAGTACTAGAATCTGTACACTACTGAGAAACGCGTTAAATTTGACCACTTTCTAAAATGGCATTGTGTATTCACAATTCCAGGTCGATGGCTTTTTCCACGGCTTGTTGTCAAGTATATGTTCTTTGAAATGTCATATTTAGACACTATCATCATCATCATCGTCGTCGTCGTCGTCGTCGTCGTCGTCACATCCTTCATCATCATCATCGTTGTCGTCGTCGTCATTACCATCATCTTCATTATAATTATTATCATCATTATTTACAGATGTCACGGCTACGTGCGACTGCCAAACAACCTATGCCAAGACTAACCCGACTGGAGATTGTGCGTACGTATGAATGTTCCGTGAAGGAAGTAGTCAGTTATAGAAGTACCTGTAGACAAAATGTACATGAAACTAAGGTGGTGATCATATATCAAGGCGAGTAAACGGCAAACGACAATATCCATTTGCTCCCTGGACACGGAGAAAACTGGAGAAAACCACAGGCCCTCGTATCTTTGCGGGGATTAAAGATGTTAAAAAACATGAAAAATTTGAGATGACATAATGTTTTGTTCTGTGTAGCATTTCGAGTCGGGGGTCATCTCAATTTTTTTGTTGTAATCTTTAATCTTCGCAAATGCATGAGGGCCTGTAGACAAAACCGGACATTGCTGAATAAACTGACGAAACCAAACGAGGTATGCACGGGATGTTTCGTTTGGTTGGTTCACCAGACAGTCCATTTCATTTATATCATCCAGAGCTGTGGCAAATCCAGTTTTCTCAAGCAGCCTATATGCTTACACGCTGGTCCCCGCAGGTTGTAACTGGTCCCGGGGCGGCGGGGCAGTCTAGTGGTTACAGCGTCCGCTCGCCATGCTGAAGAATCGGGTTCCATTCCCCACATGGGTACAAGGTGTGAAGCCCATTTCTGGTGTCCCCCGCCGTGATGTTGCTGGAATACTGCTAAAAGCGCCGTAAAACCATACTCTTTCTGTGGGTATATATTGTTTGAAAGCCCGTTTCTGTACCCCCTGCCGTGATATTGCTGGAATATTGCTAAAACTACTGTAACCAGATACTCACCTTCTTTGATTTATGTGTTTGTCGTTTGTCACTGTTCACAGGGCTTTGTATGCGAAGATTGAGTGTATTGCTGGGGGTAAAACTCTCGCTTGTTTGTCGAGTGTGAAGCCAGTCGCTGTCGCCACAGAAACCGTCAGTGATATAACCGCCCTCGGAGCCACGTGTACTGCCAGTAAGTACATTCATGTTTGTCATAATTGTCATTGTTACATTTCCGATCCGGAAAGACACGGGTTAGAAATGGTCTTCAGAAACCCATGATTGTTGTAAGAGGCGACTAACGGGATCGGGTGGTCAGGCTCGCTGACTTGGTCATCGTATCCCAGTTGCGTACATTGATGTTCATGCTGTTGATCACTGGATTGTCCGGTCCATACTCGATTATTTACAGACCGCCGCAATGTAGCTGGAATATTGCTATGTACGGTGTTAAGCTAAACACAAATAAACAAATAAAACCCCAATCAACGAACTGAAGACTATCTGAATGATTGTGTTTACCTGAAGAGTTCTGCTGTTGATCACTGGATTGTCTGGTCCTGGCTCGATTATTTACATACCACCACCGTATAACTGCAAAATTGCTGAGTGTGGCGTTAAACAACAACCAAAAGAAACGACAATGTTACATTTCCAAATTGGACGCATCAGTTACAAAAGTGCGGTTCATGTCACCAGAATAATAACATATATCTTTAGTGCTTTAATATGTATGTCGAAAATAGGAGATGATTGTATGATGTGTCACTCACTGACAAAGAATTTAGATCCCAATATATCGCAATACTTATCGCAATACCAGTACCTGATTCGCCATGTGTGACAATCAATTTGCCAAAACACAACCTTTTCGCGAACAAATGGTATCATCAATATTTGGGTGGTTTTCTGTTTTGTAAGAGAGGCACTTAGAAAATGTTACAGACGCTTTCCAAAGCAACTTCACAGATTGCCAACTTCTCGATATAAAATGGGCAGGGTATTTTGTATGCTTTTTACCCGGAATCATATCGCTTCATGTCGGAAAGCGCACGTAAAATCTTGTCGAAAAGCAGCGAACGTAAAATCTCCAAATCATCTTTATCATCAGCTATGTATTCTGTTTATCTGTTTTTAACTCAATATTTATAATTTACGCTAAATTATGTACATATGAAATTATTTCTGTTCATAGCGGAGACGGACACCTGTACATGCCAGAAAACATTAGCTGAGACAGACATTCTGCTTGGAAATACACAGCACTGCGCGTAAGTTCACGATTAATAGACAGCTGGGAATCTGATCTGATGTGAGCATATGTAAACAGAGAAACTTTGTGTCAGCAATGACAATAGGGCTAATACATGGCCCTGTCTGACACAACACAACCACTTTCAGTGTCCTAGAGGCAACGTTCCAATACCATGTTAGCCACCCCTCCTACACTTTCAGTCTTCTAGATACAGCGTTGTCATACAATTTTAGCCATCACTCCTACACTTTCAGTGTCCTAGAGGCAACGTTCCCATACCATTTTAGCAATCCCTCCTTCACTTTCAGTGTCCTTGAGGCAACGTTCCCATACCATTTTAGCCACCCCTCCTACACTTTCAGTGTCCTAGAGGCAACGTTCCCATACCATTTTAGCAATCCCTCCTGCACTTTCAGTGTCCTAGAGGCAACGTTCCCATACCATTTTAGCAATCCCTCCTTCACTTTCAGTGTCCTAGAGGCAACGTTCCCATACCATTTTAGCAATCCCTCCTTCACTTTCAGTGTCCTAGAGGCAATGTTCCCATACCATTTTAGCCACCCCTCCTACACTTTCAGTGTCCTAGAGGCAACGTTCCCATACCATTTTAGCAATCCCTCCTGCACTTTCAGTCTTCTAGATACAGCGTTGTCATACCATTTTAGCCACCCCTCCTACACTTTCCGTATCCTAGAGGCAACGTTCCCATACCATACCATTTTAGCAATCTCCTCCTTCACTTTACCAGTGTCCCTCCTTCACTTTCAGTGTCCTAGAGGCAATGTTCCCATACCATTTTAGCCACCCCTCCTACACTTTCCGTATCCTAGAGGCAACGTTCCCATACCATTTTAGCAATCCCTCCTGCACTTTCAGTGTCCTAGAGGCAACGTTCCCAAACCATTTTAGCAATCCCTCCTGCACTTTCAGTGTCCTAGAGGCAACGTTCCCATACCATTCTAGCAATCCCTAATGCGCTTTTTAGCGATAGCGTTGCCATGTCACGACAATTTAGCAATCCTGCGCCTACACTTTCAGTGAATACATGACACTTTTATGGATAACAACTTCTTTTTATTGTTTTCACGACGTTTCAGAGCTAATTCTTGCTCTTTCATCAGATGAATACCGAGTCAGTACAAAGAGTGAATATATATAGATGAAACATGTTTACACAATGCAAGGAGGGAGAATGTACAAATATAACAATATAATTACGAAGCCAATAAGATTGGTTTAATGCATAAAGAAAACATTGTATTGTGTACACAAATCCAAGAGTGGGAAGGGAGTGATGTACAAGAATACCAACATAATAGGAAAACAATTGGATAGGATTAATGTACAAAGATAACAATGAGCGGTTGAAGCCAAGAGATTATAGGACTACAGAGTATACACTGGGAAAGTAAATGCCTTGGTCCCGGTTAATGGCTGGTTTCTTTCTCTGGATCTCGGTACTTTCTTCAAGTTTCCGATTCTTCCAGTGGTTGATGTTTTGACTCAGTATTCGCCTGATGAAGGAGCAAGTCTTAGCTCTGAAACGTCGTGTAAAGAATAAAAAGAAGTTGTTATCCATAAAAGTGTCATGTATTCATGTTCGTCCAACTTCTAAATGCCTTTCAAAAACTGCACTTTCAGTGTTTTAGTGAAAGCGTTGCCATGCCATGACAATTTAGCAATCCTGCGCCTACACTTTCAGTGCGCTAGTGGCAGCGTTGTTGTGCCTGAAGGGGAAGACGAGCACTGGTTGTGACACCGCTACAGTAGACTCCCTTGACATACAGCTGAAGAAGGATATCGATACGATCGGTACTACAGACTGTCGTAAGTTGGTTTAAATTGTTCCACATAATTAGAAATATATCCAACACGTTTGTCACTGCGCTTAACTTGCCACATAAGACATGCAAAATCCAGTTTGGGCTGCACACATGTCTATGTTTCTCAGATGGCCATAGAGTTATGTACAAGCGTGTACAAATTATATAGGTTTGCTCACGAACGTATGCGTAATGTTTTCATGGAGACATCTACGAAATCCAGGCGATGCGTTACTGACGCAATCTGTGCTTGTCGTAAGAGGCGGCTAACGGGATCGGGTTGTCAGGCTCCCTGATTTGGTTAACATATGTCATCGTATCCTATTTGCCTAAATCGATGCTCATGCTGTTGATCACTCGGTTGTCTGGTCCAGGCTCGATTATTTACATACCGCAACTGGAATACTGCTCAGTGCGGCGTAAAACAACAAACAACTCGAGGGGATATTATCAAACTTTCAAATGCAAAGATAAAAATTTTGTGCTTAGTTTCTGAAATGTTAGTACTTCCAGTATGTATTTATTTAAATATGTTCACTTACGTTAACTGTAAAGACGCAAAGAATTCCTCATCTATCTTGCCTTGCCTTGTTTCTAATACACTATATATTCATTACAAAAATGTGCCTTTCAGCTCAGTCCGATACATGTGTCTGTGAAGTAGCGTACGCAAAGTCCATTCTGACCACTCTGCAAGATAAGTGCACGTGAGTAGAATTTGATTACTGAGTTATATTCTCAGATTAATTATTTTTATCGTTGTGCTTCATGCTTTTGTAATTTATTATTTAAGAACTAGCAGATAAACGTTTCACACAAATATTGTCCACCGATGTTTTATAGATTCAACTTTATCTTTAATTTTACGTAGTAGACCCGTAAAGATCCGGGTTAAAATTGATCATCAGTAATCGATGCTTGTAAGAGGGGACTAACGGGATCGGTTGATCAGGCTCACTGACTTGGTTGACACATGTCGTCGTATCGAAATTGCGTAGATCGACGCTCATGTTGTTGATCACGGGATTGTCTGGTCCAAACTCGATTATTTACAGACCGCCGCCATTTAACTGGAATATTGCGGCATAAAACAACACATCAAAACAGAAACTCGTTTTGCGGAGACAGGTTAATGCATGATGGTTTTCTGTTTGTCAGGGCATGGCTAGCAGAATTAGGCTGTCTAAGAACAGCAACTGCTGTGGGCTGTGACGGGTCATCCACTAAAGCGGAGATCGACACAGCAATCAAAACAAATATGGACGCTGCGACAACCGCTGGTGGTGCTACTAACGATAAATGCAGTAAGTCACGCTTATATGAGTGAGTGAGTGAAGACGCAACACTCCACCCGTATGTACCTTGTCCTGTTATGAACATGCACCATAAGTTCCATAAACAGATAAGACTTCAAGTATAAGGGCGTCACCACGGGCGGCCGGCCATGTCGTCTAAACCCGTGAAGATCCTGATTAGAATTGATCTTCAGTAACCCATGCTTCTCGTAAGAGGCGATCGGGTGGTCAGGCTCGCTGACTCGGTTGACACATGACATCGTATCACAATTGCGAAGATCGTTGCTCATGCAGTTGATCACTGGATTGTTTACAGACCGCTGCCATACAGCTGGAATATTGCTGAGTGCGGCGTATAACTTTAGTCACTCACTCTACCCCATGTCTAAAGCGCCGTGTATCTACTTAACTTGTCTAACTGACGTATGAGTCATTACGGAACAACGTTACTTCTGAAATTAAACATAATTAATGAGTAACGAATTTTTCGAATGGAACAGTAAATATATTATGATATATGTTATTTTATTATGTTTCTATATTATATACAAATGTTGTTTTCAAATTTACCCCTTCTTGTTCTAAACTTTTCTGTCTACATGAAGATACAATTTTGAACTAATAAGCAAGCCACCTTACTAAAATTATACTCTTCAAAAAAAGAAACATGACATAAAACAAATTTGAATTTTAGGAAAATATTTGACACAAACCAATCCATGCTGAATCCCAGCATGTGGGGGAATGGTTGCCGACGACAAAACGTTTGAAAAAAGAAACGTTTAGCAAAAACGTAACGTTACACTCACGTCTGTAGTGAATCGCTAAAAGGCACCCTACATGAAATACACGAGCATCATGAAATGATGAGCTGAAGCCTATGACTGTAGGCTTTCAAAAGCCACATTAATCGTACTCCAAATGCATTGCTTTAAGCCACTATAGACGACAGGAGAATGACAAGGCTGACAGAAGCTCAACGGCACAACGCCATCGGCTGTTTACAACGACGGACATCGCAGCATGATGTGGTAAGGCACTTCAGCGTGTCCAGACAGACCATCTCAAACCTATGGACGCGATACAAAAATACTGGGAGTGTTCATGACAGACCAAGGTCAGGTCGACCTGGAGTGACCACCGCCGCCCAGGATCGCTACATCCGGTTGAGGCATTTTCGTTCAAACAACACGGCCGCATCATCCACAACAATCCAAATCCCTTGACTGATCCGAATCTCCGACCAGACAGTGCGCAATTGGCTATGGAAAGCCAGATTTCTTGCCAAAAGACCAGTTCAACGTTACGTCGTTCCCTACATCAACGTGATCTTTGGAGCATGACAATGCTCGACCTCACGTTGCACATGTTTGACAGGTCTTCTCCAGCAAAACAATGTTCAGTTGTTACCTTGGCCTTCTCGATCACCGGAGTTGTCCCCCATCGAACATCTATGGGATACTCTTGATCGACGCTTGCGCCAGCGTGATCCGCCACCTCAGACACTACAAGAACTGCACACAGCACTTCAGTAGTGTAACAAAACATTGCTCAAGACAGCATTCGGCATCTCCTTTCTTTTATGGGTCATCGCTGCCGCCAAGGTGTTATCGATGCTCATGATGGTCACTCCAGATACTGACATCTTACTCTGACCACGTGTCCTTTATAGCTCTCTGTGGTTTTACCCAATACTTTCTGGATAATCATGTTTTGGAAATTTGTAAACTGATGATTTTACTGTAGCTGAGCAATGATGTCATGTTTGAATCAGTTATAAGCACTCAGTAAGTAACCTCCTGAACAGCATGCCAAGTTTCTTTTTTTGAAGAGTATACTATATTTTCAAATTATATTGAAATATGTTTAGACGAAGAATGGTCAAATAGAATAATATTAAATATAATAATATGAGTAACAAAATGAGCCATTTGGTACATGTATTAGTTGAACAAGGTCACAGAGGCAAACGCGAATTCCAGCAAAGCCAATCATTTTGTCGCTGTCGACTGTCCCAAGACACAAATCAGGTCCTAAAAAGGCGCTTGTCTCTCTGACATAAGTACATACAGCCTTAGAGAAATTGTCCCATGCCATATCTTCTAGAACAAAGAAACCCATCACGTTTATGCACGCATGATTGATAACTCCAACAAATCCTGTTCCGTCATATAAAGACGCCCCAGTTCATCCATTAACAGTATCATAACATGGAAAGTTCTTGAGTGGGCAAAGTGGGGACGCGACCAAAAGGATATGGTGATGAGATTCGGTGACGTGGTTGACTGCAGGTCCTTGAAGACGTGGACCGTTGCTCACAATATCGCTCACCGGATTATCTGGTCCATGTACAGTTCGCACTCTGAGAATATATATGTGTGTGATGGTAAACAACAAACAAATCACTCGTTTCTGTGGAAAGTGCTTGAAACCTTCATCTTTTGCCGCCAGTGACAATCGCCACAGATTTACATTCACAACAGTTTCTACAGACATTGGTATTACTTGCACATAACACCGTGAGTGAGTGAGTGAGTGACTTTAGATTTACGCCGCTTTTAACAATATTCCAGCAATATCACGACGGAGGACACCTGAAATGGGCTTCACACATTGTACCCATGTGGGCAATCGAACCTGGGTAATCGGCGTGACGAGCGAACGCTTTAACCAACAGGCTACCCCACCGCCCCATAACACTGTAAAATGGCATCTAACTAAAGTCAAGTTAAAGTGGACAGAAATAAAACAAATACTATACTAATTTTAGACATCATTTATAATTTTAATGAGCGAATGTGATTTGTCCTTCACCGGTGGTTCGATGCTTTTTACCTTTTGCTCACGCAAGTATATTCACCCTGGCGTGCAGTTTACCCATGGGAGCAAGGAGAGTGCTTATAAACAGGGCAGAATATTCAGGTCTTACATGGCTTGTTTCAAGTCTCTATCATCAGGACAAGGTCAGCGTAAACAACGTGCATGACACCTTGGAAGTAGTCCTCATAGACCCAGCATTTGTGTCGCCAACTAGTTATATATCTAATATTACCTTCATCGTCATATATCTAATATTACCTTTATGGCCATATAGCTAATATTACCTTTATGGTCAAATACCTAATATTACCTTTATCGTCAAATATCTAATATTACCTTCATGGTAATATATCTAATATTACCTTTATGGCCATGTATCTATTATTACCTACATGGGCATATATCTAATATTACCTTTATAGACATATATCTAATATTACCTTCATGGTGATACACCTAATATTACCTTAATAGTCATATATCTAATATTACCTTCATGGTCATATATCTAATATTACCTTTATGGCCATATATCTAATATTACCTTTATGGTCAAATATCTAATATTACCGTCATGGTCATATATCTAATATTACCTTTATGGCCATATATCTAATATTACCTTCATGGTCATATATCTAATATTACCTTCATGGTCATATATCTAATATTACCTTTATGGTCATATATCTAATATTACCTTTATGGCCATATATCTAATATTACCTTCAAGGTCATATATCTAATATTACCTTCATGGTCATATATCTAATATTACCTTTATGGTCATATATCTAATATTACCTTTATGGCCATATATCTAATATTACCTTCATGGTCATATATCTAATATTACCTTCATGGTCATATATCTAATATTACCTTTATGGTCATATATCTAATATTACCTTTATGATCAAACATCTAATATTACCGTCATGGGCATATACTAGTGTCTAATATTACCTTTATGGCTATATAGCTAATATTACCTTTATGGTCAAATATCTAATATTACCTTTATGGTCAAATATCTAATATTACCTTCAAGGTCATATATCTAATATTACCTTTATGGTCATATATATAATATTACCTTTATGGCCATATATCTAATATTACCTTCATTGTCAAATATCTATTATTACCTTCATTGGCGTATATCTAATATTACCTTTATGGCTATGTATCTAACATTACCTTCAAGGTCATATAGGGGCGGTGGGGTAGCCTAATGGTTAAAGCGTTGGCTCGTCACGCCGAAGACCCGGGTTCGAATCCCCACACAGTCAAGGTCATATATCTAATATTACTTTCAAGGTCATATATCTAATATTACCTTTATGGCCATATATCTAATATTACCTTTATGGTCATATATCTAATATTACCTTCATGGTCAAATATCTAATATTACCTTCATGGTCATATATCTAATATTACCTTTATGGCTATATATCTAATATTACCTTCAAGGTCCATACATCTAATATTACCTTCATGGTCATATATCTAATATTACCTTCCTGGTCATATATCTAATATTACCTTTATGGTCATATATCTAATATTACTTTCAAGGTCATATATCTAATATTACCTTTATGGCCATATATCTAATATTACCTTCATGGTCATATATCTAATATTACCTTTATGGTCAAATATCTAATATTACCTTCATGGTCATATATCTAATATTACCTTTATGGCTATATATCTAATATTACCTTCATGGTCATATATCTAATATTACCTTTATGGTCATATATCTAATATTACCTTTATGATCAAACATCTAATATTACCGTCATGGGCATATACTAGTATCTAATATTACCTTTATGGCTATATAGCTAATATTACCTTTATGGTCAAATATCTAATATTACCTTTATGGTCAAATATCTAATATTACCTTCAAGGTCATATATCTAATATTACCTTTATGGTCATATATATAATATTACCTTTATGGCCATATATCTAATATTACCTTCATTGTCAAATATCTATTATTACCTTCATTGGCGTATATCTAATATTACCTTTATGGCTATATATCTAACATTACCTTCAAGGTCAGTCAGTCAAGGTCATATATCTAATATTACTTTCAAGGTCATATATCTAATATTACCTTTATGGCCATATATCTAATATTACCTTTATGGTCATATATCTAATATTACCTTCATGGTCAAATATCTAATATTACCTTCATGGTCATATATCTAATATTACCTTTATGGCTATATATCTAATATTACCTTCAAGGTCATACATCTAATATTACCTTCATGGTCATATATCTAATATTACCTTCCTGGTCATATATCTAATATTACCTTTATGGTCATATATCTAATATTACTTTCAAGGTCATATATCTAATATTACCTTTATGGCCATATATCTAATATTACCTTCATGGTCATATATCTAATATTACCTTTATGGTCAAATATCTAATATTACCTTCATGGTCATATATCTAATATTACCTTTATGGCTATATATCTAATATTACCTTCAAGGTCATACATCTAATATTACCTTCATGGTCATATATCTAATATTACCTTCCTGGTCATATATCTAATATTACCTTTATGGTCAAATATCTAATATTACCTTTATGGTCATATATCTAATATTACCTTCATGGTCATATATCTAATATTACCTTCCTGGTCATATATCTAATATTACCTTTATGGTCAAATATCTAATATTACCTTTATGGTCATATATCTAATATTACCTTCATGGTCAAATATCTAATATTACCTTCATGGTCATATATCTAATATTACCTTTCATGGTCAAATATCTAATATTACCTTCATGGTCATATATCTAATATTACCTTTATAGCCATATATCTAATATTACCTTTATGGCCATATGGTCATATGGCCATATATCTGATATTACCTCCGTGGCAATGTACTTATTATTACCGTCTTGGTCATATATTCAATATACGTTCATGCCAATGTAATATTTCCGTCGTTTACATTGCAGCTACCAATCCAGTTTGCCTCTGTGAAATCGCTTACGCTGTGACCACTAAAACAGCACCTTCAGACCAATGCACGTAAGTTATAGTCCATAAACACGGGATGACGTATACATATTCATAAACACCATGTTTTGTCAGTATGAAACTGGTAAGTCTCTCTCTCGTCACGCCGAAGACCCGGGTTCGAATTCCCCAATGGGTACAATGTGTGAAGCCCATTTCTGGTGTTCCCCGCCGTGATGTTGTTGGAATAATGCTAAAAGCGGCGTAAAACCAAACTCAGTCAGTCAGTCATACATACATACATACATACATACATACATACATACATACATACATACATACATACATACATACATACATACATACATACATACATACATACATACATACATACATACATACATACATACATACATACATACATAGCTATCATTTTATGTTACTTACATGTATTTTGCAAAATATTTAATACCATATGTTACAAAACGATATGCACACATCCCCTACATTTTGCAATATGTGAATGAGATACATATATACTACTCACACTTTGCTAAAGACTACAGAAATTCACAACTTTACGTAAACGTAGATTTTATAATTTGAAATTGTATCCCTTTAAAACTGGATAAATGATAATATATATAGTAACCCCTCTTTAGGCAAACAACCACATTAATCTAACCTAAATGCACTTGATACATGAGTAACCATAAAACTGTTTTCATGGCATCAAACAACCATTTTGCAAATCATGGAACGAATTATTTACAAATAAACAACACATGTCAATAGCAGGTATGGGATCCACAAGATGCAATGACATACTGAAACCTAGGATCCATGCTTACAATAGGCTTAGGTATTTAAACCAAATTTGACCCCTCATAATAGTTCCAGTTGAATCCTTAGCAAAGTGTGAATAGTATATCTACATTATGTAGTCCAATGTGAGTGAGTTGGGCTTAACACCACTTTCAACAGTAGTCCAGTTATGCCATGGCATTTACGTACTTCATGTCTGAGGAAATCTCGAAGGCTAACTCGAAGGCTAACTCGAAGGCTTACCAGACCGCCTCCGTGGTGTAGTGGTTAGAGCGTCCGCCCGGAGAGCGGAAGGTCACGGGTTCGATCCCCGGCCGCGTCATACCAAAAGACGTTAAAATATGGTACATGTTGGTCCCTGCCTGGCGCTCGGCATTAATGGGTACAACAAGGACTGGTCGACTCGGAGTCAGTATAATGTGTCTGAGTGGGGTATTCATGCTTCACTGCGGCATGGTATCTCAGTGAACTAGCACTATAAAACCAATTTAAGTCTGGGCTAGTACAAGCAGCCCCACATACACATACACACGTCATGCACGTCGTCATATGAGCGAAATATTCTCCAGCGCGACGTTAAACCCAATTTCACCTCACCTCACCTCGAAGGCTAACCAACGAGCAGAGATATGACAGAGAACAGTAGTCAGGGCCAATCCATCGCCAAACCCTAAATCGAACCCTCGAAAATAGGTTTCTTACGTTCCCAAGGGGCGCACCTCTACACATTTAATTGCAACGCCTTGCCGTCTGTAACATCTTGTTAGGGGATGGATATATGAATAAAGAGCATGTACTCAAATTAGGTCAAGGGCATGTCAGTCGTAACATTTACCTACATAATATAGGATATGTAAATATAGGACATGTGTCTAGATGATACAAATAGGAGATACAAATAGATTCATGAACCTTCATGAATTTTGCACACCGAGTTCATGTACCTACTTAGTACCAATTTATGGGTAGAGTGAATATAACTCATTAACAAAGATACATACAGGTCAGGTGAATATAACTCATTAACACAGATACATAAAGGGCAGGTGATTGTATCACTTTAACACAGATACACACAGGTCGGGTGAATATAACACATTAACACAGATTCACACAGGTCAGGTGAATATAACTCATTAACACAGATACATACAGGTCAGGTGAGGGTATCAAATTAACACAGATACACACAGGTCGGGTAAATCCAATACATTAACACAGATTCACACAGGTCAGGTGAATATAAGTCATTAACACAGATTCACACAGGTCAGGTGAATATAACTTATTAACACAGATTCATACAGGTCAGGTGAATATAACTCATTAACACAGATTCATACAGGTCAGGTAAATATAACTCATTAACACAGATTCACACAGGTCAGGTGAATATAACACATTAACACAGATTCACACGGGTCAGGTGAATATAACTTATTAACACAGATTTACACAGGTCAGGTGAATATAACTTATTAACACAGATACATACAGGTCAGGTAAATATAGCTCATTAACACAGATTCACACAGGTCAGGTGAATATAACTTATTAACACAGATACATACAGGTCAGGTGAATATAACTTATAAACACAGATACATACAGGTCAGGTAAATATAACACATTAACACAGATTCACACAGGTCAGGTGAATATAACTTATTAACACAGATACATACAGGTCAAGTGAATATAACCTATTAACACAGATACATACAGGTCAGGTAAATATAACTCATTAACACAGATTCACACAGGTCAGGTTAATGTATCACCTTAACACAGACACACAGGTCAGGTGAATATATCGCTTTAACACAGATTCACACAGGTCAGGTGCATACGACACGTTAAAATAGACACATACCATTTCTTTCATTTACAGCGCTTTGAAAACCTTCATATCATGTTTGGCTGGTGAGACGGTCAGTGGTTGTGACGGTACCACAAAGCCATGGACGTTAGCTGCGGATGCTAGGACTGCTCTAAATAATCTTGGTACCACGACATGTCGTAAGTAGCAATCAATCATTTACTTTTTATGCACGTGTTGTGACAGCGGGACATGCATATCAATAACACCCGGTGTCTTCCCTGATTTTCAGTGATCCATTTTTGTAACTTTTACTTTTACTCAACTAATATGTTTAATATATAGAGAATATATGACCTCCAAAATCTTTCTTGGTATACATACAAGCAATATTTATTGAAACCTATTTTCATTGGATTCTCCTTCGTCACCTTTCTTTGCGTCACAATAAGAAATGTATTTTGGGAGTATGATCATTCTCGGTAAGCATTATGTGATTGGGAATAAAATGTGTTTCTTAGCAACCATGTTTACTATACAGAATGTAACACTGAACTTCACACACGTTTTGTTCCAGCTTTGACGACAACATGCTTATGCGAAATAGATTTAGCAACGACTACCATCGACGATGACACGAAAAAGTGCAAGTATGTAAGATTCGTAGCCACTGTGTATCCTAAAAGCAACGTCTTGATAAAGGCTTGTTTCAGAGTGATCACATTGATAAATCATCCTGTGATTTACATCATGGGTATCGATAAAGACACAAAAGGGATATGACGACATGCATCAACCATGCCAGTGATCCTAACGGCCTGTTTGTTAACTAACATGGGTCACTGAAGACAACGACAGATTGTTTGTTAACAAACATGGGTCACAGACCAGTGTCTTCACATGGTTAGATTATTTCACAGGTAGTACCAATGCTTGCTTGCCTCCGTGTGTAACCATACGTACAAATTTGGCTTGATATGATTCTCATACCATTAATCGCGTCACTGACAGCGCTCTGAAGACCAACTTGGACTGCATTATAAAGTCATCAACTACATCGTGTTCTGGGACAGATCGACACACGTATGCTGGTGCCATCAAGTCAGCTATGGACGGAACAACAGGCTGCCCAACCAGTTAGTCTTTACTTCTCATTGTCTGTCATTATCTCTCCTCGTGTCTGTTTAATGTATTACTAACGACCGAATTTTGTTTCAGTTTATCTCTTTCTCTCTTCGTCTCTGTTTAATGTATTACTAACGACTGAACTTTGTTTCATTATATCTCTTTCTCATTATCTCTCCTCGTGTCTGTTTAATGTATTACTCACGACTGAACTTTGTTTCGTTTTATCTCTCTCTCATTATCTCTCTTTGTCTCTGTTTAATGTATTACTAACGACTGAACTTTGTTTCATTTTATCTCTTTCTCATTATCTCTCCTCGTGTCTGTTTAATGTATTACTCACGACTGAACTTTGTTTCAGTTTATCTCTTTCTCATTATCTCTCCTCGTGTCTGTTTAATATATTACTCACGACTGAACTTTGTTTCATTTATCTCTTTCTCATTATCTCTGTTTGCCTGTTTTTCTCTTTACGTCACGGTTGGACGTGTCTCTTTATTTACCGACCCCCGTTTGTGTCCGGGTTTATTCATTCTTCTCAATTGAACCTTGTATGTGTTTCATTTTATCGATCACTGTTTCTCTTCACCAGTATTTTATCTATCTCTCACTATTTAACATTTTCTTTATTCTCTTCATTCCCTCACAGTAGTGTTGATACTCTATGACGGGACAAATACTACCCGGCGAGTTTATCAAATGTTTTCAGTTTCTCTGCCTCTATGTCTGTAGTCACTACTGTGTTCCTTGTTTCAGCATACGCCTCGGCAGGAATTTGTAAAGACTGCGTGATTCCATTCGCCACAACTGCGTCAACGTGCATGTAAGTTCTTTTGACGTGAATGTGCATCAACTCAATATGATTATATGGTTGGGTGTTGTTTTACGCCGCACTCAGTCAATATTCCAGCTGTATGGCAGCGGTCTGTAAATCATCGAGCCTGAACCAGACAATCCAGTGATCAACAGATTGAGCATCGATATATTGGGATCCGATTGGGATACGATGACGTGTCAACCAAGTCAGCGAACATTGGTTGCTCAAGACCAATTTTAATCCGAATCTTCCCCGGGTCGACTCAATATGACTATGGATGTGAATATCTATGTCTGCAACAGCTAAAAACGAGAATATATACTACAAACACAAAAGTATGGAAACACCCTAAAATTTTATAGGTATATATAAACTTTAACGTGGTGAGGTCATTTATACTCTAAGGTAAATGCAACCTTTTGTGTGTTTAATAGGCACTTTAAACGACTTGTTGGAACATGCAGTGAAGCAACTGATTCAGTATTTGTTGAGTTTGAGTGAAATGAAACATTGTCAAAAACAGCGAAAAACAGGGGTGCTGAAAGACACCAGAACTATGTTTGATTCAAACGCCCAAACACAACAGCCTAGTGCATGTGGGAAGACATACTTCCTATGCAGCTTGTGGCGACTGGGCACTGGCAGTTGTGAATCGGTTCCAAATGGCTTGGAGCACAACATATCGGTCATCTGTCCTTGATGCTTTTCTGGGTATTCCAGAGCGAGGTCAATCCTATACTCTACCAGTGGCCTGGAACCTGTCCCTTAGTCTGTGAATGACAGAGGGAGACACCTGAAGACGGCGAGAAACACTTCTTATGGATTCACCATCCTGTAACTATGCAATGGCCCTGTTCTGTCGTGGGCACTTAACGTGCACCGCGTGGCATGGTGACGAAGTCGTTTGGCATCAATACTGTCTGAAGCTTCTTTTAAAGGAAATGTTGCATGTAGAGTTCCCATCTCTATCCCAGACCATTGTGAGTGAGTGAGTTTGGTTTTCGCCGCTTTTGGCAGTACACCAGAAACGGGCTTCATTGTACGCATGTGGGGAATCGAACCCGGTTCCTCGGCGTGACGAGCGAACGCTTTAACCACTAGGCTACCCCATCGCCTCCCTCAGACCCGTGTGCTCAATGGATTTCCTCTTACGACTGCCAAAGCTGGGATATTGTGCTTTTGTGTTGTTTTCACCTTTATACCAAAACGCTTCCATTTTAACACCTTTTGGTCTTTCGTTTCACAGGACCTTAGATACTTACTACCACTGTTTGTACATGACGTCAGACACTACTGGTTGTGGTGGTTCTAAAAACATCAAAACACTCGCCGATGAGCAAGCCACACAAGACACAACTTTAACTTGTGGTAAGTTACTTTTCATGTATGTATGTATGTATGTATGTATGTATGTATGTATGTATGTATGTATGTATGTATGTATGTATGTATGTATGTATGTATGTATGTATGTATGTGTGTGTGTGTGTGTGTGTGTGTGTGTGTGTGTGTGTGTGTGTGTGCGTGCATGCGTGCATACGTATGTATACGTATGTATGTGATATGTGTGTCCATGCATGTGTGCATGCATGCGTGCATGCATGCGTGCGTGTGCGTGCGTTGGTGCATGCATGCGCGGACCTAAATATCATCGAAATAGAATTGGAAATAACATAACGCTAAAATAATGCGAACATATTCGAAGATGTTTAAAGAACATAATTCACCTAGGTTACATGTATTTCCTTTTCGCCTTGTCTCATTTGTAATGTTCTTGGGCCCATTCACATAATGTTCCGCCCAGTTTGCCAATACACCCAGTGGAATCAGTCTCTGGACACTCGAGACTGGATATTCCCCAGCCATGAGATGTTACACGTTTGGCATAAGTCATCTTTGTCATATCCACTTTGTTTTCAGTTTCACCTCGTCGTGATGTATGCGTCTGTCAGGTCGCCTTCTTGAAGTCCACAGCAGCACTATGCGAGTGAGTGTCCTTCAATGCGGACACTTTATTTCCAATTTAGTAGTACATGTATCTTTTCATGCACAAAGTGCGTACACAGAGTTCTGTATCAACAATATAAGATGTATTTCGTTTGATTAACATTTGTAATTTTGGTATCAATACAAGAGGCTGACGTAACCCTAAATGACTTTTAGACAAGTTAAGTGAACGTGAAAAGAATTTATTATGCCATGACCTTGTCGACCGTCCTTTCACATTAATCATTAACATATTGGTTGATCTAAATCAGTTATGCCATTTACATCATCGTATTTATTGAAAGGAAGAAATGGTTTGAAAGAAACTCTGCTTTAACGTTTCTACAGCGCCCTGCAGGTGCTAATGAACTGTCTGTGGGCTGGAACTGCAAATGCTTGTGATAACACTGTAAAGAGGGATGCGATAGCAACTCCAGCTGATGCTAAAATAGATGATACATGTAAAGGCAGTAAGTACAGCTTAAATATTACATGACTATCTACTTAAATATTACATGACTATCTACTTAAATATTACATGACTATCTACTTAAATATTACATGACTATCCTCTTAAATATACTGATCAGCAAAAGAAACGCAAGTCAAGAAATGAAAACAATTTAAAACAAAACAAGTATCAACTCCAAACTCATGCTGAAAAAGTATAATTTTCATGAATTCTGTGTTTTTTTGTTCGTCAGTATATTAAATATAACACGACGACCTACTTGGATATGGGCTGACTGTCCACATTAATATTACACAAATGTCTAACTTTTAGTGGTACGTGTTGAAACAACATGAATGAGCGAGTTTAGTTTTACGCCGCACTCAGCAATATTCCAGCAAGATGGGATCGGTTTTATATAATCAAGTCTGGACCAGACAATCCAGTGATCAACAGCATGAGCATCGATCTACGCAAATGGCATACGATGATGTGAGTCAACCAAGTCAGCGTTCCTGACCACCTGATCCTGTTAGTCGCCTCTTTCGACAAACATGGTTGGTGACGGCCAATTCTAACCTGGACCTTCACGGGTTGAAACAACATGAAGGGAACAAACAGACAGTAATACTGAAGTAGATGTGACGTTTTAAACATACTTCGTTTTATCTGACTGCTTGATGATATATGTATTTGAACTATTTTTCAGCATTGAGCGAAGTTTGTAAGTGTCAAATTACCTACGCCAAAGCAGACACGGGTGCTGGTCATTGCGCGTATGTATGGCTTTATCAGTTGGTCAGCGTGTTCAAAGATTTTAAGATCTGATTCAACTGTATGTCGATGATCGAAAAAAATGAGTAATTAAGTTATATAAAAATATAATCATGAATGATCTAAATTGCAATGCTCAGTTGTCGTCTCTAATATATTTGCGGATTTGATGCCTGTGATAAGGCTCTCATCTTTTATGTCACTTGTGATTTCAGCGCCTTAATTGCACAGTTTGCATGTCTTGAGGGCAAAACTGGGACTGGTTGTGAAACCAGCAGAACGCTGAAACTGGTGGCAGAAGGGGGGAACACAAAGTTTGGGACCGATTCTTGCAGTAAGTTATATTCATATATGTCTATTGTATTGTCTGGTCTACTGATCGATAACTGTGAAGCGTGGTTACATACCCATTTATACCTCAATGACAACTAGACAAATGCACAAAACGCACAGTATTGATGGGCAAAATGACCTTACTATCATATTTAATGGTGGAGTTTGTCAGAAGGCATTGCTGCATTAGTACAAAGAGAATAACTAGAGAACACACTTCTTTTACGGTATAACAATATCAATGAAGCTCAACAAACGTTGTATCTTGGATATTTCACTTATTTGGTAAGTTTCAATTTGAAGTCAAGTTTCAGATGAAGTTCAGATTCCACTCATTTATGTTTTTACAAGAAAATTATGGTTTGCTAAATCAATTATTTCTAGTGTATTTTGTAAATTTTTGTACCATAGTAGTATATATAGAGGATACTGAACGACCTTCCGTGTAATACCCTTTATATTAAACGATTTAATGATTTGGTATCAAACGAGTGAAAGTTTGACACCAAATCTTTCACGAGTTTAATAAAAATGGTATTTCACGGAAGCGAGTTTAGTATTCTGTTTATTACTCTCGAACATTAATTGATAGAAACTGCACACAGTGTGAACTGTAACCGCTATGACGTCATAGGTCTAGCAGTATTACACTAGTGTAATATTACCTTAAAAATATTACACTGCAGTATCTTCCATGGGCGAGTAATAAATCATATTCTGAATGATTTAGGAGAATATTTTAACATTGTATATAAAACACTTCATTTTCAGCAACAACGGATACATGCTCATGTCAAAAGGCTTATTTGATTGCGGATGTCAGCGGGGCAAACAAATGCACGTAAGTGTGGATTTCTTCACCTGTATTATATTTACACGTGTTGGTGATGCGTTAATGCAATAATGTACCCCTAACAGCAAATTAGATATATTTAACAAACAATTCAGAAATACATGGTTGAGAAATAAGTGCATTCCTGTGGCGAAATACAAGCCAAATTCTTCATTGCCCCAAGGGTATTTAAGCATGTTTACATGCAAACTGTACACCTGTGTGTATTTTCATCTTTCAATACTGTTTGTTAATCTGCGTGTTCACTGTAGTAGGTTTATGTTATCAGGGAGACGGAGAAGAAGATAGCCTGTTTGTATGCAACAACATCTGCTAGTTGTAATGCCGCCGTCCCAAGAACAACTATCATGACCAACACAGACAACACTTGCAGTAAGATATCGTGTTTCTTTAATTACTCTATTTTAAAATGTCCTCCCCCTTCACCTATACTTGTAGTAGATATCTTGACGATGATCATTCATTCTGGAGAATGTACACATGTTTCTTTACATGTACTTAATCCTTGTGACAAAACTCACGAACGTTCATCGAACAAGTCCGTTGCGTGGTACCCTTAATGGGAACACTGACACTTTGTACTCATTAGTTATTCATGATTGAAATGTGGAAGAGCTACAGTATCTGCCTCACCTGACAGGTAAAACAGAGACCTGTGCCTGCCAGAGAGCATACGGTGTTGACACAGGCGGCGACGAATGCGCGTAAGAGTTGTTTTCTTATCCTATATTATTTTTTCATCGTAGCTTAAATACATGTTTTTTTCAACAGAAAATAGTTGTTACTTCTCACAACTTGGAGAGCAGTTTTACTTTTCATATGTATCATATATATTTTCTCTGAAGTTTTGATATCATACAATAAATCCTTTTTCGTACAACCTGCAAGGCAAATGCATTGCAAATATGATATTCGTACCTTCTGTCACAGAAAATGAGAGCTAATCCTGCCAAACCGCAGACAGTCAAACAAACATTAACAAACATTTATCCGTCACTGAAATTGTCGGATAAAGATCTTTATTGTAATGAGGGATTAGCCAATATGTCTGTTTGCCATGCCACTTACACGACATACTTTGTACATATGTTTGAATGATACCAGTGCTCAAAAAGGCGTGGTGACATGTCTGAGGACGACAACTGACACGGGATGTACAGGAGAGGCTGCCTTCACAAAGACCAGAAGTCAACTCGGCGGTGCTCTAGAGACGTTCCTTCAATCAGCCACATGTAGTAAGTAGCTGTTGCAACTAAACATTAGTCCCAATCAAATTAATATATTTACTGGATGCAAGTACAAAGTATTGAAGGTTCAGTCTTGGTAGAGTTTACAATAAACAATAAGGACCACATGTTAATTAGAATATTCCCCATGAACACATTTGAGTTCCAAGAACAAAGACATTATGAGAGTGTGTGGCTAGATAATTACAATCCTCGTTAGTTTTGTAAAGAGGTTCATGTGAGGCACGTTTCAGATGTTTACCTCCTTCGGGGAATCTAATGAATACGGTTTCAGTAAAGAACTTAATGGCTTCGGTTAATGTCCTTCTGACATGACTAGATAGAGCTTCAAGAAACTTCTGTTTCTGAAAACCAAAATTCCCACTGACACCTTTTTACAGAAAGTGCATCCATACCCCAATGTGTACACTGCCTGTTCGTGTGGTGGGAATTGGTGTTTATGCCATGAATGAATGGTTTGTCTAGATCAGATTTGTAGACTAGATTCGTCTGACCTGACAGTCACCTGACGAAGGGGCAAGGAAAAGCCCAGAGACGTTGTGTATTCAATAGGGAAGAAGTTGACATCTATAATATTAAACATTGTATTATACATGAATACCAACTCTATATGCTATACGTCGTTATTGATATACTTTCTTATCATTCGTCAATTTTCAGCTGCTGCGGGTTTGACCGACACTTGTCAGTGCCAGATTGACTACGCCAAGGCTATAGTGGATCCTGCAGCAAGCAAATGCACGTAAGTTCCTTAATTGGATGAAGTAAAGTGGTTGGAAGGATACACCATTAAAGTCGGTCAAGACGTTCATAGCACTCAAGCTGTCACCATTTACTTTTCATGTAATATGCTATTGTTGCATACTCCATACGGAAATGAATACATTAAAATACATTAATTGATTGATACTACTACAGCATTGTTAAGTTGAAACATTACTGACTTCAGCACTCTATGTCATGGTTAAGTGCCAATATTATGATGATTTGGGAGTTGTATTTTTATTCTTTTCACGAGGAAAAGGGTATATTTTGACTATTTATAGTGTTGTGAACTCCAAAACCGTTGAATACTTTTTATGAATACTTGCTTTACAGATCAGCTTTCAATATGTCTACGTTTGATGTGACGCACGTGTGCTTAACACCTCAACAGTACTTGCCATGCTCTTATTTGGCAGTGACTAAACATTCTTAATTCATTTTGTGTCACCTGTTGTGTTCATAGAGCTCTGAAGGCCCTCATTGTGTGTTTGGCTGATAAGACAGACTTGGCTTGTGATGGAGCGACGTTGCCATCGGCGTTGGCTGTTGCTGCACACAACGACATAAAGCTCGACTCTTCTTGTGGTAAGCGGGTCAACATGATTACATTCGTTACACTGACATTTCAGGTATTGAAATTGAATGGTAACCATTAAAGAGTTAACTGCAAAATGCCCCACAGTTAACTTCAAAACAAGGGACTGTCGGTTGTCATCAACATTTATTCAGAACATAGTTCACAAATAAAATCAACATTATACATGCCATTACAATATTGAACTTTTATGGGAGAGTAAATAATAATCCACATGATTTTCCAGACAATTAGGTGCCATCATATTTATTCGATTGCTTTGTTTGTTTGTTTGTCGTTTAACGGCGCACTCAGCAATATTCCAGCTATATGGTGGCTGTGTGTAAATAATCGAGTCTGGACCAGACAATCCAGTGATCAACAGCATAAGCATTGATATGCGCAATTGGGATACGATGACATATGTCAACCAAGCCATCGAGTCTGACCACCTGATCCCGTTAGCAGCCATTTATGATAGAGGTGGGTTGCTGAAGACCAATTCTGACCCGGTGTATTTGATTGCAGTGGTGACATCAACATGCGAATGCGAGATAACCTATGCCAAGACAGACGTTTCGACCAATAAATGCGAGTAAGTAAATAAACATGTTCATATATTTTCCACTACTTTTAATGTTCCATTTACTCTTGATCATACCGAAACAATTACATAATAAAAGAATTCTAAAATCAAACTTACTACAGGCGACAAAGATTTTTTTCATTTGTTTTTTTTCGACTGCGCATGTATGTGAAAGCCAAAAATGATCCCAATAACCACACTCACAAGTTGGTAATGGGACACTAATTACCAATTTTGTCTTTGACTGCCAGCGCTCAGCGTACAAAGATGGAGTGTCTGTACAACTCTGAAACTCTCGGCTGTGATGGAACGTCTACAAGGAATACTTTGGTTGATGCCTTCAAAGCTGACTTGGTGTCAGGAGCTTGTGCTGCTTCCAGTAGGTTGACGTGTGTGCTCCGGTGGAGATGAAACATCTAAAAGAAACAGGCAAAATTATATGTTTAAGAGAAATGTTATATTGGAGACTAAGCATTTCCCTAAATCATGAAGCATTTCCCTAAATCATGAAGCATTTCCCTAAATCATGAAGCATTTCATGATTTGTCCAAAATGGTATAGAATTCTGAAGAATTTAATTTAGGCATTGATATGGATTATAATGAACCTTGCTTAAAGTCCCGAAAATTAAGAATGATGCACATTTCCTGAATGTATGCATTATCCCAAGAAAACATGTTTTCCACAATGTATGGATGAACATTTGAGATATACTCGATCAAGTCATAAGTGTGTTTCCATAGAGTCTGTGATTTTGATGATAGTCTATTTCTCCCTAGCGTCCGATGTCTGCAAAACCTGTATGATCAATTATGCAGCAGTTGATCCCGCGGGTGCTAAATGCAAGTACGTAAAACACAAAAGAAAAAGAAAACATGGTCAACACACTAGAAGTACATTTAGTTTTCAGCATAAAATGAAACGGTCATTGCGCTAGTAGTTTCAGAAACGGTTTGAGTGAAATTTAATGTTATTATGTCATGATTGTAAGTTATTGTGAAATCCTCTGATTGGTGATGGCGCAAGTTTGTTGATGATCAGTGGAGGAATAGCCCAACTCCTCTGTTCAGGATGTAAAATTTCAAAACATATTCCTAAGTGTTCACAATTTCGATTTGGAGCATTTAATTAATGTTACATTTAATAATATTAATGTATCTTGCGACAAACACATGTGATAAAAGTTTTTAAAAGAAGAGATATCGTTCGCATTGCATGTTGGAATTTTACCAAAATGGTGTTACGATTGCAACTTATGGGCACAGCCTTCGGCAGGGGAGTAATATACAAACATATGTCCCCATCTGTGTGTTCAGATCAAATCTCGGTAGCACTTAACAGATGTTGAATCTACAATTAACTATGTGTCATGTATTATATATATTTTATGGTGTACACAATAGTGCCTTGAAGACATTCCTGGGATGTTTGGACACGAAGACTGCATCTTTAACAAGTTGTGACGGTTCTCAAACCATAATTCAGCTTGCTACAGCTGCAGACCAAGCAATTACGAACACCGCATCCTGCGGTAAGTCGGATCTAGTTTTCATGCTATTTTCGTGAACAATACATCCTACCCGAAGAAGCTATTCTTTCCATGTACTAAAGGTCTGGTGATTTATTTTCTCTTAAAGATGCTATGGACACATGCAGCTGTACAGTCGTCTACTTGAAAACTGCCAGGGCTGGTGATACCGCAGAATGCAAGTATGTGAAACAGTCAATCCTTAACCGCTGATTAAACAGGCTAGACTGTCTCTATAAAGGTCTCCCGACTTCGATGATCGCTAACTTACATGTTCTTGTGCGAATGGTGGTGAAACCGGTAGGACAGGGCATCCTTACACTTTTTCGTCAACACATGACTTTCAGTGGTCCATTCATAAGATTTTCTGAGAACTACTGTGCGCTTTACATCAACTGGAACGGGTAAATAGTATTAACTAGAGAAAACACCGTGACCACATCATATTTACGACACTACACCACACCACACCACAATGTATATTTGTTTATCCAGCCGGTTTGCATTTTGATAGTGTTTGAAATATATAAAGGAAAACTAAGTTCTATGGTACTAACAACGGTGTTAGTACCTACACCGAAACGCCGCAATCATTGCAACAAAGAAGTTGACTATCCATAGAAAATGGTTTTCATTCATCTTCACAATTTTTAAAATGCCTGTCAAAGAAGTTTGAAATGTATGTTTTAAGATTAAGCAGATGAATATTATATGTGTCCATCGTATTGTCAGTGCTTTAAAGACCAAGATGGACTGCATTGTAAAGGCAACAGCTAATGCATGTGATGGAACTGGCCGCCACACCTACGCGGGTACAGTTGAGACGGCCATGGACGCCGTGACAGGTTGCCCAGCCAGTAAGTTGTAAATCGACCTCAAGAAGTCTTAGCTATTTTAATCCAAACCAAAATTGAATTACTTTCTCTCTGTGCAAGTTCTATGGTATAACCATGTACTTATATGTGTTAAACATCTCTTTGCAGCGTATCCTGTTGGGTCTATTTGCAAAGATTGTGAGATTCCCATGGCAAAAGCATCTCCAACCTGCACGTAGGTCTTCATATACATTTTATTTTAAGTGACAATGCCTTAAGTTCTCTTACTCTGGCCCACCGTCTCCAAATTACAATATTTTGGAAAATAAACAATTGACAAAACCACAGTTTCTCTTTATCTTCCTATTAGCTCTCTTGTGTACATGCATAAATTTATTCCTTTCTCAGAAAGGAAAGTCAGCTACGTCAGCTACGTGCACGGCTGTCACAGCTGGTATATTGTGCTTTCTGAGATTTAAATAATTCTTTATTCTCTGCCTTAAACGAAATTGCTACTACTCTTATGACAGATTTAGTCTACTAGCACGCTCTTGCCTTCCCTGTCTTAGGATTTTGGAGACTTACTACCACTGTTTGTACACAACGACCGGCACCACCAGCTGTGATGGTTCCAAAAACATTAAAACACTCGTTGATGATCAAGCCTCGCAAGACACCTCTTTATCATGTGGTAAGTTGTACAGGTCTTCGGATCATTAAAGATAATAGAGGACAGATTCAGGCAATACTGCTTTGACGAGACCTGAAACATATTTCCATATTAGGAATGGTGGATCCAAGGATTTTCAAAGGTCCCGGATTTTCAACTTTATGGGTACATAAGGGCTAGATGGTCAGTTTGTGACCATATGCATGAACTAAATCTTTAGTAAGTAGGCGGTTTGAAATTTATATAATAGTTTATGATTTCTATACTATTTTTCTTTAAATTGATCTCAAGAACTAAAACTGAGTTGTTAACTGAATGAAATTACAGTGTTCCTTATAGAATGTTTTATATATGCCTTTAATGTATTTTTGTAGGGGGATTTGAAGGGGGGGGGGGTGCTAATGGGGAAGGGTGGTTACAGGGATTGCTGAAATGTATTCTTTGGTTTCATAGAATTGACCCTGGAAAAGACTTCTGGGTGTTTGTGCCAATATTCCCGAAATTCATTCTTTGATAAAGACATGTTAAGGTTTTACGATGTTCCTGAAATGCATTCTTTGATGTTATGTGGAGTTATATACCTTAAAAACATCCTTTGAATTTCTAGATATATACCTGAAATAGCTTTTTAGGATTTAAGTGGAAATGTTTCTGGAAAGACCTCTTTGGATTTAATATTATCACTTATTTTCTAATGACATTTGTGATTGTAATTTTAGCTACTCAAGAAATATATCGTTGAGTTTTATGTTTGCAACTTGATAAGATATATCGTTCAGTTGTAAATACATAATTTCGGTAGGAATCGTAATTTCATGAATGCTTGTTTTCATATTTTCAGGGATTTGTTCATCGATCATGTCCATATCATGTCCACCCTATTTTGAAATTTGTTTGGATGGGTACTCAATTATTCTCTGCTTATTATTAAAAGATGTTACCTTAGTCAATTGCACTTCGACATTGTTTTCAGTTTCAGCTCCTCGTCGTGATGTATGTGCCTGTCAGGTCGCCTTCTTGAAGTCCACAGCACCACTATGCGAGTGAGTGTCTTCCACAGCTGACATTAGACTAAAAATTTATTGTACAAGTTAGAAGCACATATCTCATTGTCGTGCACAAAGTATGTAAACAGATTTCTGTATCAATATAACATGTATTGCATTTAATTAATCTTTGTAATTTCCTATATATACAAGGGACTGACAGAACCCAAAACAAGTTTTTGATTTTTTAACTGAAGGTGAAAGAATGTACTATGCCATTACCTTGTCGTCCATCCTTTCTCATCGATAGTAAATATATTGCTATACTACACATCAAAAGTTTAGACTCACTTAAAGCACTCACTATATGTTATGAATATATATTTGGCTACATCGAAGATGAATTTCTCCACTAACTTGGGGGAACCAACCGCAAACCTTATGCAGATGAATTGCACGAGGATCATGCATCAAACTGCTGAAAAGCCTGTGCAAATATCATGCATATGAACAGCTGCGGTTTGGTGTAAAGTTTTGTAAAGAATTGGCCAATTTTGAGTGAGTTTCATTACTTACTGAACTCGTGACAATATTCTTTTCAACTTTGTTTTACAATACGTCAGTTCATGTGTAAACAGTACCTTAAAAGAGTATGGACTATTTTGCAAAATCTAGTTTTGAACAGTTACCTGAAGTAAGTGGCTACATTTACACTAGTGAGTCTGAACTTTTGATGGGTAGTATAATTTAACGTTTCTACAGCGCCCTAAAGGTGCTGATGAACTGTCTGTGGGCTGGAACTGCCAATGCTTGTGATAACACTGTAAAGAGAGACGCGATGGCAATAGCAGCTGATGGTAAAATAGATGGTACCTGCAGAGGCAGTGAGTACAGCTTACATATTACATGACTATCTACTTAAATATTACATGACTATCTACTTACATGTTACATGACTATCTACTTAAATATTACATGACTTATCACATGACTATCTACTTAAATATTACATGACTATCTACTTAAATATTACATGACTATCTACTTAAATATCACATGACTATCTACTTAAATATCACATGACTATGACTATCTACTTAAATATCTACATATGACTATCTACTTAAATATTACATGACTATCTACTTAAATATTACATGACTATCTACTTAAATATTACATGACTATCTACTTAAATATTACATGACTATCTACTTAAATATTACATGACTATCTACTTAAATATCACATGACTATCTACTTAAATATACATGACTATCTACTTAAATATCAGATGACTATCTACTTAAATATTACATGACTATCTACTTACATATTGCGTGACTATCTACTTACATATTACATGACTATCTACTTAAATATTACATGACTGTCTACTAGTCAGTAATGTTGAAGTTGATGTGACTACTCAAATATCCTTTGTTTTATCGGACAGCTTATATGTATTTGAACTATTTTTCAGCATTGAGCGAAGTTTGTAAGTGTCAAATTACCTACGCCAAAGCAGACACGGGTGATGGTCATTGCGCGTATGTATGGCTTTATCAGTTGGTCAGCGTGTTCAAAGATTTTAAGATATGATTCAACTGTATGTCGATGATCGAAAAAAATGAGTAATTAAGTTATATAAAAATATAATCATGAATGATCTAAATTGCAATGCTCAGTTGTCGTCTCTAATATATTTGCGGATTTGATGCCTGTGATAAGGCTCTCATCCTATATGTCACTTGTGATTTCAGCGCCTTAATTGCACAGTTTGCATGTCTTGAGGGCAAAACTGGGACTGGTTGTGAAACCAGCAGAACGCTGAAACTGGTGGCAGAAGGGGGGAACACAAAGTTTGGGACCGATTCTTGCAGTAAGTTATATTCATATATGTCTATTGTAATGTCTGGTCTACTGGTCGATAACTGTGAAACGTGGTTACATACCCATTTATACCTCAATGACAACTAGACAAATGCACAAAACGCACAGCATTGATGGGCAAAATGACCTTACTGTCATATTTAATGGTCGAGTTTGTCAGAATGCATTGCTGCATTAGTACAAAGAGAATAACTAGAGAACACACTTCTTTTACGGTATAATAATATCAATGAAGCTCAACAAACGTTGTATCTTGGATATTTCACTTATTTGGTAAGTTTCAATTTGAAGTCAAGTTTCAGATGAAGTTCAGATTCCACTTATTTAAGTTTTACGACATAATTAAATTACAAGAAAATTATGGTTTGCTAAATCAATTATTTCTAGTGTATTTTGTAAATTTTGTACCATAGTAGTATATATATATGGGATACTGAACGACCTTCCGTGTAATACCCTTTATATTAAACGACTTAATGATTTGGTATCAAACGAGTGAAAGTTTGACACCAAATCTTTCACGAGTTTAATAAAATGGTATTTCACGGAAGCGAGTTTAGTATTCTGTTTATTACTCTCGAACATTAATTGATAGAAACTGCACACAGTGTGAACTGTAACCGCTATGACGTCATAGGTCTAGCAGTATTATACTAGTGTAATATTACCATAAAAATATTACACTGCAGTATCTTCCATGGGCTAGTAATAAATCATATTCTGAATGATTTAGGAGAATATTTTAACATTGTATATAAAACACTTCATTTTCAGCAACAACGGATACATGCTCATGTCAAAAGGCTTATTTGATTGCGGATGTCAGCGGGGCAAACAAATGCACGTACGTGTGGATTTCTTCACCTGTATTATATTACACGTGTTGGTGATGCGTTAATGCAATAATGTACCCCTAACAGCAAATTAGATATATTTAACAAACAATTCAGAAATACATGGTTGAGAAATAAGTGGATTCCTGTGGCGAAATACAAGCCAAATTCTTCATTGCCCCAAGGGTATTTAAGCATGTTTACATGCAAACTGTACACCTGTGTGTATTTTCATCTTTCAATACTGTTTGTTAATCTGCGTGTTCACTGTAGTAAGTTTATGTTATCAGGGAGACGGAGAAGAAGATAGCCTGTTTGTATGCAACAACATCTGCTAGTTGTGATGCCGCCGTCCCAAGAACAACTATCATGACCAACACAGACAACACTTGCAGTAAGATATCGTGTTTTCTTTCTGTATTAAAATGTCCTTCGTCCTGACCTGTACTTGTATGCATCTTCATGATGATCTTTCATTCAGGAGAATGTACACATATGTCTTTACATGTACGTAATACTTGTGACATAACAAAACTCACGAACAGATAAGGAACAAACTTTTTCTGTATTCGGAAGATGCGACGTTTCGATATAGATTCTTGTATCATTATCAAGCAAGTTACTGTTAGTTACTTGCTTGACAACGATACAAGAATCTGTATCGAAACATTCCGAATAAAGAAGTTGTTCATCCATAACGTTTGTTCCTTATCTGATTCACCAACTTCGAAACATGCCACTCAAAGAAGTAAAACTCACGAACGTTCGTGATACTACGTGGTACCCTTAATGGGAACACTGACACTTTGTACTCATTAGTTATTCATGATTGGAATGTGGAAGAACTACAGTATCTGCCTCACCTGACAGGTAAAACACAGACCTGTGCCTGCCAGAGAGCATACGGTGTTGACACAGGCGGCGACGAATGCGCGTAAGAGTTGTTTTCTTATCCTACATTATTTTTCATCTTAGTTTAAATATTGACAACGGAAAATGGTTGATACTTCTCACAACTTGCAAAGCAGTTTATCATATATTTCGTCTGTAGTTTGGATGTCATACAAAAATCTCTTTTCTTTCTTTTTTGTGCAAGGAACGTGTATTGCAAATACGATATTTGTACTTTTTGTAACAGAAAAGGAGAAGTCTCAAACAAACATTTACAAACATATATCCGTCTCTGAAATTGAACATGAGAAGATCTTTATTGTAATGAGGGATTAACCAATATGTCTGTTTGCCATGCCACTTACACGACATACATTGTACATATGTTTGAATGATACCAGTGCTCAAAAGGCGTGGTGACATGTCTGAGGACGACAACTGACACAGGATGTACAGGAGAGACTGCCTTCACAAAGACCAGAAGTCAACTCGGCGGTGATCTAGAGACGTTCCTTCAATCAGCCACATGTAGTAAGTAGCTGTTGCAGCTAAACATTAGTCCCAATCAAATTAATATATTTACTGGATGCAAGTACAAAGTATTAAAGGTTTAATCTCGGCAGAGTTTACAATAAACAATATGGATCACATGGATATTAGAATATTCCCCATGAAGGCATTTGGGTGTTTTAAACAAAGACCTCATAAGAGTCTTAGGGTGTATCATAACAACCGTCCACAGTTTTGTAAAGAGGTTCATGTGAGGCATGTTTCAGATGTTCGGCCCCCTGTGGCGAATCCCTCGAATACGGTCACTGGTGGTCAGTGAATACTACGTACATGGGTTCCCTTAGTGTCCATGCTGGCATGACTAAATAGAGCTTCGGGACACGTCTGTTTTTCAAAGACCTATATTCCTTCGGACACCTCTTTGGCAGAAAATGTATCCATATCCCAATATGTACACTGTCTGTTCGTGTGGTGCGAATTGGTCTTTTTGCCATCTATTAATGTTTTGTCTAGACCAGATTTGTAGACTAGGTTCGTCTAGACCTGTAACGTGTTCAATATATACGCATGGAGCAACGCTATTGATATCCTTTGTTATCATTCGTCAATTTTCAGCTGCGGGTTTGACCGACACTTGTCAGTGCCAGATTGACTACGCCAAGGCTACAGTGAATCCTGCAGCAAGCAAATGCACGTAAGTTCCTTAATTTGATGAAATAAAATGGTTGGGAACATACACCATTAAAGTCGGTCAAGTCGATCAGAGTACTCAAGCTGTCACTTTTCATTTAGCATGCCATTGTTGCATACTGCAAACGGAACTGCATGCTTTAGATTATATATAGATTAAATGTATGTGTACCAAATACTCTCCCATCATTCAATAAGTTCAATTGTTTAATCAACTTTAATGCATGTTTTGCTGTGTTTTTAACAGAGCACTTGGGGCACTTATTTTATGTTTGTCGAGCAAGACTGCACTGGGTTGTGATGGAAGCACGAAAGCTTCTGCGCTTGCTGCAACAGCTCACAGCGACATGCAAACAGACGGCTGTAGTAAGTATCCCAGCTCTTTACCATCTGTAGTGCCCCACACGGTACATTAGTTTATTGTAGTACCGTGGAGACAGACGGCTGTAGTAAATATCCCAGCTCTTTACCATCTGTAGTGCCCCACACGGTACATTAGTTTATTGTAGTACCGTGGAGACAGACAGCTGTAGTAAATATCCCTGTAGCTGCTTTACCATCTGTAGTGCCCCACACGGTACATTAGTTTATTGTAGTACCGTGGAGACAGACAGCTGTAGTAAATATCCCAATTCTTTACCATCTGTAGTGTCCCACACGGTACATTAGTTTATTGTAGTACCGTGGAGACAGACAGCTGTAGTAAATATCCCAATTCTTTACCATCTGTAGTGTCCCACACGGTACATTAGTTTATTGTAGTACCGTGGAGACAGACAGCTGTAGTAAATATATCCCAATTCTTTACCATCTGTAGTGCCCCACACGGTACATTAGTTTATTGTAGTACCGTGGAGACAGACAGCTGTAGTAAATATCTCAATTCTTTACCATCTGTAGTGCCCCACACGGTACATTAGTTTATTGTAGTACCGTGGAGACAGACAGCTGTAGTAAATATCCCAATTCTTTACCATCTGTAGTGCCCCACACGGTACATTAGTTTATTGTAGTACCGTGGAGACAGACAGCTGTAGTAAATATCCCAATTCTTTACCATCTGTAGTGCCCCACACGGTACATTAGTTTATTGTAGTACCGTGGAGACAGACAGCTGTAGTAAATATCCCAGCTCTTTACCATCTGTAGTGTTCCACACGGTACATTGGTTTATTGTAGTACCGTGGAGACAGACAGCTGTAGTAAATATCCCAATTCTTTACCATCTGTAGTGCCCCACACGGTACATTGGTTTATTGTAGTACCGTGGAGACAGACAGCTGTAGTAAATATCCCAATTCTTTACCATCTGTAGTGTTCCACACGGTACATTAGTTTATTGTAGTACCGTGGAGACAGACAGCTGTAGTAAATATCCCAGCTCTTTACCATCTGTAGTGTCCCACACGGTACATTAGTTTATTGTAGTACCGTGGAGACAGACAGCTGTAGTAAATATCCCAATTCTTTACCATCTGTAGTGTCCCACACGGTACATTAGTTTATTGTAGTACCGTGGAGACAGACAGCTGTAGTAAGTATCCCAATTCTTTACCATCTGTAGTGTTCCACATGGTACATTAGTTTATTGTTGTACCGTGGAGACAGACAGCTGTAGTAAATATCCCAATTCTTTACCATCTGTAGTGTCCCACACGTATTGTAAACAATTGTGCACCGCCATTCTTCATTCTGTATACCAGGCCTACATTTGCTTGTTCAATTGTCGATTATAAGTACATGCATCTCATACAGTATTATGTTAACAAAATATGACCTTACACCTACCTACCTACTACTGTTCGGAAGGTAGATGTGAAATATTTCGGAAATGTTGCAGTTTGATTAGCACATAGATGGACATAATTCATTGACATTGCGATAACTGATGAAACCAAATGCAGACTATTTCGTGAAGATTAAACACAATTATTGGGAAAAAATTGTTGAGTAAAACACTATTGTTATATACAGAAAATCTCTCATTGCAGCTATCACAGACACGTGTTTATGTCAGATTACCAACGCTAAGATAGATGTAACTGACACAACAAGAAAATGTCCGTAAGTACATTTTACCCATGCATCATCTTTATCGTACAATATCTGAATATTAGTTCTACCTCTAACTGTATAATAATCAATGATTCTGGTCGCTCTGTGAAAGGTTTCAATCAACCATCACCAATAATGAACATAATCGTTATTTCATATAGTTATTCATACACTCATGCTCAGTCATGGTATCGCGATGACAATCACTGGATTGTCTGGTTCAGATTCGATGCAACATCATACAGCTCTAATGCTGCTGAAACAAATATATGCTCATGATATAGTCACAATTGCAATTGTACAATCAACCCTGCTTTTAGCAGAGATTTCTTATGAACGTGGAACAGGTTTTGTTGCTTACATATATGGTCCAGTGCCTTTGTATCGAGATAGAAAGGATTAGGCATATTCATAAGTAAGAAAGTACTACGCCTCTGGGGGTAGCCTAGTGGTTAAAGCGTTCGCTCCTCACGCCGAAGACCCGGGTTCGATTCTCCACATGGGTACAATTTATGAGGCCGATTTCCCCTGTCCACTGCCGCGATGTTGCTTGAATATTGCTAATGACCAAACTCACTCACTCACTATTTGCAAAAGTCAAAATCATGCAGACAGATTGCTGGGAGATGTATTATGATTCTGGTTAAGGAAAAGAGGGTGTAGCATTTTAGATCTCATTAAAACTAAAATGATATGTTTCGGCGAATGCATATATCATTTTAGTAGCACTAATATGAACATTCAAACACATATGAATACATGTAGTGAACGCCAGTGAACAACAACGATCTCTCAAACACCATGCGGTTCATTCCGCAACCATAACCTGGACAAGTACAAAACTAGGAATGGTGAACAATACCATTCCGTACAAAAAAAGGAAACGAACGCGGATTGCGCGTGATGGCGCAACCCAACATAAGGACTAGAATCTGGACTTTATTGAGTTTTTACGCATACACGTAATGACTGATTTTTACGAACAGGGCCCCGTTTCACAAAGATATAGTAGAGCTACGACTGTCGTAAGCCTATATTATAGGATAGGAGGTATGAAAGTCGTAGTGTTACGATAGGTTTGTGAAATGGGACTTAGTACCCATGTGTATTCGGGAAAGTCAGCTTCGTCATTTTGGTGACACCACTGGGCCTGTCTTTGCAGAGGTTTCTTCGACCAGATGGACTGTGTGTTCCGATCAGCTGAAAAGGGATGTGACGGGACTACGAAACGCAAGAAGGTCGCGGAAGATTTGGTTGCAGCCATATCCACTGCATCCTGCACCACTAGTAAGTTAGAAGTCTTTCATTTAATATCCAGGGCCTAGATTTTCGAAGCTCTCTTAGCGCTAAGATAGTCATAAGTTAATGTTAATGTATGGCACTTACGACCATCTTAACACTAAGAGAGCTTCGAAAATTTAGGCCCTGGGCCCAGTTCCTCAAAGCGATCGTAGCGCTACGACAGTCGTAAGTCTATGTTAAAGTATGGGAGTTACGATCATCTTAGCGCTGCGATCGTTTTGTGGAACGGGGCTCTGGTTATGGCGGTGGTGGTATTTTGGGGATATTTTTGTGTCACAGATTTTTTTTAAAATCCATGTTTCTACGCACAACTGGAATAAGTGAATAAAACAGTACCCTAGAAATTGATTTTATACATGGCAAGATTACTCTCATCAGCTCCTCATTTCACATCAATTGTTTTTAATCAGTGACTCTAAACATATATACCATCTTTACAAAACGTCACAGCTATTTTGAATTGTAATGCCAAGATGTAGATTTGAAATGGGCTCCAGATTGTAGATCATTTTTCACATTTAATCTGGTCATTCGCGATGAATATATTAAACACTCATGTTGATCCGGGTTACAAGTGGCCTGAAGAACACGTGGTTGTCATTCCGGCGACTGAAAGGATTGGGTGCTCAAGCTCATTGAATTGGTTGATGGAAAGGGCATTCGAATTAGGAAAACCTTTGCCCAATTCATATGACTTTCTGTGCAATTAAAATATGTTTAAAGACAATTGGTTAATGTAGATAATGGTGTCCCCATTGTGTAGACAGAGGTGATGACAGTCGCTGGATTGTCTCGTCGTGAATTGTTGGTTTAAAGAAGGTTAGAATACTTCTGATTGATAAAATATAACATGAAACACAAAAAATATATGTTGTAGTCAATAACAGGAGTTCACAGTTAGGTGTTCTGTTGCAGCTGGGGCGGTGGGGTAGCCTAGTGGTTAAAGCTTTCTCTCATCACGCCGAAGACCCGGGTTCGATTCCCCACATGGGTACAATGTTTGAAGCCCATTTCTGGTGTAACCTGCCGTGATATTGCTGGAGTATTGCTAAAAGCGAAAAACTCACACTCACTCACTCTGTTGCAGCTTCGGATGTGTGTTCATCATGCATCTACACCTATGCACAGGTAGACGTAGAGGTTCCAGCAACCAAGTGCAGGTAGGTATAAGTTCTGGGAATTATTAAGGAATTATACACGCTACTGACACCATGATTCCTGTTGTTTTCTATATTTTCGTCGGGTTACCTAAAACGCAACTATGAATGTGTGCCTATAGTAAGTTTCATAATGTTCAGGTACAGCATGTTCTCTCAGTCAAATATTCGTTTGTCATCCTGTAAATGCCAGGGTGTTTAATGTGCGAATCCAGTTTCTAGTTTAGAAATAGTATGATAGTCTGCTACTAAACCGTTTTTTTATTGCAGTGGTCTTGGCGCGTTCCTTTATTGTCTAGACGGGAAGACGACAACTAGCTGCAAGTCTACTAGTCCAGATTCAATCGCTGTATTAGCGACCTATGCCAAGACCGAGATCACTAAAGCTGGATCCACTTGTAGTAAGTTTTAGTCAGGGTTCATTCCGGGAGGTACTCGTGAAGATCCGGGTTAGAGTTGACCTTCAGTAAGCCATGCTTGTCGTAAAAGACGACTAACAGGATCAGGTGGTCAGGCTCGCTGGCATGGTTGACACATGTCATCGTATCCCAATTGCGCAGATCGATGCACATGCTGTTGATGACTGGATTGTCTGTTCCAGACTCGATTATTTACAGACCGCGACCATATAGCTGGAATATTGGTAAACGCGGCGTTAACCAACCAACCAACCAACATTCCCGGAGGACACTGTCATGATGTCTGTCCTAAACATTCTCAGTATATAATCTTCAATAATGTCCTTCAGCAAACTGAATGGGTTTTAGTCACAAAACCATCAACGGTGCCCTTTTTGAAGACGGTGACACTTGTCTCGAATCAGTCCAATGTATGCCAAAACAGAGGACTCTAGGCTTTAAACACTTTCCTGAACGGTGTTATATTTTAAGATGATGTTAGGATGTAATGTGGCACACACTGCAAATTGTTACGAGAGTTTTACTAAAAGTACCTTATTCACTTACAGGTGCATTAACAGACACCTGTGAGTGCCAGTACACGTTCCTTACCACCGCAAATTCTGATACAACATGCAGGTAAGTACCTACCGACATATTCTGTATCCGTGACCCGTGAAGGTCCGGGTTAGAATTGATCTACAGTAACCCATGCTTGTCGTAAGAGGCGACTAACGGTGTGGTCACACTCGCTGTTTGGGTTGACACATGTCATCATATCCCAATTGCGTATGCTGTTGATCACTGGATTGTCTGGTCCAGACTCGATTATTTACGGATTGGAATATTGCTGGAATATTGCTCAGTGCGGCGTAAACAACAAACCAACCATATCCGTGATAAGATGTAACGGCAGGGTCATTCAAGTATTTGAATTTTAAAAGCTGTCGAAATGTTACCAAGAATGTATTTTTTAGTATGTGTGTGTAAACATCTACTTAAGAAATTATCGTTTAAAGGATAACTTACCTAAAACCAATCTAAAACCCCATTCACTCACGTACTCATTCACCCATAATATACCGCCGTAGTTTAAACATAGTACTGCCATAACACTGTAATCTATCCCTGTGTTTTACGGGTTAGAATTGATCTTCAGTAACCCATGCTTTTCGTACGAGGGGACTAACGGGATCGGGTGGTCAGGCTTGCTGACTTGGTTGACACATGTCATCGTATCCCAGTTACGCAGATCAACGCTTATGCTGTTGATCACTGGATTGTCTGTTCCAGATTCGATTATTTACAGGCCGCCGCCATATAGCTGGAATATTGCTGAGTGCGGCGTTAAACAACAAACCAACAAACCGACCAAATCTTACGTTCCATTATATATTCTGGTTACTTTCAGTGAACATGCTAAGAGAATGGAGTGCATTGTGGCAGCGACCGGGCCTGCCTGTGACGCGACAGTCCCACGTTCGACTTATGCCACGAACATTGCTGAACCAAACCTGAAAGCCATAGCCACTTGTGAATCCTGTAAGCTGTTGTTAGTTGAGGCAAACCATTCACTACATCTTTCATTCATAAATAAATAAGTGGCTGTTTGAATAACTGATACAACCAATAAACGGAGTTGAACATTTTTTTCTGAAACTGAATGGTAAATCGTTGAGATATATACACACCAAGGTGTTCAAACTTATAACACGTATAACCCAGAACATTTACCGAATTGTTACATTTTATTTTTGAAAATGAATTAAGTTGCAGCTGTAATTGTCCGTTGCAGCTGTAATTGTCCGTTGCAGCTGTAATTGTCCGTTGCAGCTGTAATTGTCCGTTGCAGCTGTAATTGCTGATTTACTGTTACCATTCACTCTTTCATCTTACAGCGAGCTTGAAATTATTTATTGAACGTTTTACAACTGATGCAATTTCATATTGAACTGAACAAAGTCGTAACTATTCTTCATGCCAATATTGTACTTTCTTATTTAACATTTAATCCATGCTCGAAAACTTTATAAAATGTTATAGCTACAAGTCTTTGCTGAAACTTAAAAGGTTGTAATCCTTGGTGAACATTTTAACCAGACTATAACTCTTTGTTGACGCTTTGTATCAACTTAAGAACAATTTAATAAATGGAATTACCTTGATACGTTTGTGTTTACTATTCTGGTTAGTTGGGTTTTTTAAATACCAATAACAATCTTGGAACTGTTGCAGCCTTAACTAACACGTGCACGCTGTGCCAGTTCGCATACGCTAAGCAGACCAGTGCCACCCAGACAAACAGATGCGAGTAAGTAGTCTACTACTTTCTCTTAAGTACAATTTCACACGTTGAACATTCCTTTTCGACTGTGTTCATTATGTTGATATGGTATTTTTATGTGTTTCACCTGTTTTCATTATGTTGATACGGTATTTTTATGTCTGTCCCCTTTTTAACGTTATGTTGATACGGTATTTTATGAGTTTCATTTCTTTTCATTATGTTGATACGGTACTTTTATGTGTTTTATCTGTTTTCATTATGTTGATACGGTATTTTTATGTCTTTTCCCTTTTAACGTTATGTTGATACGGTATTTTTATGGGTTTCACCTATTTTCATTATGTTGATACTGTATTTGTATGTCTGTCCCCTTTTTAACGTTATGTTGATACGGTATTTTATGAGTTTCATTTCTTTTCATTATGTTGATACGGTACTTTTATGTGTTTTATCTGTTTTCATTATGTTGATACGGTATTTTTATGTCTTTCCCCTTTTTAACGTTATGTTGATATGGTATTTTTATTGGTTTCATTTCTTTTCATTATGGTGATACGGTATTTTTATGGGCTTCACCTATTTTTATAATGTTGATATGGTATTTTTATGGGCTTCACTTATTTTCATAATGTTGATATGGTATTGTTTGGGTTGCACTTTTTTTCATTATGTGGATACGGTATTTTGATGGGTTTCACTTGTTTTCATTATGTTGATACGGTGTTTTTACGCGTTTCATTTCTTTTCTTTACGTTGATATGATAAGTCAATGTGCTTTACTAATGTTCGTTTCTTTCTCCAGTTTACATCAGGTTTTCACCTGTTTTCTAGTGCTTCCAGTGGGCATTTTAACAGGTCCATTAGGTCCCTGACCTTCAGTTTATTACAATAATCAATATTAACACTTGGTTGTTTTTAGTTTCTATTTCATTTTGAAGCTATTTGAAATAAGTGTTTTCTTGAGCCTTTAAGAATCATATACACATTAACATAATACTTGGATATCTTTCTTTGCGTGCATTTTTTAATAAAGGTGCTCTGTTTGATATTATGTCGCCCTGCCCTTCTTGGATCTTGGGGAACCCCTATTTTCTTTATATTGGGGGAATGTTTCATCTATTTGCATTATGCTGAAAGGGATTTTACAGTTGTCATTAAGTTAATTTGAAGATTACAATTGTTTTCATTATATTGGTATGGTATTATATAGTTTTCCTCCTGATTTCATATGCTGAAATGTTATTTTAATTGGTGTTTCGCCTGTTTTCATAAAATTGGTGTGGTATTTTAATTGCTTCGCAAGTTTTCAGTAAATTGATAAGGTATTTAAATGTGTTTTACTATTTTCATTAACTAGAAAGGTGTTTTAAAGCGTTTTGCCCTTAATTACTTTAATATTCTACTTAATATGAGCTTCGCCTGTTTTCGATATATAAAAATAGAGTTTTGTGTCTCTGTTTTTTAATTTAATTTTTAATTTAATTTAATTTTAATTTTATGTTTTAGTGCGTTGAAAAGCTACTTTCATTGCCTCGACTCCAAGACTGCCGTTAGTTGTTTTGGATCCAAGTCTATTACTACTCTTGCTACGGAAGCAAACGCACGGGCCGTCAGCGACTCTTGCTGTAAGTATTGTGTTAGGTTGCTAATCTTCATAAGGAGGGGCGGGAGGTAGCCTAGTGGTTAAAGCGTTTGCTCGTCACGCCGAAGACCCGGGTTCGAATCCCTACATGGGTACAATGAGTGAAGCCCATTTCTGGTGTCCCCCGCCGTGATATTGCTGGAATATTGCTAAAAGCGGCGTAAAACCAAACTCAGTCAGTCAGTCATAAGGAGGGGCGGGAGGTAGCCTAGTGGTTTAAGCGTTTGCTCGTCACGCCGAAGACCCGGGTTCGATTCCCCACATGGGTACAATGTGTGAAGCCCCATTTCTGGTGTCCCCCACCGTAATATTGCTGGAATATTGCTTAAAGCGGTGTAAAGCCATACTCACTCACTCTTCATAGGGAAGCAGAGTGGCTTAATTATCCAGTGCTACATGTCTTAGGCTTGCCAGAAACATTGTGTTCAAATCCCCTTGATAAAGTGTCCAGGTTTGGTTGTACCCCTTGGATATTGGGTTCACTAAAGTGGTGATCATCTTAGACCTGAACATCCCTCTCATGTGCCTTAATAGAATTAATACACGGCTCAAAGAAGCACCAACAGCAACGATTAAACCAATTTCATAATCTTAACAAATTGGTCTTCTGTAACCCATGCTTCTCGTAAAAAGCGACTAACACATGGTTGACACATGTCAGCGTATCCCAATTGCGTAGATCGATGCTCATGCTGTTGATGACTGGATTGTCTGGACCAGACTTGATTATTTACAGAACTCCGCCATATAGCTGGAATATTGCAGCGATAAACAACAATCAATCAATCATGATACACTCACTTACGTGTCTGTTTGACCTTTCAGCTCTGGGGACTACCTGCCAATGTCAAGCAACTTTCCTTACAGCAGACAAGTCTTCTCCGGCAAATACATGCACGTAAGTATTTCCTTTTAAGGTTTGAACCGGTCTAATTTATTCCAAGTGATACTGTAACCTAGCGTTTGCTTGTCATGCCATAGAGATCGTCATTTTTACAATATGTGAAACCCATTTTGGCGTCGCTCGACGTGCTGTTTCTGAAAGATTCCTGTTAGCGACCTAAAACCATACAAACTCACCAGTACAATGACACCCAGAGCGATTTATGAAGGGACACAACTTAAAACATCCAGCCGCTCGAACTAATTGCCAGTCGTTTGTGATCTTTATTCTGTTTCAAGGGCCCGTGAGTATTATTAACCACTATGAAATATGTAAAAAATATAGATGATCGTGAAGTTTATTTTTCGTTAATTTTAAGATGAAATTACTGTTTCCTATAACAGAGCTAACAAGAACAAGTTGAGTTGCTTGGCAACCAGTTTCGACGATGCCTGTGATGGTACATCCACAAGAGACTCTGTAGCTGTTACAACCAATACCGCTCTACCATCTGCAACCTGTGGAAGTAAGGCGTAGTTCTGTTTGTTGTTAAACGCCACTCGTAGCAGTATTTCTGCTCATGCTCTTACTGTAAACAATCGATCCTGGGCCACACAATCCAGTGACTGACATAGCGAGTATTTGGTTCCGGTGACATAGTTCAAACAAGTCTACCTTCTGGAACCCGTGGAAGTGTGGCGTCGTTCTGTTTGTTGTTGAACACCACTTGTAGCAATAGTCCAGCTAACGACGGCTTATTGTAAACAATCGTTCCTAGACCACACAATCCTGTGACTGACATAGCGAGTATTTGGTTCCAGTGACATAGTTCAAACAAGTCTACCTTCTGGAACCCGTGGAAGTGTGACGTCGTTCTGTTTGTTGTTGAACGCCACTTGTAGCAATAGTCCAGCTAACGACGGCTTATTGTAAACAATCGCTCCTAGACCACACAATCCTGTGACTGACATAGCGAGTATTGGGTTACGATGACATAGTTCTAGTCAGCGATCCTGATCATCCGACGAGCATGGGCTAAAGGCTTATTCTAACCTGGATCTTCACGGGTCTACGACCTGTTAATGAAAGAGTGATCATTGAATGTGTAGTTTTTTGACATGTTTGAATGTTTATTTGTCTACTTAATCATACTTGCTCCAATAATTTCAAGTTGACGTAAGAGTGAACTTAATTGATAATTGGGCCAATGTATGGGTACATTATTGTTTGTTTGTTGTTTAACGCCGCACTCAAGCAATATTCTAGCTATATGGCGGTGGTCAGTAAATAATCGCCTCTGGACCAGACAATCCAGTGATCAACAGCATGAGCATCCAACTACATGTGTCAACCAAGTCAGCGAGCCTGACCGCCCGATCTTCGTTCTTACGACATGTACAAGCATGGGTTGTCAAAGATCAATTCTAACCCGGATCTTCACGGGTTGTATTCGTACAAACACAATTCTCGTCGTTTTTGACCGGAGACTTGGGTTGTCATACACACGACTCACCACTGTTTGATTTGTGGTATGCCTGTTACACTCTTCAAGACCTGTGAGAGATGGCCTTGTTGTCTCAGAGAACTGTAATCACGTGTTCATGGGAGTTTTGGTCATATCTTTTCTTTGGCTTCAGGTCTGAACACAATCTGCACTTGTGAGAAAAACTACGCCGTTGAGCCATTTACCGATGAAACAGTGCATTGCACGTAAGTTTAAATATTTTCATGTGTATTATTGTTGTGTTATTAATGCGAATTTTTGAGTTTTTTAAGTTCCATGATCTGACGCATCTGACGAGAAACACTTCGGAATTAAGAATTGCTTTTAAACTAAAAATAACGTGAAAATAGTCGTACTAAACAGAAATAACAAATAACAAAAAATAATCAAAATTGTGATAAAACATTGAAAATCACGAAAATATAATCGAAGTGGCGGGAAGAAACTCAAATTTCTAAAAATCTGCTTATAATTACAAATACGAAAAATATCGGTTTATAAGAATACATATGCTACCAAATTGGTAAACTCACTCTCTCTCTCAATCACTCACTCACTCATGTAGCCAGGTGATATGCACATATTTTAACGATCTGTTGCTGTACATGAAAGTCTTGTCAAAATGAATTAAACTTCAGGGAAATAAACAATATTAGATGGTGATATTTTAGATACAGGCGTCACAGTTGTGTTTCCAGGAATGTTTTCAGCATAGTGTCGTTTCCAAGTTGTAATGTCTTGCTGAAGTCAAATCACGAATTGGAAAGTATTTATTGCCAGGCAGGTCATACTGCTGCGAGTGTATATAATAACAATATACATCCGTTATGTGTCAACCCGTGAAGGTCCGGGTTAGAATATTGATCTTCAGTAACCCATGCTTGTCGTAAGAGGCAACTATCGGGATCGGGTGGTCAGGCTCGCTGACTTGGTTGACACATGTCATCTGTTCCCAATTGCGCAGATCGATGCTCATGATGTTGATCACTGGATTGTCTGGTCCTGGATCGATTATTTACAGACCGCCGCCATATAGCTGGAATATTGCTGAGTGCGGCGTAAAACTAAACTCACTCACTCACTCACGTTATGTGTCAAGTTGAGGACGATGTGACTTCCTGATTAATCAAACCTCAATTAACCAAGTGGCGGCGGGGAAGCCTAGTGGTTAAAGCGTTCGATCGTCACGCCGAAGACCTGGGTTCGATTCCCCACATTGGTTCATTGTGTGAATCCCATTTCTGGTGTTCCCCGCCGTGATATTGCTGGAATATTGCTAAATCGAGTTTAAAACCTAATCACTAACCCGCTGCCAGGATGACAGTCCTCCACACTGCCTGATCGCATTATGTCGTGTTATTATTTCTCTCCACCTTTTAGTAACCTGAAGACTGCTGCAAACTGTTTGGAAGGTTTGTCTGGAGCAGGATGTGGCACCACGGCTACTGCAGGCACGTTTGCTACCGCTGTTCTCGCCAAGATAACATCTATAGCATCTTGCAGTGAGTATCCGTTCTCTATCACACTCATTCCTTGATATGTATTGAAAACAGAAAGTAGGGTTCGGTCCATAGGCTTCTTCGTACAAAAGTAAGATACCTTGAGAGATGTTACTTGATGTTAACCTGCGTGGGTCATGACTGAGGCCAACTCTAGGGCAACATTAAGGCCAACACTGAGGCCAACACTAAGGCCCACTGTAGGACAGACACTAGGGCCATCACAAAGGCCAACACTAATGCCAACACTAGGACCAACATTAGACCAACACTGAGGCCAACACTAAGGCCAACACTAGGACCAACATTAGAACCAACACCGAGGCCAACACTAAGGCCAACACTAGGACCAACATTAGAACCAACACTGAGGCCAACACTAAAGCCAACACTAGGACCAACATTAGAACCAACAATGAGGCCAACACTAAAGCCAACACTAGGACCAACATTAGAACCAACACTGAGGCCAACACTAATGCCAACACTAGGACCAACATTAGAACCAACACTGAGGCCAACACTAAGGCCAACACTAATGCCAACACTAGGACCAACATTAGAACCAACACTGAGGCCAACACTAAGGCCAACACTAGGACCAACACTGAGGCCAACACTAGGACCAACATTAGAACCAACACTGAGGCCAACACTAAGGCCAACACTAGGACCAACATTAGAACCAACACTGAGGCCAACACTAAGGCCCACTGTAGGACAGACAGTAGGGCCATCACAAAGGCCAACACTAATGCCAACACTAGGACCAACATTAGAACCAACACTGAGGCCAACACTAAGGCCAACACTAGGACCAACACTAAGGCCAACACTAAGATCAAATCTCTCCCCAAACATATATTTCATACCTACTTTCAATTTCAGCACTATCCGATACCTGTGCGTGCCAAATAGGATTCATCGCCTCTGATGTCAGTACCCCTGCCTTGAAATGCACGTGAGTAATAATGCATGTTTTCCTTGTTAAAATCTGAATTGATCTCCGAGGCAAGGGCCCAATCCAAAAAGCATTTGTAGCATACAGGTTTGATTTAGGTTGGGTCATGGTCCTACGCACTCTTCATGGATCGGGAGCCAGGCCTTCATTCCTGAACACGACCAAGAACTCCAAGAATTCAAACAAATTGGTTGCATATCACAAAAGCGTTTGTACCTGTGCATCTTTGCCTCTGAAGCCACTGAGCAATTAACATTGTCGTTGATGTCGATGTTGTCGTTTGTTTACAAAATGTGATGTTGATCACTGGTTTGTTTGGTCCCGAGTCGGTTAACTGGGTTATTGCTGAGTGCTGCGTTAAACAACAACCAACCAACCAGCCAACCAACCAACAAGCCAACCAACCAAACTTCAATACTGACGTGTTTCTCGTGTCCTTTGTGGCATTCATTAGGGTTGAAAAGCTAATATGTGTTTGTCTCGTTCTCGTAACTTTAGAAGGGTCGACAAATGTAGAATAATACACATTTGTAGGAATATTGATTCAGTTGTGATAGAGATTAAACGTCACATGAATATGTCACTGAAAATCACTGAGGTTTCCTGATTTTTAAAGCGTTATTCTGTTCGTCATTTTCTTCAAGTAGTAAGCATATCATCTTTTCATCTGCCTATATAATTTCATGTAGACCATAATATTGCAGGGCTCTTGAGAAGGAAGCAGGGTGTGTATACGAAGCCAGTGGATGTTTCTTGTGACGCCAGCGTCTCTAGAACAACCACGCTGACATCTGTGGGGTCAGCTATCACCACGGCCTCTTGCAGTGAGTATCCAGTATGCTTGACGCCCATCCTCACACAGCACCGAATAGTGGCCGCTCCAATATATTAAACCTGAAAATCCGTACCATAATGAGGAGCCGTTTTGCGAGGCCGTTGAATGATTCTGACTGTTTCATAAGCATGAGTTTATGAATCATAGTGATGATGTTTTCCCCAAAAGGAGAGCGTATCCTGCTGCTCCCATACCCCTTTCCCCTCCCCGTGGCACAAATCACTAATACACGCAAAGGCAGGGAAATGTTTACCTGAAAACAACTGTCAACACATGGTATAAATCAAAATCAGAAATTGGATTTGACATCATTATGGTCATTAATTGGTCCAGTTGGGACACCTTTGGACACGTCTTCAACACGCACCACATGAAACGTTTGAAGGCTTAGTAATGGCTTGAATGTTGCAGTTTGATAAAACAATTTTTGAGCAAGAGTGAAATAAATCTCTTGGGGGAGGCATCCTAAGGGCACCCGGCCGTTAATCTATGTTGTGTCTATCATACGACCCTTATCAAAATGCTCCACATTTCTATCTTTAATTACTAATGGTTGGCTGTAATTGACAAAAAAGGCAAAAGGAACTGCCAAAATCATGCTCCTGACATCGGGTGAATGCGTTTTTCTGTATTATTCAGTGATATTTAGTAGTGGTAATTAGTTGGCAAGCACCGACATGTGCTTGATATCAACAAATATCAAACAATTGGTGTCATTATTTACATATATAGTTTATTGATGCAGGTGTGTTGCCGTAATACATGTTCTGGGTAGCCTAGTGGTTAAAGCATTGGCTCGTCACGCCGAAGGCCCGGATTCGATTCCCCACATGGGCACAGTGTGTGAAGCCCATTTCTGGTGTCCCCCGCCGTGATATTGCTGGAATATTGCTAAAAGCGGTGTAATAGCATACTCACTCACTAATACATGTTCTGTCTAACATTTCCAGCTGTACCCGGCACATGCACGTGTCAGATCGCTTATGGAACCTCAACCGCTGCTGATTGCACGTAGGTATTCACGTGATACCATGAGCGGTATTAATATATTCAATTTGCTGGCGAAAATTTACTGAGAGAAACAAATAAATGGACACTGCGTGATACTGATTACAGTGACCCTTCTGTTTATTCTTGCGTTTTTACCCGAAGTGCAATATTTACAAAGAAATCTGAAAAAAAACAACCTTGAGGCATTCTTGTTCTTTCATGTGTTATCCTAATTTGTTTCCTTCGGTATATTTAGATTGATATGCATAACTGTAATGATTTTAAAACTGATTGTTTTGCATTTATGGCGACATACACGTAAACCCATTCTGAACATAAATCCATTACATAACTTATTTGAGTCAATTCTTCTTTTCGATTGAAACGTACATCTTTTATGTTGCTATGGTTACAGGAAGAAATTCACGCTGATTGGATGTCTACAAACGACAGCAGATGATGGCTGCAGGGGCCACACCACCGTACAGACTCGAACAGCACTGGCTACACTCGTGGAGAACGCTGCTGCCTGCAGTAAGACAATGTTTCTCCTTCATGAACATGCCTACGGTAACAAATACATGTATTAACACAGTAATGACCTAGGAGTTCGTTGTTGCAGAGATCCAGTTACTAAGGGAAGGCAATTCTGTTAAATGATCATAACAAAGAACATTATTATGTATATCAAACAACTACTGCCATCGTGGATCCCATTTGCCTTCCGTTAAGCACAACACGTGATATGAGACGTTCGACTTCAGGCAGTCCAGTGGGGGTAGCCTAATGGTTCACTCCTCACTCGAAGCCCGGGTTCGATTTCCATATGGGTATAATATGTGAGGCACCCATTTCTTTAGTGATTTTGCTGGACTATTGCATAAGGATCCGATGATTGTATGTTCGCCATTGTCGGAGTTCTTGGTTTACATGATATCATCATGATATCGTCATATGACGAACACTGCACTTGTTTTTCACTTTGTTGAAATCCACATGCACGGGTATATAGCGGACAAACCAAGGAATATTAACAAGGGGAAACTCAGGTCAGCGGATCCTGACACTGTTATGGGAAACAACTGTGCACAAGACCCCTCATTTAACAAATGTTTATGTCATTCTGTCATATGTCTCTAGTTGCCAAAAACGTATTGTATCTACATGTATATACAGCCCTGTACTGTCATCATTTAGGAAGAACTGAAGTTTGCATTATGTATCTTCTTACAGCTAAAACAGCTGCCTGCACGTGTCAAATCAATTATGCAAAGGCTGATGTGACTGGAGCCAACAAGTGCCTGTAAGTATTGACTTTACAAATTCAGTGATTGGTGGTTAGAAGGCGTTCCATCAGCACTTGCTGATTGCATTTTCATTGGGAAGATCCGAGTCAGAATTGGTTTCAGCAACCCATGCTTGTTGAAAAATGCGACTGACGTGATCGGGTTGTCAGGCTTGCTGACTTGGTTGGCACATGTCATCATATCCCATTTGCTTAGATCGATTCTGATGATGACAATCACTGGATTGAGAGACTGCGGTCATTTGGCTAGAAAAATGCCGAGTGCCGCGATAGAATGAAACTCATATTCGTATGATAAAAGATATAAACTGGCGATACAAATGTAGCTTTCTTAAATAATCAAAGTAACGAAATTACACTCCAAATATCGAATTTTTAAAGTATATTTCTTGTAACGACAAACTAATCAAAGTAATGGGATAAACTAGATATTTTAAAAAGAAATTAAAGTTGTAGATAAAGAGAATATAATTAAGTTGATAAACAAGCAATCGAAGCAACTGTAACAATTTCGAGAAAATGTTCGAAGCAAAGAGAAAAGAAATCGATATTTTAACTTTCTCAGATGGATTTTTAATAGTTAGAAAAATGACTGAAATGAATAAAATATAATCGCAGGTGCGAAGAAATAAACAAATAACTGAAATAACGATAAATCTAATATTGAATAAATACATTTACGCCACCAATGTTTCTCCACTGGCGTTAAAACGTTGAAGCTAATGCAATTCCAATACAATTGGTGATTTGGAATGGATAATGATAAAAGTGTGATCATACATTATAATTATGTTGATCTTCCAGGGAACAGAAGAAGCTTGCCGCATGTTTGGGAGCAACGGAAACAGATGGGTGCAATGGCGGGAAATCCCACACTCTTGCTGCCACAGCCGTCGGGGTCATCAACGGCATCGCAAGCTGCGCTCCCGGTCAGTAATAAACAGCATGTTTGTTTGTAAATTATATACTCTTAAAAATTTTGAATTTTAAAGTTTGAATTTACGATTGAAAATAATTGAGAGATGTATCGGCGTCAATCAATGTTGATATGACAATAATGAATGTTTTGAGAGTTCATCATCACTTGCACTTCCTTATGACCATAGTTGTTTGTACAGTAATCGCTCTTGAAAGATGATTGGTGTATGACGTGAAATTTGCATGTGTACGATTTTCATTAAAAAAAAAAAGAAAACGGCTGGAAACAAACACTTACAACTGTGTGATGCAAGACGATTGTCAAAATTAATGGCCTGCAGTGATTTATCGACCTGGACTACTGCGTTGTGCACGTGCATCCAATGCATTGTGTTTAGGGGTGGTGATAAGGAGAAATGGTGGTGTGTTCATAAGATGTCTGTCTTTGACAAGTTTGCTAACGCGTATACTTCCTATCCAAATTGAAAGTTCAGCTTCCCCTACTTTTTGAAGAGTATATATAAAGTAAATGGATGGGTGGGTGGGTGATTGAGTGATTGAGTGAGTGAGTGAGTTTAAGTCACGTTGGCATTATGTCAGCCATTTTGCGACTAGATCATATTGTACAGTTATACGATAATTTTAAAACTAAAATCTGTCAACAAAGGACTGTACAATAACAACATAATCACGCATAAAAGTCTCAAACAAGTATGTGAGCATTACAATGTTCTAACAATACAATCTAAAACTGGACTATAGATCACCAGAAGCCAAAGTTAGGCCACCACACCATGCAGAGACCATTGGGGCTCAGTAGCCGCCTACGGTACCTCTGCTGCTTGCATGGCACCCCAGCTGGACTTACACCTATCCTATGTTAAATCAAGGCCATCCTCCCTAGCATTTAGAACATATATCATATCATTGCAGCTGCCCAGACAACGTGTAAATGTGAGCTGGAGTATGCTGTTTTAGACAGGACAACGAGTGATGGCAAGTGCAGGTGAGTGTGTCGACTAACGCTGTCTCTGAATATATATAATTGTGATAGTAACAAATGAACCGATTTAAATTGAAAAGGAGGAGTGAGATAGGCAGTTCAGAACCTGAGGAAATCTAGGACTTCATGTCCGGCTTTAGTATTGCAGGGAGGGCTAGTCAGTAGGGTAAATACTGTTGTTCAGGGACTGTGAGACAGATTGGTGAGTGTGTAGCCGGGGGTGGGTTGGGAATGGGGGTTGGTAGCATGGTGCTGGGCATACACCGCCGTGATTTTGCTGGATTATTGCTAAAAGCGGCGTAAAAGCAAACTCACTCACTCACTCGAACTAGCGTGAAATTATCCAAGAATGAAACCACCCCTCTGTCTGGATCAAAACCACCCCTTCAGAATAAACTCGTTTCTCTAGATAAAATCGATTCCCCCCAAAACGCCAAAATATACAATATTCTAGGTTTTTTTAAAAAGAACTCCACTCTAAAAGGGAACAAAATGTCCTAGAAAATATCCCCAGGGTGTCATCACTGGATTGTGTCTGAGTTGTATGCATGTGAGTAGTGTTCACGTGTTGACGAATTATATAGTCCTCTTATGAAATCGTTCTTTAACTGTAAAGTTTCAAACACAACGCATATAATTGTCACAATGCCCAAATAAAAAATACATTATTTTTGAGTAAAGTTTTAGTCATTAATTTAGGTTTCGCCAAATCCATATTCACCATATGCATGTTTAATTAATGTAAATTAAAGCCATATTCTTTAAAAACATTAAAAAAATAGCTAAATTATTTGCATAAAAATATCTGGATGTATTAAAGTGGTTATCATGGTAGTGACTTACCAGTAGATTCACGGCTAAAGTTCAAATGCATAGTAATGGTCAATTTCGATCAGCCGCTATTTAATCGTGTGGACATGTAACGGCAACAAGTGAAACAAGCGGAATAGAAAATCATCACAAAAAGTATATTTCAGAACATTTTACAAAATCTTAAAATAATTATTTTTGGAAAAGTGAGATTATCTATACTACCCATCAAAAGTTCAGACTCACTTAAAGCTTCACAATATGTTATGTATATGTGGGTCCATGTATGTACGGGATGAATTTATCCCGTAACTTGGGGAACCAACTGCAAACCTTATGCAAATGAATTGCATGAGGATCATGCATCAAATTGCTGAAAAGCATGTGCAAATATCATGCGCGTGAACAGCTGCGTTTTGGTGTTAAGTTTTGTTAAGAATTCGCCAAGTTTCACTGAGTTTCATCATCATTTATTGAACTCATGACAATAATCTGTTCAGCGTTACGAATTTGTTTTACAACACATCAGTTCATGTGTAAACAGTACCTTTAAACAGTATGGAATAATTTGCAAAATCTAGTTTAGAACAGTTGACTGAAGTAAGTGGCTACATTTACACTCGTGAGTCTAAACTTCTGATGGGTAGTATATTTTACCACAGTCTTGCTGTCAGTGCGTACTTCGATTGTTTTTCAGTGCTGCGAAGAAACTGCTTCATTGTCTGACTTTCACCACTGATGCCGGATGTGCCCAAACCAGAGCTGCTGTGGCTACTGCTGCTCAGACGGCTATCGCTGACCTCGAAAGTGCCTCCGCCGGATCGTGTCGTACGAAACTGTTTGACTTCCTTTGTCATCATTCGTCGTCATTGTCATCTTAAATGCACCTTAACAAGCAAACAATAATCTCAGGGCTTATCGATGCTCTTGCTGTCACACACTCGATTGTTAACACGTCTTATAGCCGTAATATTGTTGAGCGTGGTGTTAAATTACAAATGAATTCAGGGGCATTAGTGGCCCTGTTGCCCATGGTATTAATTGCACTGAGAACCTTGCTCTGGAGAAAAAGAGTTCAAACTAGCCTATATCAAAGCTTGAAGTGACACATGTCATCGTCCGCCATATAGCTAGAATATTGCTGAGTGCGGCGAAAAACTAAACTCACTCACTAAACTCACATGTCATCGTATCCCAATTGCGTAGATCGATGTTCGTGCTGTTGATCACTGGATTGTCTGGTCCAGACTCGATTATTTACAGACCGTCGACATATAGCTGGAATATTGCTGAGTGCGGTGTAAAATTTAACTAACTCACTCAAAGCCTGAAGCAGACCCGTAAACACTTGCCTCAAGATGTCAAAGCTTGTAGTATGACACTTATAACCTGGAGACGGCGTCTGTCACACCTTCCGCATCTCTTTTTCAGCTTTAACAAGTAGCTGCACATGTCAACAGACGTTTGTGACGGCAACCAGCTTCAGCAACGAGGCCGACAAATGCCTGTAAGTTCGACAACTTTATTTAACTGCAGGAACCGTGTCCCTAACATCCTTTGACCCTTATTAATGTCATAGTCTAAGTACCATCATTTATCACTGTTTGTCGTCACGCCGAAGACCCGGGTTCGATTCCCAACATGGGTACAATGTTGGAAGCCTATTCCTGGTGTCCCCGCCATGATGTTGCTTGAATATTGCTAAAGCTGCGTAAAACTAAACACACCCGCAATCCCTCTTTGATATTGCAACAAGGGCACTGATGACATCCCGTAGGCATCCTAGAACCCAATGATTACGGGTTTGAATCCTGGTTTTCACTAAATAGGTTTCCGGGTTTGTCAGTACCAAACGCATCATCGTGGGTTGGAAATTTCCAAGACCGTCTTCTGTGAAACACTGTTCAAAGGGTCAGACTCGCTGAGTTGGTTGACTCATGTCATCGCATCCCAGTTGCGCAGATGAATGTTCATGCTGTTGATCACTGGATTGTCTGGTCCAGACTCGATTATTCCGCCATTTAGCTGGAATATGCTGGGTGCGCCGTTAAACAACAAACGAACATATGGTTTAACAATGTCTAAACATATTACTCGTTTTAGGATTTCAATCGTTATTGATGATACAATGCATCTGAAGATGATACGTTATGTGGCATCGTTATAAACAGGGGCGGTGGGGTAGCCTAGTGGTTAAGGCGTTCGCCCGTCACGCCGAAGACCCGGGTTCGATTCCCCACACGGGCACAATGTGTGAAGCCCATTTCTGGTGTCCCCGTCGTGATATTGCTGGAATATTGCTAAAAGTGGGGTAAAACTAAACTCACTCACTCACTCGTTGTAAACAGAGAGTACAAGAAGCTGGCGATCTGTCTGGGGAACAACAATGATGTTGCCTGTGATGGCACCACAAGCAAGAATGCACTTGTGACGTCTGTTGAAACTAAGGCTAAAACTTATGCCAGCTGCGCTACAGGTATGGGTCGAGTGTCGAATGTCAAGAGTCGAATGTTGAGTGTCGAGTTAACCATAGCACTGTTTTAAGACAAAGTTAGATGACTTTTAGTTGAGACTGCGCATTCACTATGAAAGTATCCGATAGCCTTGATGTTGAACGCTAGCCCTCAGATTGTTCCATTAGCCATTAGTTTGATTACCCCGTACTAGATAGTAATGTTTATGTCATACCAGATCATTGGCTCCTTGTTTTGCTCGAACATAACATGCGCACTGTTCCTATCGATTCAAGTAAAACCTGCATTTATTAATGCATTATTTAATTAGATGGAAATTAGTATTTAGAATGTATTTTGTGAGTTGTAGATGGTCTTCAAAATCATGATAATTTTGGTACGTTCCAAAGTCCTGAAAGTTTATTAAATGACCCGTGAAAACGGATGAAAATGACGTGTGCACCACATCCCCACCCCACCCACCCCACACCTTTCTCAAAAAGTTGTGTCTCCCCTGGGTACCATTTCTCTTCAAAGTGTTGTGATATAAATATGTATTACTGCATTCTTCTTGATAACCTAAGTGTGTGTATTACTTATATTAACGTGTGATGTGAAATATTATATGTGTGTAATATGTATACCCATGCCTGTTCTCCAGGGCTCTCTTCATCCACCTGTCAGTGTGAGATCAACTACGCTAAAACTGATACCAGCGACAACGCCAAGAAGTGCACGTATGTCTGTCCACATTTCTAACATAAAGTATACTTTATACATATTTACCGATTATCAAAATTAACAATAATAAAAGATACAAATACACAATAATCTCCTCTCTAAATAATTACAAATCAAACCCTCTCTTCATTATTTGTTTGTTTGTTATTATTCCAGTAATGTGACCAACTGGTCGTTAAACTGGTAAAACTCAGATGATTGAGCGTAATGTAACATATGTTATATTTGGGAGTACACTTTCTTAGTAAACCCCAAAAGTACTAGAATCTGTACTTTACTAAGGAAATGTACTCCCAAATATAACGTATGTGATCAACTTTCTTAGTAAACCCAAAAGTACTAGAATCTGTACTTTACTAAGAAAATGTACTCCCAAATATAACATATGTGAACAACTTTCTTAGTAAACCAAAAAAGTACTAGAATCTGTACTTTACTAACAAAATGTACTCCCAAATATAACATACGTAACATTTCACCACTTTCTAAAATGGCATTGTGTATTTCATTGAGCGTAATGTCATAATCTACTGTGACGTCACAAGATTATATAATGACAAAAATGCTGTAGTGGTTAACGCATCAGAATAAAAACAGTTATAATGTTAAGACTTAACTATGTACTTGTTTGATAAAAATCCAGACGTGGATCACATGTATATGCTCGAGCATTCTGACGTATAAAACAAACACACATTTATACATTTAATTTTCTCAGCGCCTACAACAAAATGCTGACGTGCATGTTCGGTTCTAATGGTGATTCTTGTGTTGGAACGGCAAAGACCACGTTTGTGACGACCATCGACACCAATGTGAAATCAGCACCCTTGAGTTGTACAGGTACACAATAACCGTCCATGATTCTACTCCATGAGGAACATTCAGTTATTCATGTTCTTGTTTTATGTTTATCAGATTGGTATCGTGGTCGTGACGCCAGTGTTAAACCGTATAAGGAGATAAACCGAATAAGGAGAGAAAATTCAAACAACTGATCACGAAAATCATGTTTTTTATTCAGCTTCAAAAGAAGTTTAGAAAATATTTATTTACCTTCCAAGTTGTTTTTATTGTGATTTTTCAGAATACACCAATGATATAGTCAAGCACTATCATGGGGCTGTTTTAAGCAGAGCTTTCTTGGGCATATGGGGAGTTGGGGGTAGCCTAGTTCTTCCTGCTAGACAACGGTACAAGAATACCGAAATGTCGCACTTACAAAATATTCTACCCATCAAAAGTCTAGACTCACTTAAAGAACTCTCTATATGCTATGCATAAATATATGGTCAAATCAAAGATGAATTTCTCTACAACTTGGGGGAACCAACTGCAAACCTTATGCAGAGGTATTTTAGTCTTGGGTAATGGTTCCTGTTTTACTATTTTTACAGGACTGGTTCCTTGATAACACACGACTCTATTCTTTCCAGCTCAAACTGCGGAATGTACCTGTGCTGTGGCATACGCCAAAATAGACTTTGCCACGGCTACTAACGCTGCCAAATGCAGGTAAAACTGATTCTGATACTCCAGGATATAGACTAGTACCGCTACTAACGCTGCTAAATGGAGGTAAAACTGATTGTATTACACCAGGATATAGACTAGTACCGCTACTAACGCTGCTAAATGCAGGGAAAATTGATTCTATTACTCCAGGATATAGACTAGTACCGCTACTAACGCTGCCAAATGCAGGTAAAACTGATTCTATTACTCCACGATATAGACTAGTACCACTACTAACGCTGCCAAATGCAGGTAAAAGTGATTCTATTACTCCAGGATATAGACTAGTACCGCTACTAACGCTGCCAAATGCAGGTAAAACTGATTCTATTACTCCAGGATATAGACTAGTACCGCTACTAACGCTGCCAAATGGAGGTAAAAGTGATTCTATTACTCCAGGATATAGACTAGTACCGCTACTAACGCTGCAAAATGCAGGTAAAACTGATTCAATTACACCAGGATATAGGCTAGTACCGCTACTAACGCTGCCAAATGCAGGTAAAACTGATTCTATTACACCAGGATATAGACTAGTACCGCTACTAACCCTGCCAAATCAGGAAAAACTGATTCTATTATATCAGGGTATTCTGGTATTGACTAGTACCGCTACTAACGCTGCTAAATGGAGGTAAAAGTGATTCTATTACACCAGGATATAGACTAGTACCGCTACTAACGCTGCTAAATGGAGATAAAAGTGATTCTATTACTCCAGGATATAGACTAGTACCGCTACTAACGCTGCTAAATGGAGGGAGATAAAAGTGATTCTATTACTCCAGGATATAGACTAGTACCGCTACTAACGCTGCTAAATGGAGGTAAAAGTGATTCTATTACTCCAGGATATAGACTAGTACCGCTACTAACGCTGCTGCTAAATGCTAAATGGAGGGATTCTATTACACCAGGATATAAAGTGATTCTATTAAAAGTGATTCTATTACACCAGGATATATAGACTAGTACCGCTACTAACGCTGCTACGCTAAATGGAGGTAAAAGTGATTCTATTACTCCAGGATATGAGACTAGTACCGCTACTAACGCTGCTAAATGGCAGGTAAAAGTGATTCTATTACTCCAGGATATAGACTAGTACCGCTACTAACGCTGCTAAATGGAGGGAGATTCTATGACACCAGGATATAAAGTGATTCTATTAGTGATTCCAGGATATAGACTAGTACCGCTACTAACGCTGCTAAATGGAGGTAAAAGTGATTCTATTACTCCAGGATATAGACTAGTACCGCTACTAACGCTGCTAAATGGAGGGAGATAAAAGTGATTCTATTACACCAGGATATAGACTAGTACCGCTACTAACGCTGCTAAATGGAGGGAGATAAAAGTGATTCTATTACTCCAGGGTATAGACTAGTACCGCTACTAACGCTGCTAAATGGAGGTAAAAGTGATTCTATTACTCCAGGATATAGACTAGTACCGCTACTAACGCTGCTTAATGGAGATAAAAGTGATTCTATTACTCCAGGATATAGACTAGTACCGCTACTAACGCTACCAACTGCAGGTAAAACTGATTCTATTACACCAGGATATAGACTAGTACAGCTACTAACGCTGCTAAATGGAGGATAAAAGTGATTCTATTACTCCAGGATATAGACTAGTACCGCTACTAACGCTGCTGACACCAGGGTATAGACTAGTACCGCTACTAACGCTGCTAAATGGAGGTGATTCTATTACTCCAGGATATAGACTAGTACCGCTACTAACGCTGCTAAATGGAGGTAAAAGTGATTCTATTACTCCAGGATATAGACTAGTACCGCTACTAACGCTGCTAAATGGAGGGAGGTAAAAGTGATTCTATTACACCAGGATATAGACTAGTACCGCTACTAACGCTGCTAAATGGAGGTAAAAGTGATTCTATTACACCAGGATATAGACTAGTACCGCTACTAACGCTGCTAAATGGAGGTAAAAGTGATTCTATTACTCCAGGATATAGACTATTACACCAGGATATACCGCTACTAACGCTGCTAAATGGAGGTAAAAGTGATTCTATTACACCAGGATATAGACTAGTACCGCTACTAACGCTGCTAAATGGAGGTAAAAGTGAGATAAAAGTACCGCTACTAACGCTGCTAAATGGATTACACCAGGATATAGACTAGTACCGCTACTAACGCTGCTAAATGGAGGAGATAAAAGTGATTCTATTACTCCAGGATATAGACTAGTACCGCTACTAACGCTGCTAAATGGAGGTAAAAGTGATTCTATTACACCAGGATATAGACTAGTACCGCTACTAACGCTGCTAAATGGAAATAAAAGTGATTCTATTACACCAGGATATAGACTAGTACCGCTACTAACGCTGCTAAATGGAGGGAGATAAAAGTGATTCTATTACACCAGGATATAGACTAGTACCGCTACTAACGCTGCTAAATGGAGGTAAAAGTGATTCTATTACTCCAGGATATAGACTAGTACCGCTACTAACGCTGCTAAATGGAGATAAAAGTGATTCTATTACTCCAGGATATAGACTAGTACCGCTACTAACGCTGCTAAAGATAACTTTTCACAAGTTGACAGTATGAATTATATGTATTAAACTTTAATGGTGTTATAAATGAATACGTGGAAACTGAAATATTTAAAATGTTATCTTGATGTGTTTTTAATTGTCCAGTGCTGCGCAAGACCTACTGGGGTGCATGACTGGAAAGACGGGTACTGGCTGTGACGGAGCCCAGTCGACTGCAACAATCTTAGCAACAGCTGAGAACACCATCGCACAGGCAGTCGCAGCGGGACAAGCCTGCGGTGAGTACGATGTCGTTGTTTGTTGTTGTTTGACGCTGCTCCCTAATATCCAAGCATTGTGACGACGGCATGCACACAACCGACCAGACAAACCAGTGCTTGATATCATGAGCATCGATCAGCGTCGCTCTGTGCGAAGGCTCGCAAATTATACGATAGAGTGGCCGCCCGAACCATTAAGTCACCTCGTACCACACGTGATTTGAGACAGTTGACAGTCGTAATAGCTGGCTAATTTGGGGATGGTTAGATCGGAAATTTATTATTTATGCAAGGATTATCGGTTCGTTACTGACAACCATAAGACCAGTCAAAAAGGTATGGAACGTTGTCTGTCACCTGAAGTACTAAGGTCTCGCGAAGAGCTGTGACCTACTTACAGGCCCTATCGGCATATGTGAAGGTTCAAGTGCAAGTGCAATCAGAATTCACCATAGGATTTATCTTTAGGTGACTCGCATACTTTGTATTGTAGCTAGATTGATAGCAGTGGCAGGCTCCTATTTGCGCTTCCGCTTACCCTTACGCCATGTAAAACCTTCCTGTCGGTCTGTCAACCTTTTCACGGTGGGGACAGTTCGATAGACATAATAAAAATCATTGCTTCTTTAACAAAATACAAATCTGTCGAAGGACTGTGTTTGAATGAATAGGTTCATAGGTGTCTCAGTTGATTGCAGAGTGGCCTCCCTTAGTCGTATCAGAAACCGGTGGCTGTGGGTTTGAATTATATATTGATCTGATTGTGTTTCTATATTTGTCAGTATAACACCGGTGTTCGTAGGTATCACAAAGGTGGAATAGATCTGTGAGTGAGTTAGTGAATTTAGTTTTACGCTGCACTCAGCAATATGCCAGCTATATGGCGGTGGTCTGTAAATAATCGAGCGTGGACCAGACAATTCAGTGATCAACATCATGAGCATCGATCTACGCAGTTGGGAACATATGACATTTGTCAACCAAGTCAGCGAGTCTGATCACCCGATCCCGTTAGTCGCTTTTTACGACAAGCATGGGTTGCAGAAGATCAATTCTAACCCGGATCTTCACGGGTCTGGAATAGATCTGTATCACTATATAATGTATATCAAACTGACACATCGTGTTGCAGCTGAAGGTACTGGAAGGGGCGTTGGCACACATTATCTAACTCCTGTAAATGAATAGATTCACATCATTGGAGGCAGGTTTACTGAAGTGATGTGTTTGTGTTTCCAGCACTGAGTGAGAGCTGCAAGTGTGAAGTCCTATTTGGCAAAGCTGATTCGACGAATGATGCTGCTTACTGCTCGTAAGTAGAATCAATAGTCATCATACTGAGATCGCCATAACATCCCAGCGTTGTCCGATCACTGAGCAACGTAAATAACAAATTCTACCCACGATTAAATCATAATCCCAGCCTTGCCCGACCATTGAGCAACGGAAACGACAAACATTACCCACAATTAAATCATAGTCCCAGCGTTGTCCGACCATTGAGCAACGGAAACGACAAACATTACCCACAATTAAATAATAGTCCCAGCGTTGTCCGAACATTGAGCAACGGAAACGACAAACATTACCCACAATTAAATCATAGTCCCAGCGTTGTCCGACCACTGAGCCACCAAAACAACAAACACTACCTACAATTAAATCATAGTCCCAGCGTTGTCCGATCATTGAGCAACGGAAACGACAAACATTACCCACAATTAATCACAGTCCCAGCGTTGTCCGACCACTGAGCCACCGAAACAACAAACACTACCTACAATTAAATCATAGTCCCAGCGTTGTCCAACCACTGAACCACCAAAACAACAAACACTACCTACAAGTAAATCACAGTCCCAGCGTTGTCCGACCATTGAGCAACGGAACCAACAAATTAAATCATCGTGCCATCGTTGCCCGACCATACTGAGCAACGAAAACAACTCGACCCCCACTTACTTCACTATCCTCCCAGCATAGCCCAGCCATTAAGGGAAACGAACAAAAATCAACCAAACAAACTACACCCGTAATTTAATTATAGTATTCAAATATACAACTAACAAGAATATGATAAAGATTCTCTTCCAACAGCATGGAACATGTGTTGTTCAGATGTAAAAGCAACTTGTGGAGATAGTTATGATTATTATGATTATTATGGCATTTCGATTGCGTTTTGAGAGGTTACGGCCTATTACATAACACATTATGAGTCCTCTCACCGTTGGACCTATGGGTCACCCCTCATTCACGCATCTACCCCTTACCCAAACCCTCACCCATCCTTCACGCCCACATTTAATTGAAGGCCTTCTAAGTGTTTCAGGCAAACAAATTGTATGATTTCAGGGCTGCCTTGAATTATTTTGCCTGTCTCAGTGTGGCGACGGACGTCGGCTGTTCTGGAACGACCAACGATGCCCTTAAACAGGCAGCCTTGACGAAGGTTACAACCATAAAAGGCTGTGGTAGGTGTTTACAGAATGTGCAGAATCGTAACCATTAAATGGTCAACCTAACTAGATATCTGTTTAACCATCAGCGCATAAAGCCATTTTCCATCCGAATTTTACAGTTCCAGTTTGGAACAGTTCTAATCGTCATCTTTTTCTCTGAAATAAACACCCTTTCTACATTTTTAATGACATTGTAGAAGTTTGTTGGTAGTTAAGGATACGACATCACTTAAGTATTTTAACTGACTGTTGAAGTGTCGATTTTTATTCTTAGCCCGCTATTAAACTAAAGTGGCTACATCTAAGTGATGTGACTTACATATGCATGGTAAATTGTGATACGCAGCGGATAAAAATTGACAAGAACGGGCACTGTTCCTGTAGAGCTAGAGCAAGAAATAGGTAAAGCTCTTGGTATGTTGTTTGACGCCTCACTCACACATTTTCCTTATAAGAGTGAGGGGCGGTGGGGTAGCCTAATGGTTAAAGCGTTGGCTCGTCACGCCAAAGACCCGGGTTCGAATCCTCACATGGGCAGATGTGTGAAGCCCATTTCTGGTGTCCCCCGCCGTGATGTTGCTGGAATATTGCTGAAAGCGGCGTAAAACCAAACTCACTCACTCACTCAGTCAGTATAAGAGTGATGTTGATGAAAACACCATGCATACACTCAGCAATTTGACAGCCATATGACGGCGTTCTGAAAATAATCGAGTCTGGACCAGACACTCCAATGTTCAACATCGTGACCATCGATCTAAGGAATTGGGATATGATGACATGTATATATACATCAGCAAGCATGACCACCCGATCCCGTTAGTTGCCTTTTACAACAAGCATGGTTTGCTGAAAACCAATTTCTAACCTGGATCTTCTCAGATCAATTAAAATAGCTTGTTGCTTGAGTTGGCATGCAGGGTTCCGATCGACTAAGCGTTCGTAAGGTTACGACCTGTCGTAACGCTATAGTTTATCTTAGGCTTACGAATGTCGTAGCGTTACGAACGTTTTGTGGATCGGCACCCAGACCAATCATCTGCATCGTGGCCTCACTGTTCCCCTGCAGCCAATTCTGATCTGATTACCCATTACCTGTTGTTGGTTTAGTCTGCTGTACCACAACATATCATGCATATATACTGCTCATCACTTGGTATGTCCACTCAAACTTAATTGTCCTTGTCAGAATCTACATCGAAAGGTCGCGTAAAGCTACAAACGAGAAGAACAGGAACAGTTTTTATGGATAGCAACGTTTCGGTGCAGATCCTAACACCGTTATCAAGCAACTTCTTTATTGCAATAGAAGCAACGTTTCGGTGCAGATCCTAACACCGTTATCAGGCAACTTCTCCATAACAATAGATGCGACATTTCGGTGTAGATCCTAACACCGCTACCAAGCAAATGATGATGCTAACGGTGTTAGGATCTACACAGAAACGTCGCATCTATCTATGAAGTTGTCTATCCATATAAAGATAGCATCTATGCAATAATGAAGTTGTCTAACCATAAATAGGGTTCCTCTTCATCATATCAGCTTCTAAACGCCGCTTAAAGAAGTTACAAACGAGATGTTTGGGGCAACTTTGCTGGGATATGTCTGCATTAGGATGTTCGTGATTTTGTTAGACTTGTCCTGAAGTGTGTGTATGAATTCAGTGTATGTTTAGGCGTGCATGCGCATGTGCGTGCGTGCGTGCGTGCGTGTCTGTGAGGGCTTAAAGACATACGTTTCCGTTTGCTGTACGAATCATGAAATGTAAGTCCAGAACGAGTTTATCAATAGTAAGTAGTTTACTCACACATTGGGGCATAAGGTGTGCGAATACCAACAGCTATTCACATTGTATAACCATATCAGCAGATGCACACATTTCTAATCTGCCATTAACACTTTCTTATATCTGACCAACATTATCTGTACTTCTTGCACCGCTAGTCAAACCTGTCTGAATTCACGCATGGTTTGCATGTGGAGGGGGTAACTAATGTTTGGTGATGGGATGGGTATCCGCCCACTTGTTTGATATTTGATATTTATTTTACCTTTATTAAATTGATGAATACTTCTTTAAACAGAAAACGTTCTTTTGTATTCTTAAACGGAAAACAATACAATTGTTATACGTAAGTGTTAAATGAATGTAATAGTACTTATAAATAATGTTTTGCAAAAAAGACATAAATCAGCAAAATATTCTTAAATTCTAACGTATTGATAATTTCACATCTACTACCATGTTATGTATTGTATTTAACACGTCAAGTATTCCATGCATACTTTCCATCCTACATCAATATCATTGTGTTTATTACCCCAGTGCTCATAGGGTATGTTATATACATTGTTACGTCAGGTATTCCATGCATACTTTCCATCCTACATCAATATCAGTGTGTTTATTTCCCCAGTGCTCATAGGGTATGTTATATTGTAGTATTTATCACGTCAAGTATTCCATGCATACTTTCCATCCTACATCATTATCATTGTGTTTATTTGCCCAGTGCTCATAGGGTATGTTATATTGTAGTATTCATCACGTCAAATATTCCATGAATAATACTTTTCATCCTACATCAATATCATTGTGTTTATTTCCCCAGTGCTCATAGGGTATGTTATATTGTAGTATTCATCACGTCAAATATTCCATGAATAATACTTTTCATCCTACATCAATATCATTGTGTTTATTTCCCCAGTGCTCATAGGGTATGTTATATTGTAGTATTCATCACGTCATTTATTCCATGCATACTTTCAATCCTACAGCAATATCATTGTGTTTATTTGCCCAGTGCTCATAGGGTATGTTATATTGCAGTATTCATCACGTCAAATATTCCATGAATAATACTTTCCATCCTACATCAATATCATTGTGTTTATTTCCCCAGTGCTCATAGGGTATGTTATATTGTAGTGTTCATCACGTCATTTATTCTATGCATACTTTCCATCCTACAACAATATTATTGTGTTTATTACCCCAGTGCCCATAGGGTATGTTATATTGTAGTGTTCACCACGTCATTTATTCCATGCACGTTGCTTTCCATTTGACAGCTTTGCCAGATACGTGCCAGTGTCAGCAGACCTTTACCACCAGCGTCGCTGCCAATGCATCTCAGGAATGCAGGTACGACTTCATCTGTTCTTGCAACATCAGTTTTGTTTCATCTCCTTTAAGCACTAACACCATCACGACTGGTATTGACTTGACACATGATACCAAAGGAAGGAATCGCACTCATGCCCTCGATGCACGTGTGAACACGTTAACACCAAGGCTGCCTCGCCACCTTTGAATTTCAACCCCTTTGAGTTTCTTTTGCCTCTCTCGTTCGGTTTAAGAGTGTATATTACAGATCGATGATGCTAACATAACTGAAATACTGTCCAACATCACTCACCTAATGGCATAATTTGACAATGCCATTCGCTGCAATTGTCTTAGAAGTATTAAACTTCATGAAGTAGACATAATTCATGATAATAAGTCATCTGGCTTGGATTTAAAACATGTCTGTGGAGGGATCAGAATAAATTTGTTTACTTCAATCCGGAATGCTGTCAAGAAAGAACATTCATGTCTGTTTCAAATCAGCCGCTTTAGATAGATTTTATTGTATTTTCTTTTAAAAATGTTCCCTTGAGTTAATATTTTTATAAATTTTACTAGATATGCACTGAACGCCCTTTCCTGTTTGTCTGCAACCACATCTCAAAGTTGTGATAAAACCCAGACTCAGTCACAGGTTGCCGATGGTTTTAAAACAAGGGTGGCAACTCTTTCATCAACAAGCTGCTGTAAGTATTAATCATATATTCTGAAATTTTGAAAGTCAACTTCGAGTTATTGTACACTGCAAATATGTAAAAATACCGAACTATGTATATACATCTTTAGACTATAAGGTAGATAAACTTGAGAACTAACAGTAAATAGCACATAACATTAGCTAGCGCCCCACAGTGACAAGAGCATCTTACCAGTAGGAGTTATTCCCCCTTATAGCCCCTCATGATCTACAAGAAAAGTAATATGCATCTGTGCGTTATCTCCCTTCACACTAAGCTATTTTGGCAGCAGCTAGGTGACAAAATGGCAATGGTAAAAGCGTATTATGTTAAAACTTCATTAATTACTGATTAATTTGTTTGCATGTTGTTTTTGTTTGTTCTTTAGACCAGACAGAGACCTGTAAGTGCCAGATAGCATACGCTACAGCTGACACAACGTCAACAGCCAACAAGTGCACGTACGTACATAGCAACCAGGATTGGTCTTGAGTGAGTAAGTGAGTTTAGTTTTGCGCCGCACTCAGCAATATTCCAGTTATATGGCGGCGATCTGCCCAACTGGGATACGATGCGTGTGTCAACCAAGTCAGCAAGCCTGACCCACCGATCCCGTTAGTCGCCTCTTACGACAAGCATGGGTCACTGAAGGCCAATTCTAACCCGGATCTTTACACGTCCGGCGGCCTTAGGTCTTGATATTGAAATAGGTAAATGTGTGTGAATAAGACGGTGTGTCTGTGTAATGTTTTTTCGTACATCTGGTCTCATCAGTGATTTGCATTGATCCATTCCTATTTGCACCGCTATTTTGACGTAAGTCAGCGGATAATCGAGGCTGTATTCTCTGTTGTTCACCTTTTATATATATTATATGCCCCTAGGTAGATAAGCATAGGGGTAGCCTAGTGGTTTAATCGTTCGCTCGTCACGCGAAGACCCGGGTTCGATTCCCGACATGGGTACAATGTGGGAAGCCCATTTCTGGTGTCCCCCGCCTGGATATTGCTGAAATATTGCGTAAAACTCTACTCACTCACTCACTCACTTGATACGCATAATACATGTAAAGAATGCAAACAAATGATATGATGTTAAAGGGCTTTAGATTACTGGTACTGACGATTTGCCCGAGCAAAGTTCATATTCAGGAAGTTTACATGCACAATAAAGCGTTATGGACAGTGCTTGCGCACAAATCGCTCTCCTGGATGTTTTAGCTACTAAATAGAAATGTTGCATCTGGTAATCCTCGAAAACAACGGCCGATGAAATATTTTTCACTTAGACGGGAAATGTAATTTCCGAGGTTTAATTGTATTGAGCGCACAAATGAAATGAAGAGCTGTCCTCTGATATCCTAGTGTGCATCCCTCCAATCAAAACATCTTTCATTTTTAAACTGTAAGCAAAAGAAAGTATCCGCCTATGTTATATTTTGACTTAATATGGTACGTCGATGGCGAAGTGAGTAAATGAGTTTAGTTTTACGCCGCTTTTAGCAATATTCCAGCAATATCACGGCGGGGACACCAGAAATAGGCTTCACACATTCAACCAATGTGGGGAATCGAACAGTACGCGTTAACCACTAGGCTATCTGATACGGATACCACAGTTTAATCATAGGTTTACAGTATTTCGGTGACCGTTTTAAGTCTTTTAAATAGTGTTTTGAAGACGTTTGTAATTTTGGGGTCAATTCCATTTTCAAGTGTAACCTTTTCTTTTGTCCGGCAGTGTTTGATTGTTTCATTATATTAAACATAAAAAATATACTAGAATACTTTGCAAGCTATTGTATGATCAATGAATGAATCATAAATGTAAGTATGCTTTATATGAAAAACTATGACATAATGTATGTGAACAAATATATAATGCAAAAGCTATAAGAATTGAATTGTAGACATCAGAATATATCAGAATGAGAATACATGGAATACCTTGCAAACTATTGTATGAACTACGATCTGAATCATAAATATAGGTATGCTTTATATGAGTGAGTGAGGTTGGTTTTACGCCGCTTTTAGCAATATTCCAGCAATATCAGGGCGGGGGACACCGGAAATGGGCTTCACACATTGTACCCATGTGGGGAATCGAACCAGGGTCTTCGGCGTGACGAGCGAACTCTGGAACCACTAGGCTATGTCACCGCCCGCTTTATGTGAACATGTATGACATAATGCACATTAGGGCTGCGCAATATAACCGGTTTACCGGTATTTACCGGTTCAGACATGAAAACGATACGTATTGCGATACGCTGATCGAAAACCGGTATTTTGACATGCATTCGGAAAACTTTGTAACACTCGGAAATCTTCGGATATTTCCGTTTTTTGAATTGTTCTTTTCCCTGTTTCATTAGTGCCAAATGTTACTTACATTTTCATTTTGTCATGATTAACGTTTTTATAAAAGATTAATCAATCATAGTGATTTTGTTGTGTTTTTGCTTTATAATCAAGCATAAACTCGATTATAAGTAGTTTTTGTTAAAAAAATAATCCTTGCAATATATTGCAATACATATCGCAATAGACGCTTCCGCATCGCAATATATCGCAATATGAAAATTCTCTGCAATACCCACCCGTAATGCACATGAACATCTGGGAAATAGAAAGATAAATAATAACAAACTCTTAAACATAGTCTTATATGCAGGGTGTTGATGTTATCGTATATGTGTATTTCCAGGGCTGGCAGAACGTATAACACGTGCCTCAACAAGATACAGAATGACCAGGACGTAGGCTGTGATGACGTCACACAGAAACAGTACCTGATGCAGGGTCACGTCATTCTCGTTCTACAAGCCTGTAAGTGTACATTGAAGAGTTTCGGCTTTTAGCTTGTGTTTATTCACATTAGGGCTGCGCAATATAACCGGGTTTACCGGTATTTACCGGTTCAGACATGAAAACGATACGTATTGCGATACGCTGATCGAAAACCGGTATTTTGACATGCATTCGGAAAACTTTGTAACACTCGGAAATCTTCGGATATTTCCGTTTTTTGAATTGTTCTTTTCCCTGTTTCATTAGTGCCAAATGTTACTTACATTTTCATTTTGTCATGATTAACGTTTTTATAAAAGATTAATCAATCATAGTGATTTTGTTGTGTTTTTGCTTTATAATCAAGCATTAACTCGATTATAAGTAGTTTTTGTTAAAAAAATAATCCTTGCAATATATTGCAATACATATCGCAATAGACGCTTCCGCATCGCAATATATCGCAATATGAAAATTCTCTGCAATACCCACCCGTAATGCACATGAACATCTGGGAAATAGAAAGATAAATAATAACAAACTCTTAAACATAGTCTTATATGCAGGGTGTTGATGTTATCGTATATGTGTATTTCCAGGGCTGGCAGAACGTATAACACGTGCCTCAACAAGATACAGAATGACCAGGACGTAGGCTGTGATGACGTCACACAGAAACAGTACCTGATGCAGGGTCACGTCATTCTCGTTCTACAAGCCTGTAAGTGTACATTGAAGAGTTTCGGCTTTTAGCTTGTGTTTATTCAAAACTTAGCCTTTTAATCACGTTGGATCGTCCCCGATACAAATACCGCCACATAACACCTTTCTGCGACTGCCTTCTGTTATTCAGAAGCTACCAATGTACTGATGATTCTATTGTAAAAGTAATAATTGTTTTTGTATGTATAATGCCACTAAATATACTATTAATCAACTTTCATTTTATCACAAAACTCAATCCATCAAAACAAAACTCAGTGGATAGGTGAGGTGAAATTGGATTTAACGTCGTGCTTGAGAATATTTCGCTCATATGACGACGTGCATGCGTATGTATGTGTATGTGCGGCTGCTTGTACTAGCCCAGACTTAAGCTGGTTTTATAGTGCTAGCCCACTGACATACCATGCCGCAGTGAAGCATGAATACCCCACTCTGACACATTATACTGACTCCGAGCAGACCAGTTTTGTACCCATTAATGCCGAGCGCCAGGCAGGGACCAACAAGTACATATTTTAACGTCGTTTGGTATGACGCGGTCGGGGATCGAACCCGCGACCTTCCAGTCTCTGGGCGGACGCTCTAAACACTACACCACGGAGGCGGTCCTCAGTGGATAGGTCTACAAGAAAGTCTGTTTAAGAATTGAGGAGGAGTAGTATAGTGTCATACTATAATACTGCTGTCAATAAACATATATTACAGTTAACCATTAGGGCTGCGCAATATAACCGGTTTACCGGTATTTACCCGTTCAGACATGAAAACGATACGTATTGCGATACGCTGATCGAAAACCGGTATTTTGACATGCATTCGGAAAACGTCGTAACACCCGGAAATCTTCGGATATTTCCGTTTTTTGAATTGTTCTTTTCCCTGTTTCATTAGTGCCAAATGTTACTTACATTTTCATTTTGTCATGATTAAAAGTTTTTATGAAAGGTTAATCAATCATAGTGATTTTGTTGTGTTTTTGCTTTATAATCAAGCATTAACTCGATTATAAGTAGTTTTTGTTAAAAAATAATCCTTGCAATATATTGCAATACATATCACAATATACGCTTCCGCACCACAATATATCGCAATATGAAAATTCTCTGCAATACCCACCCCTATTAACCATTTTCTGTGGATATATACACGTATACTATGAATCAGTTTTGATTTCTTTCTCCTTCGACAGGTCGTGGATGCTCGATTTCACATCCTTCAGTGGCAATCATCCTCATCTTGGCAGTCTCGACCTTGCTATGGAAATACTAAAGTGACGCCTTATGGTTATCGGATATGCGTTATGATATATATAGGACAATGGCAGTGCTTGTGGAACCAGTATTCACTGATTGTACAATTAACGATCAAATACTTGTAACTTAGTTCAAATTTATATATTGGCTTGAATGATATGCTTGTATCATCTCTAAACTGTTTATGGTAAAATGATATCCAAATATTTTAAATACATTGAATAATGTTATGTTTGTCTGTGATAAAAGCATCAATTACGCAATGCCGTCGAAGATTTCGGCCATTATCAACAAATGAATGAATACAAATCATACAAGGTATTTGATAAAATATTTCAGAAATTAACAATTATTATGATACCGGTTCCTGCAATAGAGTATTAGTAACTTGTAAATGTTTTGTAGAATTGTAAAAATGTTTTCAATTATGGATAGTCATTATCTTCATCTCGAAATAATGACGCAACTTTCGACGAAGATCAGTGGTCTAATATTGTTCTTGCCTATGCCTCGTTATGAAGGAAACTTCTTTTTGAATTTCTATCTTTGTTTAATATGTATGAGGTGATGAAAGGAAATGTGAAAGAATATTAATGTCACTGTGAATATGTCATGTCAGGCCTTGTACATAGTGATTCTAAAAATGCAACCTCGTGTTTTGTAAACATTATATATACATATATACAAATTATTGCATATGCTTTAAAATTAAAATAACCACTCAAAATGCATGAGAAATTACAGTATTAAAATGAAATGTTTTTTTCTCCATTTTTAAAACTGAATGTATCAGGACATAAAAGAACAAGTCAGTTTAAAATTTGAAACTTTTTCTAAAAGCTTTTAATCTTTTTTCAAAAACATTTATGTGTTGTATAGTAGTCTCGCTGCTGAGTTCTACCAAGGAGAATTATCTCCTAAAAACCAAATGTACAGCACTGCGTCTATATATACTTACTGACCATCCGTCCAGAAGATGAAAGTTTAGCAGTATTCTGTTCTGTGATACTGGCATTTATTGATGCAAATCCAGCTGAGAGTGTTCCCTGTTTCTATTAAGGCTGATATGTTTCCTCAGTAATGATGAATGTTCTTTAAATGTTCTACAAATTTCCCAATCCGATCCGATTTTATACCCGTCCTAGGAATGTGATATTTGTTCTATTTGTGATATATGTTATTGTGAACTATATGTATATATGTCAACTATTTTCCTATTCATGTATTCAGAGAATTCCAAGATTGAAAATAAGAATATAAATGACCTACTATTTCATATTCACAAGAGGGGGATTGGTTTTAGCGAAGAAAATATATTCTCCCGGAGTACCAAGAACAAAGTAGGCTTCAGACGTAAAAATCGAAATTCTAAGCCATATAAAATACATTATTTAAAGGTGTTTTTCGTAAATAAATATCCAGGACGGTCTCCGAAAAAAATGATAAAAGTGATAAAATGCCATTTAGATAAAACCTAACTTCACACGAATGTTTTCTTTGATGTGCATTTTAGAAGATGAGTTTAAGAATGGCGAAAATTCTTATGGATCTGCAACTTGTATATCCATGAAAATTGTCATCATTCTTCACACAATGTTTTTAATTTGATATGGCATTGAAAGGAAATACGTATGTTAAATATTAACTTCAGTTATCAAGTAAAAACATTGGAAAAAACAATGCGCTTGTTTTGGAACCAAACGCTAAGCTTTAAGATATAACCACATCTCCAATACACCTGTTATCTGTAAACACTAGTCTGTAGAGTGAAGCCTTACATCCCTGACTGTTGCTGTTTTTGCTGAGAGATGGGCAAATTCCAAACGCTTAAAACAAAATCCATTTTTAAAAAGAACATATTTAATATAGTTGTGGAATAAATCTTTCAAACATTAATTGTACTGCGATTAAAGATATATTTGTTTTGTAACTGTTACGTATCGATGTACATATAGTTGAAGTTATAAGACATTTGACACTTGCATTCCATTTATTACTGTGCCTATCTCGAATGACGTGATTACGGAGGCAGTCATAGTTGTAATGTTTTCATTCAAATAAACTTTCTATTTCATATGTCAGTAGTTTGTTATTATTAGGGCTGCGCAATATAACCGGTTTACCGGTATTTACCGGTTCAGACATGAAAACGATACGTATTGCGATACGCTGATCGAAAACCGGTATTTTGACATGCATTCGGAAAACTTCGTAACACTCGGAAATCTTCGGATATTTCCGTTTTTTGAATTGTTCTTTTCCCTGTTTCATTAGTGCCAAATGTTACTTACATTTTTATTTTGTCATGATTAAAAGTTTTATAAAAGGTTAATCAATCATAGTGATTTTGTTGTGTTTTTGCTTTATAATCAAGCATTAACTCGATTAAAAGTAGTTTTTGTTAAAAAAATAATCCTTGCAATACATTGCAATACATATCACAATATACGCTTCCGCATCGCAATATATCGCAATATGAACATTCTCTGCAATACCCACCCCTAGTTATTATAGTGGCGACGGGTTAGCCTAGTGATTAAAGCGTGCGCTCGTCACGCTGAAGACGCGGGTTCGATTCCCCAGATGGGTACAATGTGTGAAGCCCATTTCTGGTGTCCTCCGCCGTGATATTGCTGGAATATTGCAAAAAACGGCGTAAAACGTACTCACTCACGGACTCATTATAGGGACGGTGGCGTAGCCTAATGGTTAAAGTGTCCACTCCTCACGCTACAGACCTCTTTTCGATTCCTGTGTGTGAAGCCCATGGGCGGATCCAGGAATTTTGAGGGGTGGGGTTCAGGGGTTCAAACCCCTCATTGGTGACGCCAACGCAAAAAAAATCTTCAATATGGTCTTGAGTCATTTTCAAAAGGGTGGGTGGGTCCGAACCCACTGAACCCCCTCTCTGGATCCGCCAATGAAGCCAATTTCTCGTGTCCTCCGCCGTAATATTGCTGGTATATTGCTTAAAGCGGCGTAAAATCATATTCCCAAACTCACTGCTGTTATCATCAGTTGGCCGTCAAAGTGGTTTTGTGGACAAATCGCCTATATCTGGTTTGGTTTGTTTATTGTACCGCCGCACTCAGCGATATTCCAGCTATATGGCGGCGGTCTGTAAGTAATCGATATACCTATGTTTTAATGTCGCTAATGGTGGAATGGTTATTTCATGGTGATGTATACCGATGGTACTGGTATCATAGTTTTATTCGACCCTTGAGTTGTCCACATTTTGTTTCAACGAGAGTGGGGTGAGGGGTTTATATCAATTTTAAGTGTATACTATATTGCCGGGTAGTTTACTATGACAATATTACCGTAGTAGGGTGTGAAAATGAACAAACAATTAAACAAAGCATTCTTAGAAAACGAACAGAATTGCCAGTTCACTGCACATTTCATTATCATAAACAAATATTAATAATATTGCAATTTATGCACAGCTGGTTGAAATATAAATGAACATAAATCCGAGGGTCAAAAGAAACGCCACCATTATTTTTCAACTCGCAAACAACACAACCACAAACAATAGCACCTTCTCACGTTTTTATTATAGAAAAAGAATTCATTTGCCCATTTGTATATTATTACAAAATGTTAAATATTTAATACTTTCGGTGAATTTGAAATACTTGGTATATTTCAAATTCATACTTATTTATATTATTCATTGTTGAATTTCCAGTTTCCCTGACAAATTCATGGTCGTAACGGTTTCGTTCTTTATGCAAAGTTTACAATTTTGCGGCGGCTTGTGTCATCGGCTTCGGGCTTTTCAGGTGTTGATGGCAGCCTCGCAACGAATATACTCTACGGAAATATAAGTAAAGGTATAAATATGTGTCAAAATGTGCACAAACTTTAAATGTTCGAAACACATCACAAGGTCATGAAATTAAATGAAAATTGAAATGTGTAATATTGACTATAAGTTAGTCAGACCTGTCGACAGAGTACTTGGCACATATTTCCCACAGATATGCCTCCGGCTCCATGATTCGAATCCCAATGTTCTCCAAGATTCTGGGTGATTCTGGGTTTGTGAGAATCATACACACTTATTGGTCAACCACGAATTTGCTTTTCTTCAACATTGAGTGAGTGAGTGAGTGAGTTTGGTTTTACGGCGCACTCAGCAATATTCCAGCTATGTGGCCGCGGTCTGTAAATAATTGAGTCTGGACCAGACAATCCAGTGATCAACAGCATGGGTATCGATCTAAGCAATTAGGATACGATAACATGTGTCTACACATCAACGAGCATGACCACTCGATCCCGTAGTCGCCTCTTACCACAAGTATGCTTTGCTGAAAACCAATTCTAACCCTGATCTTCTCAGGTCAATTAAAATAGCATTTAGTCGCCTCTTACGACAAGCATGACTTCCTGTAGGTCAATACTAATGTAACCAGGATCTTCAAAGCCTCTCCACTATTGAACCTGACATGCTGTAATATACTACCCATCAAAAGTTTAGACTCACTTAAAGCACTCACTGTATGTTATGTATAAATACTCTCCCAAGAAAGAAACGCATAAAGGAATTTCAACTGTATTTTTTTGTTTATATAGAAACATCTTGTAGGCTTTATGAGTCAATGAAATATAGCGAAATTGCACACTGGGAATGCAGACTTATCCGTCTTTGGCACCAACCCGAGGAAAGTCAGTTTGAGTGTTGAGACGTGTGGTGGCGCGGAAGTCAATACCTCGTGTGACCACCGTGGGCATCCAGAACTGCAAGGCATCGCCTCGGCATCGAACGAATAAGTTTCAGAATCTCGTGTTGCCCAATTGCAACCCACTCTGCCTGTAGTGCCTGTGTGAGTTGCTGAAGTGTCTGGGGCTGAGGGTTACGGCGTCGCACCCGTCTGTCCTGGGCATCCCACAGATGTTCGATCGTTTTTAAGTCCGGTGCACTTGAGGGCCAGGGGAGCACATTGATGTTGTGGTTCTGGAGGAAGTCTCTAGAATGACGTGCTGTGTGGGGCCTGGCATTGTCCTGTTGAAAAAACTCCATCTGGCGATCAATGATTGGAAGGAGGAGTTGGCGTAGGATTTCGTCACAGTACCGTTGAGCTGTCAGGTTGCCCTGGATCATCACCAAATCACTTCTCCTACGGCAGGTGATCGCTCCCCACATCATAACACGGCCCCGGCCGAATCTGTCCACCTGGGGAACGCAAGCGTCGGCGAAACGTTCACGTCGACGTCTGTACACCCGCATTCTTCCATCGCGTCGTTCCAATAGAAATCGTGATTCATCACTGAACCAGATTCTACGCCAATTCGGTAGGTTCCAGGCCTGAACGTTGGTGCACCATTGAACTCGATGTCGACGATGTTGTTGTCGAAGCACAGGGCCAAAATAAGGTCTTCTGGCACGTAAACCAGCCTCTCTCAACCTGTTCCTGACGGTCTGTGCAGAAAGCCTCCTCAATCCGGGTATTTGTCGAGCAGTACTGGTCGCCGTAGCTGTTCGATGACGCAGATGATGTACCCGGATGTAGCGATCCTGCGCCGCAGTGGTCGCTCGAGGTCGCCCACTACGAGGGGCATCTGCTACCTAATTCTGCCGGCGATATCTCTCCCAGAGCCGTGAAATGGTGCTTTGGTGAACATTCATGCGTCGGGCAACTGGACGTTGAGACTGGCCAGCTTCAAGCAAACCAATGGCGATATGACGGTTGGCTTCACTTAGACGTGGCATGTTGCGTTCGTCAACAATATTCCAAATACAGTGAATAATCGACAGACAGCGATCAACCTTTTATACCCATCATTGAGACTATCTGATCCCCAACTTCCATGTGCATTGCATGTGAATTGTGTATTCTGTGACACTACAGGCGGAAATTGAAATACGGGTATTTTACGGATGGTGCGTTTTGTTGTGATGTTTCAAAACATAAACACCATAGGACTCATAAACAGAGCAAAACCTTTTGTAAAATGAATCACGTTTTAATTCATTGCTACATGAAATTGCAATTTTCATGATGCGTTTCTTTTTTGGGAGAGTATATATATATGGTTACATCGAAGATGAATTTCTCCACTAACTTGGGGGAAACTACTGCAAACCTTAAGCAGATGAACTGCACGAGGATCATGCATCAAATTGCTGAAAAGCATGTGCAAACATCGTGCATGTGAACAGCTGCGTTTTGGTGTAAAGTTTTGTTAGACTTCGCCAATTTTCACCGAGTTTTTTTTCATTTTTTGAACTCATGACAATAATCTTTCAACGTTACGGATTTGTTTTATAATACATCAGTTCATGTGTAAACAGTACCTTTGAACAGTATGGGATATTTTGCAAAGTCTAGTTTAGAACAGTTGACTTAAGTAAGTGGCTACATTTACACTAGTGAATCTAAACTTTTGATGGGTAGTATATAATTGATATATTGTTCAAAGCGGCGATAAGACCAACCCACTCAAAGGTTGTAAAGTATGAAAGGCATGAAGCCACGAGTACTAACTGACTCACCATAGTCACACCAATAGACGCTCCAAGAAGAGAGCCAAATATGACGTCACCAGGATGGTGCCAGTAGTCAAAGACACGTGACAGGGAGATGTAGAACGCCACGCTCAGCACCAGAGCCATGGCAAACGGTTTGAGGAGACGAGGGCTGGACTTTGGCAGTCGGGCATACAGAAACACCTGTGAGGAAAGTAATCAGCTGTCAGGTGTGTTCTTGTCTTGCTTATTTGAATTAACGTAATTCTTTATTTTGATTAAGGTAGGAGGTGTTCAAAAAGAGGTTAAGAGATGGCACTTGTTATCCTTTGACATAAGAGAACTAAAACGAGGATAGGTTGCCTCTACGTACCTGGAATTAGTCTAGACAAGTACGATCAGGCATATACAAACACACACACAGAGACTAGTCCTACCAATTGGATAAAAAAAGAATATTACCGCAAAATATGTCATCCCAAAGAAAGAAATCGATGAATGTCCCGATGGGAAAGACAGTCTGCAAAAATACAGATACAATACAAATACATATACATTCTCTTTGTCTTCAGGGCTGTCATTTCGGTAAACTTACACTGTGAGTTCTTTAACACTCCTTCCTAAACCTTTTACTTTCTCCTTTTGCGAGGTCGATAAGTCGGAAAATGTTTACGAAAATCAAGGGCGGGTAATTTCAGATCGTGGTAAATCTGGGGATTAGTGCTGGTTTGAGTCAAAGAAAGGTCGACAAAACTTTCACTGGCCGTAAAAGTGGAAACTATATAAAAATTATATATGAATGGAGCACGGTTTGTTGTTTGTTGTTTAACGCCGCACTCAGCAATAGTCCAGCTATATGGAGGCGGTCTGTAAAATAATCGATTCTGGACCAGACAGTCCAGTGATCAACAGCATGAGCATCGATCTACGCATTTGGGATACGATGACATGTGTCAACCAAGTCAGCGTGCCTGACCACCCGATCCCGTTAGTCGCCTCTTACGACAAGCATGGGTTGCTGAATTCAACTTCTAACCCGGATCTTCATGAGACCCTCGTGAAGGAAATATGATGTACTGCTAGAACTATATAACCCGGATCTTCACGGGTCGAATGGATCACGGAAACTCAATGATAACATCAGGTTTTTTTGGAAACCATTTCCCGCCGATTTGTGCGGTGTTCATCACTGGATTGTCTGGTTCAAACTGCAATCATACAGCTGGAATATTGAAGTGTGCGGCCTCAAACAAACAAGACGATTATTGACTGTGGCGCTGTCATACACACCTTGCTTCTGATATTGCCTGTTTGTCGGACCCTTCACAAGTATAATTCTGGATGTATCCCTCCGCGCAGGCGGTGATCAGGTCGGGATGACATACGAAAATAAAGTGCGGTCTGAGACGCCCGATGCTGTACTTCCCGATGTCGGTGACGGCAAAGGTGAGAGCACCACCAAACAGGAAGACGAGAGCGACGTCAAAGACGCCTCTCAACACGGCATGACAGGTAATGGCTCCGCGCAGTTTGTAAACTTTGAAGAGAGCGTCCCAAACTACCATCTGCCAAAGGTAAGAATTCATCTTCAAAGTCTACTTTGTCCATGGAGTAATGTTTATTTCAGCTATATCAAAAGGATCTTAGTCGCATGTGAACATGTTATGAATATTATTAAAAATATTGAATGAAGAGAAGATATTAGTAATTTTAAGAATTTGTACATTTTGTCATGTTGATGTCATTGAAGACGAATTTCAGTTACCATGTTTGTCATGGTTTGAGAGAGAAATACTTTTCATACATGCAGTTTAAAACAAAAGAGACACTTATGTATACACGCAATTTTGAAGATTCGACTGACTGACTGACTGAGTTTGGTTTTACGCCCCTTTTAGCAATATTCCAGCAACATCACGGCGGGGGACACCAGAAATGGGCTTCAACCATTGTACCCATGTGGGGATTCGAACCCGGGTCTTCGGCGTGATGAGCCAACGCTTTAACCACTAGGCTACCCCACCGCCCCCTGAAGATTCGGAGACCGTAATTAAGAGTCATAAATGTCTCAAAGAAGCTTTATATATGCTCCTCATTACTACAGCTTTCTAACTAGCACCATGTTGTGTGTATTTATTCTTTGTTACGAATTGTACATTGGGCTGTGGCTTAATATACTTAATATACTAGAGCGCCGTGGTGTAGTGGTTAGAGCGTCCGCCCGGAGAGCGGAAGGTCGCGGGTTCGATCCCCGACCGCGTCATACCAAAAGACGTTAAAATATGGTACTTGTTGGTCCTTGCCTTGCGCTCGGCATTAATGGGTACAACAAGGACTGGTCGGCTCGGAGTCAGTATACTGTGTCTGAGTGGGGTATTCATGCTTCACTGCGGCATGGTATGTCAGTGGGCTAGCACTATAAAACCAGCTTAGTCTGGGCTAGTACAAGCAGCCGCACATACACATACACACGCATGCAAGTCGTCATATGAGCGAAATATTCTCAAGCACGACGTTAAACGCAATTTCACCTCACCTCACCTCCAAATTCCAACAGTACGATTGGGTTTGAATGCCGGCTCGCCCTACTTATTATGTTTGGTTTGTTAGGGTCATGCATGTTAGTAGTGGTATGTGTCTCAGACCTGTGTCATGAACATCGATCGACGCAGTTCGGATACGACGACATGTGTCAACCAAGTCATTGAGCCTGACCACCCGATCCCGTTAGTCGCCGCTTCCGACAAGCATGGGTTACTGAAGTCCACTTTTAATCCGGATCTTCACGGGACCCTCGTGGGGGAAATATGATGTGCTAGAACTGCATTACCATTCAATGAAGTATTAACTGTATTTATATTCATGTCTTGAAGGTGTTCCCATATGGGGGTGTCTTACCACTACTAGAGGTACACCTAGCGACACCATCATCAACAGCGTGACTGATATGGTGCTTTGCTTGTACGGGTACTTGATAGTGTCATCGTCACAGAAGAATCCCTGCCGGAACGGAACACCATACTTCTCAAGAACCCCGACAAATAGTAACACTACAAATAAAAAACGTTCCAAATTAAGCATTCAGATAATTCTCATTTCAAGTTTGATACGTATATGAATAAATGCAACAAGACCATCTCCATAACCATAGAAGTCTAAGAAAAGATTTTGAGTTTATCATAATTGTTTATGTATCACTATCAAATAGTGATGATACCAGATGTTCCCGAGTGAGTGAGTGAGTATGGTTTTACGCCGCTTTTAGCAATATTCCAGCAATATCACGGGGGGGACACCAGAAATGGGCTTCACACATTGTGCCCATGTGGGGAATCGAACCCGGGTCTTCGGCGTGACGAGCCAACGCTTTAAGCACTAGGCTACCCCACCGCCCCAGATGTTCCCGAATAGGTGAGTGTATCCTGCTCCACCGGTGACACATGTCACAAACACATGCAAAGGCAATCCAATTGTTACCTGAAAATGAGTGAGTTTAGTTTTACACCGCACTCAGCAATATTCCAACTATACTATTCCACAAAAGAAACGCATAACCCAGATATCTGTTGCGAAAATGTGTATAACTCATATAACTCGTCCACAAATAGACTTTAGTACATGAATTTTTACATCAGTTTAGAAGAAGGAAATGCCTATAGAACCAAGTGAATAATGGTATATAACGGTGACGTTGAGCCCGACTCGAGGTCTGCCTGTACGGGGACGGTCATTTGTTATACCTGTTTGGTTGTTACGAGCTGCAAGCAGCGGTCTGTAAATAATCGATTCTGGACCAGACAATCCAGTGATCAACATCATGAGCATCGATCATCATGAAGATCAATTATAACCCGGATCTTCACGAGTGTTACCTGAAAAAGCTCCGGACCGTATGGTCAAAATGGGAAAGAGCGTCGGACATCATGTTGGCCACTGATACATCAAAGTTGAAATTGTCATGCACATGTGCATAAAACGTATTAAACACAACTCATGCGACATTAAATAAATATTCAAATATAATATGTGGGCAACTTCAATTGAGTTGGTTTTTCCCGCATTCAGCTAACAAGGTTTATTTATCATGAACCCACGGCGTTATTAATATTACTAGTCAAGTCTCTATAATCATGTATAGGATAACAAAAGGGGGGTGGTGAAATACAAACATAGCATCCATTAACCATCCTCTGTCTTAGCTCAAAGCTCAAACATAAATATTTACAAAGATTATTAAATAATTCAGTTGATGTAGAAAATAACAATTGATGAAATTTATGGATAGACGGATTGTCGTTGTACGTTTGTGGTAAATAAGATTAATATATCATTCACATTTAATTATTAAACGAAATTCATCTTCTGTTCCTTTATTACGTATGGGGCAAATACGTTGATGAAAATCAACTCTTATCAACCCTCCCCATTAACCTTTAATTTTAATATTCCGCTCTGATCCAAGAATATTTCCATGATTTTTATTTGTTAGCAAAGTTAAATATTTTTCTGGTTCTAAAAGACTTTAATATTGTCTGTACAGCTCATACCTTTAACTTTCTTCTACTGTAATGTTCCATGTCTGTATATATACTACCCATCAAAAGTTTAGACTCACTAGTGTAAATGTAACCACTTACTTCAGTCAACTGTTCTGAACTAGATTTAGCAAAATATTCCATACTGTTTAAAGATACTGTTTACACATGAACTGATGTATTGTAAAACAAATTCGTAACGTTGAAAAGATTATTGTTATGAGTTCAATAAATGATGAAACTCAGTGGAAATTGGCGAATTCTTAATTCTTAAATATTTACACCAAAACGCAGCTGTTCACATGCACGATATTTGCACATGCTTTACAGCAATTTGAAGCATGATTCTCGTGCGATATATCTGCATAAGTTTTGCAGTTGGTTCCTCCAAGTTAGTAGGGAAATCATTCTTCGATGTAACCATATATAGACATAACATATAGTGAATGTTTTAAGTGAGTCTAACCTTTTGAAGGGTAGTATGCATGTCAGCTGCATCTCTTTTAAACATCTGAAGAAACTAGAATTAATTACCGACACCTTAAAATAACCAACCATAACCAAATCTATATGAAAACAATAAATTACGCACGGATGAAACACTGTTATCATAACCACAATTATCATAATGCATTATAACAAGGAAGCGACAGGTGTGTCGGACAAGGCTGACCTAATCTATCTCGTGGTGGTTAGATAACCGGTTCACGCTGATAAAGGTCATGTTCCACTGTGTAAGCTATATCTTAACGGAGACCTACAACAAGCATTTAATCAGACTTTATCTGTTTGTCATGTTTATAAATAAACCACCCGGTCTTTGCCGAGACTTCCAATATTTGATTTAATGTAACCAGATCAGCGTGGGTGACACTACTGGTTCAGTTGCCTACCTGGAATTCCCGTATTTATGCGCACGCGAAATTTAGCCCATGGGCTTAAATTTGGATTTAATTTTGGGGTGTTTAGAGTGATGTCCCTTTCCAAACGTATGGTGAACCTCGAACGTTTTTAACAGTAGTAGTGCATCTGCGAGGTTATCACGTTTACAGTACACTTTGGACACCGGTTACAGGGCAGTTATTAGTGACAGAAATTTATCATCTTAACCTATATGATGTGCGTGCAGTTGCAGTTAAATTGAATCATGTAGTCATTCAATTTTGAATTTATAGACCAGTTTCCTGATAAAAGAGTTTTAAAAAAACGATTCTTTTATTTATCAACATATTGCGCAAGCTGGTTGCCCATATTGTGAAATATTTGGAGAATTATTATTTATTCACAGCTATTGTCCATTTCATGTCATGTGCAGATAATTGTTTGCCCATTGCATGCTCCATGCAAGCTGTATTGCACATTACACGCTAGTCAAACCACCTGCCCAATGCACGCAATGGACATTTGCACAGACGTAACATATACTGTAAGCTGATTGAAGTGCGCATGGAAAATTTCCAAAGCTCCACATGCACTTATTAGATTCTATAGGTATTACCCCCGTGAGGCTGTCCTAATGGTTTAATAGTATTTAGTAATATTTGCAATCGGATAGGACTATAGGTTGATAAATACTGAGGACGTGACCTTCGCAATCCTGAGCAGTTTCTTATTAAAAATAACTCTGTTATTCAACTCACAGGGGCTTGTAACGCTAAAAACTGCCATCAAGATATATACTGTCACTGACGGGGTCTTAGTACTATCTTTATATATAGTGCTAAGACCCCGTCAGTGACAGTATATACCTTGATGGCATTTTTTAGTACTATCTATGTATATAGTGCTAAGACCCCGTCAGTGACAGTATATACCTTGATGGCAGTTTTTAGCGTTACAAGCCCCTGTGATTGAACTATCACCTGGGATCACAATTATGAAAGCATTATGGATGATGTCGACGCGAAAGCAACAAAACTGGCTTGAGTTTCTTTGGATGGACCGTCGTTGTTTGTAGCACGAAAAAACTATAATAAAGAGTACTTTGGCGCTCCTTTTTAATATCCTCTTTTCGTAATATCCTCTTTGAAAGTAAAGGCGGTGAGATAGCCAAGTGGTTAAAGCCTTCGCTCGTCACGCCGAAGACCCTGGTTCGATTCCCCACATGGGTACAATTTGTGAAGCCCATTTCCGGTGTCCCCCGCTGTGATATTGCTGTAATATTGCTAACGTAAAACCTTATACTACACTCGGATGTAAAGTTGAGAAATGTGGACACTACAATCGGGAGCTGCTGGAACACTGCTGGACATAGTATAGATATGACAGTTGACCTTTGGAGTGTTAAGTTATCCCTTTTGTCGTCATTCTGAATATTTATGCAAAGATCAACCAAACAAATCTTAAACACGTTCTTATGATAGCTTCAGAATCGCTAAACAAATTTTTGTCGATTATAGGAAGGAATTTGTCGCTTGTACACTCTTAAAAAAAATGCATAGGTGATTTTGAGAATATTCGACTCATGTAGCTGCGGCAAAAGCAATACAAATATACTATTTGTTTCCAAAACGTCATCTTTGTGTGTTTGTAAACAGCTTCAGCACAAATCGTGGCAATTTTAGCTTTTTCTCTTGTTTTAGAAGCGTTTGAAGAAATATTCGTCACAACGTCACCAAGAAAACATGCAAAGCAAACTGCACGTGCAAGTAAGAGGAAAAGCATGCGTTGTGTTTAATTTTGTCAGTCGTTTTTGCCTAAAAAAGAGGAAATCATCATGTCACGGCTGAGTGCCGCCATATGCCGCCTTGAAGCTGGGGAGTCGCAGCCTGCAGTTGCCCGACTTTTCATCAGAACATCATATCTCGCCTTTGGGATCGTTTCCTGCAGGCCAATTCCGCCCAAGATCGTCCAAGAGTTACCACCCAAGCCCAGGACCGCTACATCCGGGTTGCTCACTTGCGTTATCGTCTTGCCACAGCCGTGGAAACTGCACAACACATCCTTGGTTTGAGAAGAATTTCCGACCAAACGGATTCGAGCAAGAAGGCCAGTTGTCCCCCTTGTGTTGAGAGACTTCCATCGGCGCACTCGCTTGTGGTGGTGCCGTAGAGTCCGGAACTGGAACCTTAGAAACCTGAGGTGAGTCTGGTTCAGTGATGAATCACGATTTCTTCTTCACCGGCGAGATGGAAGACAGCGTGTTTACCGTCGAAGAAATGAACCATTTTGCCCCTAGTTGCATTCGACAGGTCAGTAGATTCGGTGGAGAGTGTGTCATGGTGTGGGGTGCGATATTCAGCATACAAAGGTCTGATTACGTGGTGGTTCAGGGGAATTTGACAGCAAAACGGTACATCAACGAAGTCCTTGCACGTCACATGCTTCCGATTATGGACCTACAGAGAGAGTTGTTCCAGTATGACAACGCTACTTCACATACAGCACGCGTCACGGTCCGCTACCTTGCCAGTTCTAACGTCAATGTCTTGCCATGGCCTTCCTGATCACATCTGAACCCGATAGAACACCTATGGGATGAACTCGATCGACCTGTACGTCAACGTCAAAATACACCTCAGACACTTCCACAACTGGCCTTCGCATTGCAGGAAGAGTGGGGAAGAATTCCGCAAGAGCGACTTCGTTGACTTATCCAGTCTGTGCCGAGACGGTGCCGAGCAGTAATTGCTGCCAATGATGGTCATACAAAGTACTGACTTTGACGCCATCTTGTTGACTCAAGTAAACAGAAACCCTGACGACCTCTGTCTATTGCGTGTGAATTTTCACCATTCTACCATTGAAATTATTGCTCATAAAATAACGCAATAAATTCTTCTAAAATGGTTTCGTTTTTTTAAGAGTGTACTTTGTTTACAGAAGAAACTATCCTGGATTTATGATTGGTTGAATAGAGATTACTGATTCCTCAAAAGGCATATACCCTACGACTGTGGAAGATGATACACAAGGGCGAAAAAGAATGCAGGGAGAGTTGTTGTATAAATATACACGTGGAAAGCTTTCATTTATTAATTACATACATGCAGATGAATATTGATTTACATCAATGGCTAGCGTAAATATCAGTTACGCTACCTGAACAGTTAGTAGTGATGTATAATTAATTACGCCTGCAGTGCGTGCCAGGTGTTCGTATTGTTTAAGGACATCAAGCCACTATAAATGTATATTATAAGGACTGTTACAGTAAGGACGTCGTAGGTTAGTAGCACCATCACGTCGACTGATACATGGGTGAGTGTTGATTTTGAATATTCTACTACTACTACTACTACTTCTACTACTACTACTACTACTACTACTGACCAGTGAAGATCCGGGTTAGAATTGATCTCCAGTAACCTAGATGGTCGGAAGAGGCGACTAACGGGATCGGGTTCGCCGACTTGGTTGACACATGTCATCGTATCCCGGTTGGGTAGATCGATGATCATGCTGTTGATTACTGAATTGTCTGGTCCAGACTCTATTATTTACAGACCGCCACCATATTGATGTAATATTGCTGAGTGCGGAGTAAAACTAAATACACTCACTCCTTTCACTCACTAATACTACTACTACTACTACTACTACTACTACTACTACTACTACTACTACTACTACTACTACTACTACTACTACTACTACTACTTCTAATAATACACAGTCAGGCTCACTTCCTGTTTCAGAAAAACGTATTTATGTCCAAGACGGTAGCCCCTGCCACTTTCAAAACTTGCATAAAAATTGTGTTTTGTTGCCCGACAGAACACAAAAGTAACCAATACACTCATCGCGTGATGCTGTACTCGCCTGTCCCATCCCCTCTCATTACTATAGCTAACTTTCACTTACTGAGCAATGTTATTACGACATCTCCAACGACTTTGATGACGTTGATGCCCCTGCAGCTTCGTCCCGTATCCATGGTGTCTTCTCGACCCCTACTGTGGCCCCACTGGCTGTGCTGGTGATGATGACGGGACAGTTATCAGCAGTTATCAACGAGCACGTGACAGCGCTATAACGAGGACGAAGTATATTCCGTTTCCGTGTATGAATGTATGTACCGGAGCTTCTCAGAAAAAGGCCTATACATTAACGTTATGGTTTAAACAAAGCCGTTGTTAAATCTGGGAAGAAGTGACGTTTGTTTATATGTTGTTGTTTATCTGGTGTCCGAAATTTATTGTTTTCCTGTGGTTTATCACATGTTTGGGTTACCCAAGATGTTGGTGGTAAGTTCTCATTTATTTCTCCTTTTAAACGAAGATATTTTCGTTGATATTTTCGTTCAAGGTTGGAAGAAATTATTTCATGTTCTCGTTTTCTTTCACATCATGTTTCCATTAAATCAGTGTTTGAACCTGAGAAATATTCAACTTTAAATGATCTATCCCTCCGATGAGCGGTATGTAAACCTTCTGTACATACTGCAAAGCTGGGTCTACTGAAGCCGGGTTCATGTCCTGCTTATATGCGATGCCTTTGCTTCCCGTCGTCATCATCATCATCATCATCATCATCATCATCATCATCATCATCATCATCATCATCATAAGAATAATCGTCATCGTTAAGCGGTAAGTATTAATGGTTAAAAATAATCATCATCATCATCATAAGAATAATAATCGTCATCGTTGGGGGCGGTGGGGTAGCCTATTGGTTAAAGCGTTGGCTCGTCACGCCGAAGACTCGGGTTCGATTCCCCATATGGGTACAATGTGTGAAGCCCATTTCTGGTGTTCCCCCGCCGTGATGTTGCTGGAATATTGCTAAAAGCGGCGTAAAACCAAACTCAGTCAGTCAGTCAGTCAGTCTAATGTTCATTGTCTGGGGTTTTCATTGATTAATGTGTTCAGGATCGGCTTTTTATCTCTTTATTCCCATGTTCATTGTGAGTGAGTCAGTAGTGGGTATGGTTTTACGCTGCTTTTAGCAATATTCCAGCACCATTACAGCAGGGGACACCATTGTATCCATGTGGGAATCGAACCCGTCTTCGAGGTGACGGGCGAACGCTTTAACCACTAGGCTACCCCAACGCCCCCATGTTCATTGTATGGGATTTCCATGTTTCATAATCAGGATAGGCTCCGCTTTTGGCGAGCATCTCGTATTATCACTCTTAGTTATTCATAAACACATGCTTATGAGTGAGTGAGTGAGTTAATATTTAACGTCACATCGGCAATATCTCAGCCATATCGTGACGAACATGCTTATGATACTGCTGGGAAGGTAAAGGTACATATTGCTTTTGATTATGGAAATGATTGCCACTTGTACATATATGACATATCCAGGTCAGAATTTTTTATTAGAGAGGGTTTGGGATTCAGGAAATATCTTACAGGTCAGAGAGGCCTTCAGGAAATATCTTACCTACAGTACCAGTGCATATTTCATTTGATTGTTGTTTAATCTCCACGCAGCAACAATATGGCGAATGCCTGTAATTTGCTAGACCTCCATAAAACAATGAGGAAGATAGCAAACACTTGTTTGGCGGTTAAGGTGGAGTTTAATAAGAAAGGTATTGGTTGCTGAGGGGGAAAAAATATCACACACCCCAAGACCAACCTAAAATACCATAAACACCACAGACGCCATAATCATGACATGTATCTAAGTAATAACAGAGTTATGAGTCATAAGCGACAAAAGCTGATCAAATATTTAAGTTCATTTATGCAGATCAATGTGTCATGGCGGGGTGAATGAAGGAATGAAATTAAAAAACGTTTAAAAAATGACCGAAGAAAGATACACATGTAGGGCCAGGTGGGGCGGAAAGGAGAGGACACATGCCTGGTAGAGAATAATTCGTCGGTTTTGCAAATTAGACATCATGACGCATCGGTGGAGATAGGATGACATACATCAAACAAATTTCATCAGATCCACGCTGTTACCAACAAACTATTGATTTAACGCCGCAATCTACTATTACCAGAAAGGATGACATGCATCACACAAACGGCGTGTTTTTTCTCAGATGCTAACAAAATTTCATTTCTGAATATAAATTAATATTTCCTTTAAATACTGCCCATCCCATCCGTACTCCCTTTGGAACTATTTAAAAAAACATACTGTTTTGAACCGACCCATATTTTGGCTTGAACACATTAGACGTGCATCCATAAATATTATCCGAGAGCCAAGTATGATTATAGAGTGACCTCCCCTGTATCGTGTTCCGCGATTTCGCCGGGTGATAGCGATATGTTCTAAAACGTCTCAAGGTATCTTTGCAGTCTTCACTTAAGTGTTGTCAAAGTTTGCATGTTACTTTCCCCTTGGTGTTTCAAATAGAGTTATTAATCTGAACAGAAAGTGTAACGAAATTTCAGCACTTCGGTCATTACCAAGGTTATGTTTTTTCTTTCCCGTAGATTGACTGGCTTATAGTAGTCACCAAAGCGTGGAAGTAGATATGTTTGATCAGAATGGTCGGCATCTGGGATGTTGGCAGTAAAGACATGCTGCAGATCATCACTGAACTGATCTGTGTTTCTGCAGGTGAGTGAGTTTACTTTCGCTAGTCATTTTACAGCCGCCTCATTCACTTTCACTTAGGTTATAAGAAACCGATGGGTTGTGTGTGGAGTCGGTTTGGTTTGTTGTCTAACGCTGCGCTAAGCAATATTCTACCATGGCTACGTGAAATGCTCGAATTTGATTGGTCAAGCCACAAAATCAGACGGTATCAATTTGGATTGAAAATGCGTCTGATTTCACGGCGCTTCACTGCGCACGTATACAACCCTGCCGCACTACTTCAGCTTGGCCACCGACTTGACTAACATCATCACAACAGACGTGATGGAAATACTGATGAAACATTTATTAAAACTCGAAAAATACAATTATACGATTTCTCCACCACAATTATTAGGGGATTTCACTATCATAATTATTACCTTCTATTATAAAAATATTCAAACTCAATTACAATACACAGCCCCACACATAAACAAACAATATCGAACATATAAACCTTGTAACAATACATCCCTATCTATCCCTATTTGTGCGGCAAAACGTTTGTAAACATTTACCTACCTGGTAAATGGTATATTTGTTTCCCTTTAGAATGGGAAATTCGCAAGATAACGGTCAGGCGAAACACAAAATTTGCCACTCATACTCCATCATGTCCCGTTGCATCGTTCAAAATGTCAAAAACGTAACCATGAGAATTTAGTTCTCTTCCACCTTCCCCGAAGGCTGTCACTGCAGCTATGTTCGTACACTTTGAAAAGCTTGGCCACAATCCAGTCCCAAATGACGAGAACAATGTTCCAAGGAATCCCAAGTTAGTCGAAGGTACACAAAGCAGCAGTACTGTCACTCTTCCTCGCATGCCGGGGTGGCTACGCGTTCGGCTTCAAATGAAATTTAGAGACTATCAATTCGGTCTAACATTCATCTAATTTCCAAATACAGTACGTTTATCTCCTAATTCAAGCTACAACCCGTGCAAAAGGTATCGGACACTTGACGTCATTTCCTTAGACTTACATGTTATTTCAGTGTAGCATAAATAATTTTAATGAAGTGAGTTTAGGATGGATCTTTGTAAAATTTGACAGGCAAATTTGAAATCATCTCTGCACTGTGCATATAATTTCAGTTCAATTTTCCAACCACTATTTAACTAATGACATCACATTTATCAACTTATGTATGGTTCCACAATGCACAATCCCATAGGCCGCCATGTTAAAGGAGTGCACAGCACTGTACACATGTTGATTAAATTGTTGCAATTCGATAAATAAGCAACGGAAAATTAAACAGAAATTATGTGATTGTAGGTAAGATGATTCCCCACAAATGTGAAAACTTTGACTTGGATCTTACAAAAATTAAATTCATGTAAATTATTTATGCTACACTAAATTAACATGTAAGTCTATGGAAATTACGTCAAGTGTCCGAATACTTTTTGCACGACTCTGTATATGGCGGCGGTGTGTGAATAATCGAGTCTGGACCAGTGATCAACAGCATGAGCATCTATCTACATAATTGGGATACGATGACATGTGTCAGCCCAGACACAATGGTGTTTGACTGAATGTGATGACGGAAAATATGTCACTCTTAAATTAACATAATTCAACTTCACTCGTGACATATTCTACACTTACACCTCGATATTTATTTAACGTCGCCCCCAAGCGTCTCTATATAGTCTTTTTAGCACATCTCACTGGTTCCAGTGTGGGGCCCCCTGCTGTTCCTGGAATGGTACGGGATAGCAACACTCCAGGGGTTCTTCTGTTCCGACACAAGTCTGCAGTACCCATACCGGGAGTCAACCATGACAGCCTCCATCATGTACCCCGTCAGCTGCATCTTCCCCTTCCTCGGGGTAAGTGAGTGAGTGTGAGTGAGTGAGTGAATGAGTATTGTCTTATCCCCCCTTTTTGCAATATTCCAGCAATATCACCGCGGGGAACACCAGAATTGGGCTTCACACATTGTACCCATGTGGGGAATCGAACCCTTGTCTTTGGCATGAAGAGCGAACGCTGTAACAACAAGGCGGCATTAACCTGCCCACTAACTCTGAGATGCATGTTATGTTGGCTTTAACCAAGCAAGGCTAGTCCGAAACAGTTCATCTACTGTTAAGGGTATATAGAAAGCTTAATTTTTAATATAGTATTCTTGACGTCATTTCACTATTTTTGCTGGGATGGATCCAGGTGTTTCGCGACTATTTATAGCTGAACATAGCGACGTACATCTGGCAGTACCTTGAAAAAGAAAATCATTTTTAAGCATTATCAGCAGGGGACCTATATGTGATATAATTACCAAAACATGTGTCATCGTATCGCAATTGCGTAGTTCGATGCTTATGATGTTAATCACTGGATTGTTTGGCCCAGACTCGATTATTTACAGACTGCCGCTTTATAGCTGGAATATTGCTGAGTGCGGTGTTAAACAACCAACAAAACAACCCCAAACACGTGCCATATTCATGATAATTTTACAATATTCATGATAATTTTACCATATTCATGATAATTTTACCATATTCATGATAATTTTACCATATTCATGATAATCGTACCAACTGAGATTTTTCTCTCTTTTTCAGATAATTATTAGCATTTGTTGTGAGATGAAAACAAACAGCTTTCCATTGAAGTCTGTCTACAGACAAGTGCTCGTGTTCGTGTTTGGCTTTGGTTTGGCGCACCTGTTGGTTGATGTGGGCAAGTTTTATGGCGGGAGACTTCGTCCTCACTTCTTTGACGTGTGCCGCCCTGATTGGTCACAGATAGACTGTTCCGTCGGCTACGTTACCGATTATACGTGTCTGGGAACCCACAAAACCCGTCTCAGAAAAATGAGGTTAGTACATCATTTAAAATCTGCAAGGCTGTATCTGGTTGTATAAAACTGGCCCAGAATATCACAGTGGTTTTGTGAACTTTTGATATATGTTTTAATATTCTAAGAAGATCAAACCGTAATATTTATTACATAAACGTATGCTGTCCATGTTATATCATTTTAGGAATGCGGGGTAAAGCACTTCCCAATATAAATAAGTTATAGTCCGTCAACCTAACTTTTGGAATACGATGTATATTTGACATAGATTTTACAAATTCAGCACCCAATTAGATCGTCAGATATCAGTATTACCTGAGTCAATTATAGTTGGATACCTTCTGTTGTTTAAACGTAACTTGCGAAAAAACGTGTTCTAAAAGTTAGGTTGAGGGATATAGTCGTGCATCCAAACAGGAGTAGGGTGGATGGGCAAATCCTACAGTCAAGGGAGGGGCTGGGTACACTGTTGACCAAAGGGTCTAAAGTGTCGTAATTGGCTGTACATAGTTGCGTCCCTTGGGCACGACAGAAACTTACAGATGTTCGAATCCCAGTTGGGCACGAATATGTCTAGGTTCGCCTGGAAAAAGCATCACTTTCCGGCCATATTAGGCTGACACGGTGGGATATAACTGGAGTGAGTTTTACGCCGCCCTCAGAAGTAGTCCAGCTATATGGCGACGGTCTGTAAATAATCGAGTCTGGACCAGACAATTCAGTGATCAACAGCATCGATCTGCGCAATTGGGAACCGATGACATGTGTCAACCAAGTCAGCGATCAGCGAGCCTGACCACCCGGGATATAACTGGAATACTGTTCAAGGTATTATTACCCAGGTACAACTAGCCCAGCATCCAGAGCTGTCAGTCATAATAGATGTAGACGTATATTATAAGGACAAATTAAACTGTAATTATTCAATGTTAGTTCAATAAAAGCTTTTTAACTCGATATAAACAATCCGAATAACAAATTCAGAATAACAGTGTTTTTGAGTGCATAAATTAAATATGTGTAGACAGAATCAAACTAACAGAGGAGGATATTTTGATTGATCACCTATACGTATTTCAGAAAGATGTTTAACGCCGACGGATGAGTTTAACGCCGCTTACGGCATTGTTTCCGTTAACTCACGGTGTTTATGTCATATCAGTCTATACGGCAGACATATTAGTAATAATACTATGTATATTGCGTCAATGGCCGATTTTCTGTGAACTGCTTTGAGATTATCAATGCAAATTGTGTCATTTATACCTTGTTTACAGACTGTCGTTTCCCTCCGCCCATGCAAGCTGCATATGCTATGGTGCCGTCTTCTTCATAGTGAGTACCTCTGAACAACAATTAGTCCGGAATCGCTGCGTTAAAACTGCTTCTGAATTGTTTACTTTGTTTTGTTTTTGTTTACGCCGCACTCAGCAATATTCCAGCTATATGGCGACTGTCTGTAAATAATCGACAATCCAGTGATCAACATCATGAGCATCGATCTACGCAATTGGGATACGATTAAATGTGTCAATCAAGCCAGCGAGCCTGACCACATGATCCCGTTAGTTGCCTCTTACGACAAGCATGGGTTGCTGAAGATCAATTCTAATCCGGATCTTCACGGCTAGAATTGTGTATTAAGTCCTGGAGAAACAATTAACTTTGCTTCTTTTCTTATGGGTTGAGCAAGGTCTACACAAAAACGCAGCCCCCCTCCATCTGTTTTCTGTAGTGTGAATATTAGCAGGAATACGGTCAAAGTTTCCAAATTAAACACGTAAATAAGAAAGCACGCGCAAAGATTCACTGGTCATTTGGCACAAATTTCCAGTTTGCTTAGACAATGTCCTTTTCTTAGTATCCCACATCGGCGTTCATGGTTTTAACCAAAATGTTAAAAAATCAAGCAGACGGTTGGATTAAACTGAAATGCTGGTCCACGCGGCGTTGAAGCCTTACTGATATACTGTGATGTCCATGCAGGTGTACGTTCAGTCCCGGAACTTGAAGAGGCACCTGGGATTGATGCCAGCGACACTTCTTCAAGCTGCAGCCGTCTGTCTTGCATTTTACACGTGCATCTCGCGTATAACAGACAACAAACACCATGTGACTGACGTCATCGCAGGGTCTTGTATCGGCTCTGCAATAGGTTACTGGATGGTAAGTTTGAGGTGAGGTGAGGTGAAATTGGGTTTAACGTCGTGCTTGAGAATATTTCGCTCATATGACGACGTGCATGCGTGTGTATGTGTAAGTGCGGCTGCTTGTACTAGCCCAGACTGAAGCTGGTTTTATAGTGCTAGCCCACTGAGATACCATGCCGCAGTGAAGCATGAATACCCCACTCAGACACATTATACTGACTCCGAGCCGACCAGTCCTTGTTGTACCCATTAATGCCGAGCGCCAGGCAGGGACCAACAAGTACCATATTTTAACGTCTTTTGGTATGACGCGGTCGGGGATCGAACCCGCGACCTTCCGCTCTCGGGCGGACGCTCTAACCACTACACCACGGAGGCCATGTTTATCATGTTATCATGGGTTTATCATGTTATGGGAGCGAGGGCTCGGAGATTGTTCTCATAAAATCGTAAATGGACACCTGAAAATGGTCATTATTAGATATTTATTGAAACGTGATATGAAGGATTACGAGTTGATAAATATAGCTCCCAAGATTAATCTGTGTTGGAACATTGACAGTCGAAGGAATCTGTTAACCTCTATTAGACAGACCAGAGACGCTTGCTGCCGTTTGACAGTTACATTACACATATTGTGTCAAGCCTCTGCAAAGGTCCAAAGGAAAATTCAAGTAACGTAAAGAATAAACCATGAATTAATGTCCTACGTTGTTTTCAAATTATTTCAGATATATTTACGTGTGTAAAGTCATTGAATGAGTGGTATATTGTCAATGTTAGGGGCGGTGGGGTAGCCTAGTGGTTAAAGCGTTGGCTCGTTACGCCGAAGACCCGGGTTCGAATCTCCACATAGGTACAATGTGTGAAGCCCATTTCTGGTGTCCCCCGCCGTGATGTTACTGGAATATTGCTAAAAGCGGCGTAAAACCAAAACTCAGTCAGTCAGTCAATGTTGATATATTACCTGAGGAGACAACTCAAAACTTGCTCACTCAACCCTAATCAACTGTTGGTGACATTCCACCTGGTGTCTTTTCAGTAGAGCTTATTTCAGACTCTGTGGATTGTTTTCAGGCATCGCTTCTGCATACTGTGCCGGAACCATTGCCTGACAAGAAGAAGAAATCCTAATCTACAAGAGTGTAGTATCTGGTGTCGTTTAATTGCCTGGAAAGAAGAAATCCTAATCCACAATATCTGGTGTAGTATCTAGGTGTCGTTTAATTGCCTGGAAAGAAGAAATCCTAATCCACAAGAGTGTAGTATCTGGTGTCGTTTAATTGCCTGGAAAGAAGAAATCCTAATCCACAAGAGTGTAGTATCTGGTGTCGTTTAATTGCCTGGAAAGAAGAAATCCTAATCCACAAGAGTAGTATCTGATGTCGTTTAATTGCCTGGAAAGAAGAAACTTAATCCACAAGAGAGTAGTATCTGGTGTCGTTTAATTGCCTGGAAAGAAGAAATCCTAATCCACAAGAGAGTAGTATCTGGTGTCGTTTAATTGCCTGGAAAAGAAGAAATCCTAATCCACAAGAGTGTAGTATCTGGTGTCGTTTAATTGCCTGGAAAGAAATCCTAATCCACAAGAGAGTAGTATCTGGTGTCGTTTAATTGCCTGGAAAGAAGAAATCCTAATCCACAGAGAGTAGTATCTGGTGTCGTTTAATTGCCTGGAAAGAAGAAATCCTAATCCACAAGAGAGTAAGTATCAAAGAGAGTGGTGTCGTTTAATTGCCTGGAAAGAAGAAATCCTAATCCACAAGAGTGTAGTATCTGGTGTCGTTTAATTGCCTGGAAAGAAGAAATCCTAATCCACAAGAGAGTAGTATCTGGTGTCGTTTAATTGCCTGGAAAGAAGAAATCCTAATCCACAAGAGTGTAGTATCTGGTGTCGTTTAATTGCCTGGAAAGAAGAAATCCTAATCCACAAGAGTGTAGTATCTGGTGTCGTTTAATTGCCTGGAAAGAAGAAATCCTAATCCACAAGAGAGTAGTATCTGGTGTCGTTTAATTGCCTGGAAAGAAGAAATCCTAATCCACAAGAGTGTAGTATCTGGTGTCGTTTAATTGCCTGGAAAGAAGAAATCCTAATCCACAAGAGTGTAGTATCTGGTGTCGTTTAATTGCCTGGAAAGAAGGCATGTACCAAAATCCGTCGGATAGCGGCTTATCAGATCCGGAATGTCTACGAGGGGAACATTGTGAGATCCGGAATACAAGGGGACAAGCAGAGGATAGTCGACGAACGAAAACTCATCGGATATCCGTTTTTCAGATGCGGAATGTCCACGTGGGGAATATTGTTAGATAGTGGCTCTTCAAATCCGCAATATCTCTACGGGGGAAAAACATCGGACAGAAACTTTTCAAATTGGATATGTGATAATGGATGGGGTATCAGATTTCACAGGCACCTCTTATAATCTATAGAATGACCCGGTTAGGCCAAACGTGTGGCGCATGTATTAGATGTGTAGAAAATCTTCTTTTGCTGTCAAAAATCTTTTTAATTAATTTTTTTTTCATACTTTCTGTGGACTGGGGCATGTCTGGTGCCTTTACAATGTGGGAATTATGGTTTTAATTGTGTGTGTTTTCTAGGAAACACGTTGGTTCAAATGTGGGAATGGTTGGCCTATGGGCAATGGTCATAAAACACTTAAACATTCTTCATGAAACCTTGCATAGAAGCGTCAGACATGCAACCTGTGCGTCTTCAGGTCGTTTCCAGAGAATAACTAATAAACTGTTTATCACGTTTATTGTGAAACTTTTTTTGAAGTTCCCAAGGCAACGGATTTGACTTGAAGTATTCAGTATTCCTTGATTACGCTTTGTCATCACATCAGATATCATACAAATTGGGACGCAGGGTTTAAACAGGTCATTAGTAACCTAGCCTTGTTTTAACACACGAACAAATGGATCGGATAGTCAGTGTAGTGGCGATGAGACTTGTCAATGGGAGACACCAAATCGTAACATCGTACCCTAACAGAGTGGGACCTTAGCTGGTTTGTTTGCCGCCCTCAGTAATATTCCAGCTATATGGCGACGGTCTGTAAATAATCGAGCCTGGACAAGACAATACTCTGATCAACAGCATGACTGACTGACTGACTGAGTTTGGTTTTACGCCGCTTTTAGCAATATTCCAGCAACATCACGGCGTGGGACACCAGAAATGGGCTTCACACATTGTACCCATGTGGGGATTCGAACCCGGGTCTTCGGCGTGACGAGCCAACGCTTTAACCACTAGGCTACCCCACCGCCCGATCAACAGCATGATCATCGATCTACGCAATTGGGATACGATGACATGTGTCAACTAAGTCAGCGAGCCTGACCACCCAATCCCGTTAGTCGCCTCTCACGGCAAGCATTGGTTACTTAAGATCAATTCTAACACGGATCTTTACATTAGTGAAAGGGGTTAACAGACTTTATGGAATTTTGTTAGTTGAAAATTTCAAACGTAAGGTTTCTATGTGAAGAAGAGCTGTCTATTGAACAGTATCATCACGAATTTGTGTCACTGGAACATGTTGAAAGCATTTTAAAAAATAATGAAAATCGTTTGGATTAATTATCAGTGATAATGTCAGTTGTATTCTAAAGTTGTAAGACTTAACTCGTTTGATATGATGAGGTATGAGTCATATTTTGTTTGCACATATTTCAAACGGCGGTGGATATTTTGGTTTTATTTGGAGTTTTACAATCTCCGTGAAGAGAATGCAAACACTCAAGGAAATGATTGCACATGACTCCTCCAAACCTCCACAATATGGCTCCCATTTTCACAGTAAGTCTAGACGCTGAAACTAGTGTTATGAGTGAACTTGATACATTCAGATCGTGTGTCATTAGAATAATCGTTTATCGACAGTTGTGGGACGAAATGAATTGTCGTTTGAATAGCTTGATCAAACATTCTCAGACTAGCCGCTCTTTAATGCCATTACAAGCACGTTAAACAAGGCATTAGGTCTGTAAGAACTACGTCAGACTACAGGTCGTGTCAGAAAGTCTTTAAAGTCATCCGACCTTTTCTGATCCAGAATGCCCACCTTAGGCTCAAGATTGCGGTACTGGCGACCTTTTCTCAATCAGAATACCTATAACTGGGCAAACATGAGGTAAACTGAGGGCCCAGTCTTTCCCCAAGTACCTAAGACGATCTAAACATCTTTTTTTGGATATTCCCAAATGTAACGGCAAAAGAAGACGCGACAGAAAACGGGAAGAGGGACAGGGAAGCGCACGTAAAATCATAGTATGCGTGTAAGCCTGGAACGAGCTAATCTTTCGAAAAGGCTTGCCTCTGAAGAGAAAGTATTTTTAAAAACCGCTGTTAAATTATTTTAACACAACGAAATTAAAAGTAGCCTCGAGGCTCCTGTTAGACTCCTGTCGACTAACATAGTCGTGTATGGGCTGTATTATCACTGTTTCACTGTCCATCCGTGAAGATCCGGGGTAGATTTGGGTTCCCAGTAACCCAGCAATAGCAATTGCGCTCAGCAATATTCCAGCTATATAGCGGCGGTCTGTAAATAATCAAGTCTGGATCAGACAATCCAGTGATCAACATCATGAGCATCGTTCTACGCAATTGGGATACGATGACATGTGTCAACCAAGTCAGTGAGCCTGACCACCCGATCCCGTTAATCGCCTCTTGCGACAAGCATGGGTTTCTGAAGACCAATTCTAACCCGGACATTCACGGGTCGTATTGGAAAGGGAAGGGGACTACTCAACACTGACCATGTAGTCGCCGATTTCCTTAGAGAAGATAAGAAACTATGAACTTCCAAAAGACCTTAGTTAATTAATATTAATTAATGAATTATCTGTCTTGTAGAGAAGATTATTCTTTCTAAATCCATGTTCTGGTTGACGCGATTAAAGTTAATTTTGCTGACTTATCAATAATTTTATGTAAGTCTGTTGGGTCACAAATTTAAAAAAAATGATTCTGAATAATATAATATATCTTAGGAATCTTCGTAATTAGGACCTAATTAAACTGAAATGTTTGATGTTTTACAGATTTGTGACTCTTTGCAATAAACACCTCATTTACTCGAAAACTTTATCATGAGTACATATATGCTTTCCTATTCGGAGATTCCGGGTTTGAATCAGCTCCTCATCAGTCCGGATTGTGGTAAGAGACAACTATCGGACTGTCAGGGTCCTGGCGACCTAGTGTAAGGAATGGTCAGGCAACGTGACTTGCAATTTAGTGTAAGTATCAAGATGGCCGGTGCCCAATCACAGTTTTGGTCGCCACACGCGTGGGTCTGAAAGGTATGGAGCTCGTGGAAAGAGAAGTGAGCCCCCATCTCATTATCTTGTTTTATGCATATCTTTTGCTTAAACGCATGCACTCACTAATTGGATTATGTGAGAACTTGAGGTTCATTATAGCAACGAAGCGTGTTAACAACATTACAACGCACACGCGTCTCATGACTTCATGCACCGGAATACTTAACAGTATAATATATGAAAAAAACAGGATAAAGTTATGTAAAATTATTCACCTCGAAGACTCCAGCAAGATATACATGGGCCAGGGAGTATAGTTTATATGCGTCTTCCTTTCCCTCATTATGCATGCCTTGTTTTCGCATTATCTGATAATACTGGGTGAAAGAATAGAAATAGTTTCCTCATTATATTCCAGCCTTGGATGATTACTCATTTTGTAACTGGTTTTACTGGCTTATTTCCTTGATGTCAATGTAAACAAATCAGAGTTGATTCCCCTGAATTAATTTACTCGTGTATAGATGGCGCAGTTCGGTCATATCCGTGTTATTCAACGTGATTGGCCGAACGGTCATCCATCGTAATTTACTACCAAAATACCGCCAGAGGTGGATCATACTTCTCGTGCTGCCTGCTTGACAGCTGAAACGTTTAGTCATGCAATTCGCGCTAAAATGACAACAATCTGTACTTTTGTGTGTTCGGGAGTGGATATTATATGTGGCTTGTATTGTGGGAATGTGAAAACGAAGGATTTATTTCACCCACCTTGTGTCGTTCGAAGGGGTCGGCCAGTGTGCCGAGCGTTTGAACTTTAGTTACTTGCTGAAAACATGACAGAAAAGCCCGAGAGGAAAGATGACAACACTAGTGTCCGAGTTGCAATTAGGTAGGTATATCTAGTAACATTTTCATAGTCACATAATATCGCATCTATATCTGTACCGGTTGCAAAACGGCCGTGATCAGACGCGACCAGGTGATGAGACATCCGAATGACACCACCAGGCTCGTGTTTGTTTTGTAAACAAAGCAATCTGACTTCTGTTAATTTGTTTGATGCATATTTTTGCTGTTAGACTTATCATTATCATGTTAATAAATTGACCTAGGACAGCTATTGCTTCAGCTTGTTATCACGAATTTCACATTTTCATAATCCTAGGGACTATTTTCTGTCAGGCCAGTCTGAAACAGCGAACCGAAATATACTGCAGTAGTTCGATCTTTGTTAGGTTATTATAGTTGTTTATTAGAGAAAGTTAACATTATTAGATGGAATAACATTTGAACCGTGTACGCATATTACTGCTAAAAGATTAACCTAATGAAAATTATCAGGCTTCAGCAATATGGCTATGTTAATAATTGCTGACAGGCGTGAAAAGACAAACACTCTCAATCCAGCAGTGTTGCTGAGCTGAATAAGGAAATATTCCCAACGCTGTACGACTACGGAAACATAGTACAGGTCAAGTGAAGGAAATATACTCTCTTTGACATAGTGACAATGTGCCTGATATAAACCTAATGTTTGACAACATTGATAACACGTTATTAAGAACTCAAACCAAATGTCACCAACCGACCAGCCTGTGACATAACAAGTGTGTAGGGGTCATGAAGTTAACGAGCATGCTGTGTGGATAATGATTCATAAAGGCATATTGCACCACCAAGCAAACTAATGCATGATACATGTGCCATCCATGAGTTATTAAGTAATCTAAAACTGTGCTTTTGTCTTTTTCACGCAGATTTATGTTTGCACCAAATGAATTCTTAAAAAATATCTGTGCTCTAATCTTACTCAGAATTCTGTTTGTTCCCCCATTTCGCAGCTTCCTACATTCAAATGCTACAGGAACCAACCTGCAAGACCTCTCGACATCCCTTGCGTTTCTAATTGTGACGCTTGTTGTCGATGCCATATATTATAAATTCATAAAGGTATTTTGATACTGAAAGATGTCCCTGTGTTGCCGAATCTTAACAGTTATCAATGATTTAATGAGTGTTTTATCCTTGAATTCTGAACAGAAAATTGTTAAAAGAATTACCAGTAATAGTAAATTTCCTCTCTTCCAAAGTTTTCATGGATGAGAACAGCCCATTTGTTTCCTCGTCTTTAATTTCCAACACATGAACATGAGCTGCTGGTGAATTTGCAGAAAGAAATTGACAGTTGTTGTTTCCAAATTGTTTCAATTCAGATAATATTATAATTTCTAGATTATTTCAAGAAATACTAGATCAACTCGATAGAAATGGAGCTGCAAACTAAATGAAAATGTGTGGTAGATTGACCATGGCAGTTAGTTAGATTCTACTTTGGGGTAGAGTGTACCAAACGAAACCACCACAGATTTGGCTGGTAATCGGTTGGTGACATTTGGTTTGAGTTCTTAATAACTGGGTTTTACCTTGCCTGACAGAACTGGTGGACAAGAGGAGCCCCTAATTTCTAATTTCGATGGTCCCTACAGGAAATATGAGGGTTCTTTGAAGTAACGTACTGGCAAACAAGGATAAGTTGGACCGACGCAGAGAACGTGTTTACAAGAAGTAGACGGTGCACGGCAGTGAGCAAACCCATTTGGTTTGTGAAAGGTAGAGCAGATGTAGGCTAGTGCACGTGCAGTGCGCGACGATGAAATTGATTCCGCGTGTAGCTGCACACACCATGCTCATAAGACTCTCATGTGGTGTAGCACTACACTTGATCATGGACAACCTGGGGCCCCTTCGCTCACAGTGGCAAGCGTCAGTGGGCTGCACTCATAGTCATACAATGACATTGCTAATACAGGTCAATTGTCAGGTCGGTGCTCAACTTATCCTTGTTTGCCAGTCGTGCAGTGCGCAATGATTACGTAATTGTTTTTATGATTGGAACGTTGTATTTCTAGTTGAGAATTTGGCACAGTGAATATTATTTTGAATCTCTTGGGATGCATTATATTATTTTTCTTCATCCATTCTCTACATTTGTGCACACTGGATGCACATTTCAACATCAAGTTAAACCCTGTGTGCTGCACAAAATAGGCATCCACTCATATTGATAATCGTGTATGCATATGATGGTTTTATCATTAAAGTACCAACTCAGGAATGTAGTGGATAGAACTTCAGCCTGGAGAGCAGAAAGTCAGTGATTTAATCCCATTCTTCCTTATTAAAAAAAGACATGTAAAGATGATAATAAATAATAATGTGTCCATTTATATAGCGCCAAACTCCACACTAGGTATGCTCATAGCGCTAACAATCAAGGCCATTATTACGCCGGATAACCCAAGCTGCCTGTTAGGCGCTAGAAGGTTATAGTCATATGACTTTTTTCCACCGGGTACCCATTTTCCTGCTGGGTGAACAGAGACAATGTTGAACAAACTCACTTGCCTAAGGTGAGACCACATGTGTCACATGTGCTTCGTTGTGGGGCAGGACTCAAGTTCTAGAAACTCTCAGGAGTCAAGCTGCCAAACACGGTCACCCATCCAAGGACTCTCCGAGCTCGACGCTGCTTAACTTCACCGATTTGTGACCTGAGCTTTAAGCACAGGACCACGCGCCACCACTGGCTTACTGGTTGACTTTGGAGCCAGTATATTGTGCCTGAGTAGTGTATCCATGTTGTACTGCTGAGTTGCATCTTTGTCACTTCCATCATTAAAAAATGTGATTTTTCCCAACAATTAACACCAGTTACGCATTCATGCACACACACTGTACAATAATCATCAATGTGGTGTTAGACCTCATTGAAGGCAACATTAAAGTCCACTGTTAAAATAAATGTCTCTGATTCTAATTGTTGATAATCTTTCCATGAATTAGCAACAGACATTTACCTGGTTTTGCCATCCAGATTCCCTTGTGAAGTCTCAACACTGCATTCACAACATTATCTGATGTTTCTGACACGTTAGTAGACAGATGCTTTATGAATATGTTATTGCACCGTTATCACATCATTATGTGATACTACTTTCTTCTCAAGTACTCCAAGGCTTCGGAGATGTCATTTGAGATAATTTGATATGTGACCTACATACGTTTCTTTTGAACTCATCCTTTATGTACGCCCCCTCTCTTTCTAACACAAAGAATGTAAGAAAGTTTTCAACCATGATGCAAGTGTCTAGCTACTTTTGATGTATCAGCTTGTATCACTGCATGAATAGACAGACAGAATAACTTAAGGCGTAAATTTTTAAACATGCTACCTTTTTGAAATAAATATTCTCCTGAAGGAACTTTGAATGCTTGAAATATTTTAGGTCAACAGGGTCAAGGTTGAGCAAACGCTTTCAAATTTCTTTACCAGTTGAATGATGTAGATGTTTCAGAGAATCACTGAATTTTGTATAATCATTTGTCAATTTGTGGATTCAGGATTTGAACATGTTGGATGAATAAATCCTTTCTTAAACAAAGGTCCTTTCTCTTTACCAATCTTTATGACATTTCCTGAAATTTTGTCTTTGTTTGTCTAGTAAAGTCTAGTAGTCACATGCACTGATTTGGTAGTGGTGAAGTTAACATGGTAGTGTAGTTTTATGATGATTGCTCGGGTATGACCAGTCATACTGGACATATCTCGGTGGTATGTGTGAGGTTTTAGTGCCACTAGCTATGTAAACATATCTTGACAGTCATTTCATGCATGGACGGATTCCCATTGCTGGCTCCCAGCTTTTCTAGTACCACAAGATACTGCATAGCTTTCTCTTGTGTCTGTCATATTTACTGTCAGATCAAAATTAACGTGTTAGCTTTTGAGAAGCTGGTGTTTGGAAAGCCTCAAAGCTTTTATTAGAATTAGACCTTTGAAATAATGGCAGAACCAGGTTGCAAGTGATGAGAAATGTCCTCAACTACTATTTTTGGGGAAAATGTGGGCCCTTAGTCTGCAGATTTAGACAGTGTTCCTAGTCTTGCAATTTCATATTGTTTGGTGTACTTAGCCTAAACTAAGTTAAAGACCGTGTCTGTGTAAACACTACACTGTATTGAAATAATGATTGAGGACATAATTTGAAATATTTTCAAATGATGAGCTTTAATCTTAAATTGTGATTGGTGATAAATATAAAGTATATCTGCTTTAGATTATTCATTTTTTGACTCAAATGTTACATATTCTTTGTTTGATTGTGATAAGTTTCAACCAGTGAGTTATAATTCACACCATTTAAAGATGGCAGGACAAAAAGGCCTGGGCCCCGTTCCTCAAAGCGATCGTAGCGCAAAGTTGATCGTAACTCCCATACTTTAACATAGACTTACGACTGTTGTAGCGCTACGATCGCTTTGAGGAACGGGGCCCTGATGATGTAATCCAAAAGAAAATATCTGTAGGCTCTATTACCATATATTGATTACTTGCTTTTAAGTCTTAAGCTATTTCTGCAGTTTAGAATGAAAGGGAAATGTGATTTAGTTAGGGCTGTAATGATTCACTGAAAGTGGAATGTCAGTGCAAAGCTATTATTGGTATGATATCAGTATAATAGCCACACCATGTAGCCAATACAAGCACTGCATCTGTTACAAGGGAGAAGAAATTGTAAAATATTAATTTCTTATGGTTGCTTCAAAATACCAAAGGCATTGTTAGCTTGATAGACTCAGGTTTATTGGCTTGCTGAGTGATTTTACTTACAATGACACTGTTCAACATGTTTGTCTTTTCATTACGTTTGGCTACATTTTGTGAAAAATGATTTTGCATAAATATTATCTAAATGATGTAGGCATAATTCAGAACAGTGAATTTAAACAGCCAGGTGATATGTACTGTTCTGTTTGTTGTTTATCAAAACACTCAGCAATATTCCAGCAATATGATAGCAGTCTGTAAATAATTGAGTCTGGACCAGG